CCGAATAAGCCCCTGGCACTTTAATTAAAACAGAGAATCTCCAAGAGTCTAGGAGGTCCCTCTTCACTTGCTGGAACCCCCAAACGAGCGGGGTCCTAGTGGCCACCAAACCCACGGGTTTAAGATTAATATCTGCTTGAAAACAGTATTGGAAGCCCATTGGGCTAGTCCGACATTGACATTAAAGAGCATGCTGGTCCAGTCTCCCAATACTATATCTGAATTTATGCCTGTTCCAACAGTTGATGCAGAAAGTGACTTTAAACTTTGCATCTAGCTCCACCCCCAAAAGAGAGTCTAACCCCGTGCTCTCATACGGAACTTTTGCATGCTCCGCTGTGCGTCTTCCAGCTATTTTTAGCACAAACACCCTGTCACAGCACAGCACACAACATCCTGGTTCATACGTTTCCCATTTTAGCTTCATGCCCGCCGGGGTTAAAGGGGGAGATTTGCCTATTTTGATACACTGCTCAGAGGCACTGACAAGGATAAATCCTGAAGTGAGGCAGACAGCATCTCGGGGTGGGTCCTGGAGCCATTGATCCAGGGAGCCCTCGTACGGCCCTGAAAACATGGATGATAGCTCAGGCCCGTCCCTGCCTACCTTTCTTTTTCTCATGCACTTAAAATTACTGAGCATGCTGCTTAATGTATAGCTGTTTAGGATGAACAACTGTTCCTGAGTCCAACGTTATTTAATTACCATCTATCTGCACTATGCGCCCGGAACCTTCTACTGAGTTTTTTTTACGTACTTGTCGTGAGAAATAACTCCACATTTCAGTCAGCAAACGTTCCCGACCTAAAAAGAGACAGACGTCTCGTAACCGGCTATACTCTTTCACTTACCTCGATGGCTGCGCCAACAACAATTACCCTTTTAACATTTGATATTGTGGCACCTTAGCCATAGCATGCTTATGTAAAGTTCCAGTGGTGGTTGTCCTTTGTCTGTAGGGTGAAAATGCATGGATGAAATTTCTAAAGGGGAGGAGCCAGAGCACACGTTTGTTTCTTTTGTGTGTGTGCTTGATACAAAAGCTGGATCACCTGATTCACTCCTCATTCTCTCTCTCTCGACCCACCACGACTGAGACCTGGATTATTTTTGCAGTTGGATTACAAGAACTGTTTGGAGTTCTTGTTGGATAAAATGCCCAGTAGATAGTGGAGGATAAGATGAAGCAGTTGCTTACCCTATTGAGGTAAATCTACAAGAGTACTCACTATACTCACTACTCAGTTTCTTTATAGAGGCATGTTTTTTGCATTAGCCGGGTGGGTCCGCTACCATGGAGATGTCGTTGCTTTGCCTGGTATTTTCTATTGTACATTAAACTTATCTATTTCCATGGAAACATTATTACACAATTTACAGGTCAGATTTGTGGAGAGATGAGCCTGCTTACAGTAGAATGCAGAGTTTTCAAGGTATTGTTTAATGTAAAAAAAACTAAAACAAAACACCTTTAATTAAATAATAAGTGCGTTGAATACAATACTGTCTTCCTGGAATGTTCCACAACATGACGTTAAACACCTCTGCCTTGTATTTATTCAATTACAGGTGGTTTTGTAGCTCAAAAATACCTAGAAAAACAGGCATTCTGACGGTGAGCAGGGCATTGTTGTGCAAGTTCACACTTTTCAGGAACTAGTTTAGAGTTCAGTTCACCCATGTTCAAAGTGAACTGTTCACATTCATAGTTCACAAATTCAATTTTGAACTAGTTCAAAGTTCTGTTCATTTTATTTTTAGGTGAGATATGGGTCCAGTCAAGTGGTAACGGAGGGAAACAGAGGCAGATTTTTTACATTCAAATAGCTCTTATTCAGAAACTAGAGGGACTATTGAAATAAGTAAAGTATCAGAATGTAGGAAAGAGTTAACACTCCAACAGGGTAAAGTTACCTGTGATATTCTTTCAAGTTGTTGACAAAAAATTTAAAAAATCATGTCGGTAACGGAGGGAATGAAATATGCAGCACTTTTTGGGCAATAAATACAAACAGTGATAACTAGTGGTTCTCACTTACATATCCTTAACAAACTGGTTTGAATATTTGCTTCATATAGTTTTCTACCATATGGTACAAGATTAGGCTGAAAAACCTCTTACTTTTTCAGTAATGAGATTTTTTATTAAGAAAGGTCATGGTAACGGAGGGAAAATTGTGCAAACAAGTAGAAGGTGCATGATTTTACATAATTTGTCAGCTTTTTTCTTCCGAATACTTTAATATTACTTCAAAATGAAAGGAAACTATTTCTATGAAATATGTCAGTCCTTCCAAGCAAATTTTTATCATTTTAAATACTTTTTTTTTTTTTTTTTTTAAATCATGTACCTTCATCAACAGTTCAAAGATGGAATAACACAAGATATGATGAAATACATCAATTTATTTACATGATTTGCAGGTCTTTGAAATTTGGGAAGTAATTTTTGTTCCATGTTTCATACATGGTCTGTTTAAAACGTGTGTAACTTTAGAACCAAAAATGGTACAGAAAAAAGGTCAACAGTTTCATAAACTAGAGTACATATGCTATCTGTTGAATACTTGAACTTGAATTTTTGGCCTTGCTGTATACCTCTGCTTGACCGGGCCCATATGTAAATGAAAGGCTGAACTTATTTTTCAACAACTTTACAACATATAAACCATAGCCAGTCTAGAGCCACATCAGCCCATTTGACATTATAATGTGTTTAATGCAGCTTTGACACATTTGTTTACGTTTTACAGAAACTAACCTTAAAACCACATGACTCATTTGCATAAACTGTAAATGCTGAAAAAGAGCAGCTCTTTCCTTGTGCGCTGATGCATCAGCTGCTGATGGTGAGTGTGCTCTGTGTATGTGTCACATTGGAGGTGGTTCATGTTTTCAGAGATCATACGTGTGCAGGTTTAGCAGCTCTTTATTTAACAATCATTTCACTCATTATATTTATGTTGGTCACTTTATTTATGTTGGCTACTGTTGTGATGAAAAGACTGAAAAAATGTTTGTGTTTTGGATGCATGCGTGCTCAACTTTATGTTGCATTAACCGGGATACTGTGTGTCCATGCACCATGATGAAACCAGGATACTCAAAAAACCTGATCATAACCAGGACATTGATGTGCATGTAAACACACTCACTGAGGGATATAGTGATCTCCAAGGAGGTGCCAGAGCCGAAACGTGGGACTGTGAGGTCGCAATTCCAGTGTTTGGACTGTCAGACGTAGCCTTGTCTCCTTACGCTATACTACGCACAGCAGCATTCAGATGTCGATTAAAAATGAACGTGATCGACGAAAATTTTTAACAATCAATTATCAATTACCACTAATCATGCCCATCCCTACTTCACACTACGTTAACTAAGATGCATTGCACACACAGGCGCTCTCTGGTAAGGCTGTGCAGTTTTCAAGTGGAGGAGTGCGCAGTGAGTGACAGCTCAACATGCAGTTTAAAAAGTGCGAGCTGCAGACCTTATGACTTGACTCATCAGGTGAAAACAAATTCCGACATTTAACTGAACCCCAACAGTGATGTACGTTGTTCATCTCACATAATCTGAACAGATTCACGTTCAAGTTCTTGATTTACAAATGTGTTGCGTTCAGTTCAAAGTTCACTGAAAAATCAACAACACTGGAGCAGGATCACCTCTCCACAGATCTGACCTGTAACTTGGTCTGGTCTGATCTCCATGAAGATAGAAAGGTTTAACGCCATACTGTATAACACTCCAGACAAAGCAATAACATGAAGAAAAGCATTTGACAGACCTTCCACCAGAAAAAAATACACAATGCACCTTTAAAAGAGTAAAAAGTAAAAGTATTTTACGCAGATTTGGAGGTTTAATAAAGCTTCAAATGTAGTGGTTTTAATAAAGATCCACGCTGTATTTTGTTCAGCTGAAGCAATTGAATCGGTGTTGTTTTCAGTTTTTACTTGTTTATTTTTGCTTAAACTATGAACGTGTTAAAAATAAACGCACAACCTTTTCAGCAGGTCTCAAACTGTCATAAAACATTCTTTCGCTTTTCAGTCCTGTTCAAAAATGTGTACAAGAGCTTTGAGCTTTGAAGGTGGAAAAGTGCTGTATAAACATTTGATCATTTACTATCTCCTTCTCTCTTTGGCCCTTTCCCCCACCCTCTACCATTCTTTTGCTTTCTCGCTCTCTCATTTTCCCTTTTCCCCTCTCTCTTTCTCCCTCTCTCATTCTCCCTTTCCCCCTCCCTCTCTCCCCCTCTCCCTCTCTTTCTCTCTCTCTCATTCTCCCTTTCCCCCTCCCTCTCTCCCCCTCTCTCTCTCTCTCTCATTCTCCCTTTTCCCCTCTCTCTTTCTCCCTCTCTCATTCTCCCTTTTCCCCTCTCTCCCCCTCTCCCTCTCTTTCTCCCTCTCTCATTTTCCCTTTCCCTCTTTCTCTCTCTCTCATTCTCCCTTTTCCCCTCTCTCCCCCTCTTCCCCTCTCCCTCTCTTTCTCCCTCTCTCATTCTCCCTTTACCTCTTTCTCTCTCTCTCATTCTCCCTCTCCCCCTCTCCCTCTCTTTCTCCCTCTCATTCTCCCTTTCCCCCTCTTTCTTTCTCCCTCTCATTCTCCCTTTCCCCCTCTTTCTTTCTCCCTCTCTCATTCTCCCCTCTCTCTTTCTTCCTCTCTCATTCTCCCTTTCCCCTCTCTCTTTCTCCCTCTCTCTCTCCTCTCTCATTCTTCCTTTCCCTCTCTCTCTTTCTCCCTCTCTCATTCTTCCTTTCCCTCTCTCTCTTTCTCCCTCTCTCATTCTTCCTTTCCCCCTCCTCCTCCCTCTTCCTCTCTCTCTCCCTTTCCCCCTCCCTCTGCCCTCTCTCTCTCCGTCTCTCTCCATCTTCCCCTCTGTCTCCCTTTCTCCTCCCCCTCTCTCTCCCCCACTCTCTCGCACTTTCTTCCTCTCTCCCCCTCCTTCTCTCCTCCCTCCCTCTCTCCTTCTGCCCCTCTCTCTGTGCAGGAGGTTGCTGGCTCTACTCCTGGTCTTGGGTTTGTTTACTTTAGCGCGTGTTTCTCTCCCCATCTTCGAATCTCCGCCTCCTCAGCCGCTGGAGTGGCGCGTGGACCCCGCACACAGAAAGGTAACTACACTAAATACATTCCTTTTTTTTTATTTTTTCAGTTTTATGATCTTAAAGCTGCACTGTGTAACCTTACTATTGCGTTGCTTGAAATATTTCACAGTGTGGCATTAAACATTTCTATCTTCATGGAGACCAAAACCAGACCAAGTTACAGGTCAGATCTGTGGAGAAGCGACCCCGCTCACAGTCAGAATGCCTGGTTTAGGTATTTTGAGCTATAAACCCACCTGTAATTGAATAAATGTAAAAGAGCTGTTTAATGTTATACTGTGGAATATTCCTGGCATAGGAACGAGATAGAAACAAGCAGGTGACGGACCCTCCTCCAGCAAAGTTACACAGTGCACCTTTAAAGGGCCCATATCACGCAATTTCCTGATCTAATGTAGTGTAATGTAATTTCTGCGTCATAGACAGACCTGGAGTTGTGTTTTGTTTTTTTCACTCATGTTAAACACACAAATCCTGCATATTTAGGCTGAGTTCTTCTCTCATATTGAAAACACTGTGTTCCACCTTGTGATGTCATGTGCTCTTCTATGTTTTTAAACTACATACACTTCAATTGAAATAATTTGGATAATTTCAGCCCTGGAATTGCCAAGATCTACTGAACTAAAGGTAAAAGGCAGTTGTTAACTTGAAAACTCATGACATCACAGGTTGGAACATGAGCATTCTGAGCTTTGGAGATTTAGACAGATTAATAATAAAGGCGAACTCGAACATGTGAATGAAACAAAACACAACTCCAGGTCTGTTTTTGCGGAGGTAACAGCATTCTAACATGACTAAAAGCTCATATGAGTCCATTTTGCCTAATGTGGGGCTTTTAATCAGCATTTGTTGGGGATTGGCTACTTTGTCATATTAATCTTATGTCTTGTAGTAGTTTCAACTGACAACACTCATGTAAAAATGGTACCTCTTTCTGAAGCTGTTTATTTATACTGACAACAAAGAAACTGAACTCTTTGTTTGGTTTTGTTGCATGCACAACATAGAAACATATTAATCATAAAGCATTAATGTCATGTGAACTAATGGAACAGGACTAAATGAGGATTAAAGCAGGACTACATCCAGGTCTAAAGCAGGACTACACATGGACCGGACTGTTAAAGACTGAACCTGGATTTTGGCAGGTCTAAAGTAGAACTGAACCAGGACTGTGTGTGAAAAGTTTTATGAAACAAAACTTTGATGCAAGAAATCACATAACATGAACAAGGCTAGATGAATGCCTTTGTGCCATCTACATGTTTAAAGGGCCCATCTCATGCAAAATCAACTTTTCAGAGCTTTCTAAGAGTGATGTGTGGGCCTTGTATCTGTCGCCGAAGTGGTTTTTAGATTGATTCTGTGTTTTTTTAACAAATTGTAGCGTATTTCTGCCACCCCCTCCCACGTGACAATGAACTAAAGCTGCTACAACGATGACATTGCCAGATACACTTATGACGTTTTTGACTTAGCAGAAAGCGCTTTGCACCCGTCCCCCTCCCCCCGCTCCACCACCTCCACCCCGCCTCCACCCGCATCAGGTTGACAATTTCCACATGAACACCTAAACAAAAGCGACAGCATAAGCTCATTGTTCTGCACTGCAGTGTGCACGATATAATAAGTTTATCTCCTAGTGTTTATTAATACTTTACCAATCAGTGATGTTCAGCTGATGTCGACGCGGTGCTTGTGCTTCATGCACCTCAAAGTCCTCATCCGATTCCATAAAAAGTTCCTTAAAAGTTTATTCTTACCGCTATCAGGGTGCACGTCTGTCTCCCCCTCCCTCCCTGAGATGGGCGGAGGAAGGGCAGCTCACTCAGAGCCTACGTCACGTTTGGAGGGCGGAGCCTGTGCTTTCTCAGGACGGGCAGGGGGATGAGCAATAGTCGGCCTTTCATAGTTCCTGGTCTGTGACTGTCTCCAAGAAATCAGTAAGATTTCATAACTATTGTGTAATGGATGTTCCAAAACCCAAATTGTGCTTGTTTATGTGCAGAAGATACAATGTGAAAAGAGATATTTTGCATGAGACGGGACCTTTAATTAATCAGTAAGTATAGTGGTGTAAGGTTTTGTGTAGCAGGTAGGAGGTTAGTACTGGTTTTATTGAGATGAAGATGTAGTAATGTTTAATGATTAAAGGTGCATTGTGTAACTTTTGTGGTGGAGACATTATGGAGACATTATTGCTTTGTCTGGGATGTTTCACAGTATGGTATTAAACTTTTCTATCATCATGTAGACCAAACCATACTAAGTTACAGGTGAGATCAGTGGAGAGGTGACTCCACTCAGAATGCCTGTTACTCCACTCAGAATGCCCAATTACACTACAGTTATCAATCTGGCAGGTTGCTAGTTTCTAATATGACAAACTAAAACGTAAACAGAAAATCCTGATCCATCAATATATGAAAAATAAAAAGTCCTGATTGTTTTTGGAGTGTTTTTGTAGCTGAATCATTTGGCATGCTATAGTGCTGCAGATGTTTAAAAAAAAAAGAATAAAAATAATACAAATATAAAGAATAAATAAATTGACTAGATTTCTGTTTCCTCAGCTGGTACATAAACACGTCCAGAGCATTTTGGATGGAGAGTGTGTTCGGGGTCAGATGCGTCAGGCTTTGCGCCGCCTCCTCCCAGACTCCAGTCAAAACACCAGACCTTTCCTTTGGCGGGACAGCTCTCTGCCCGAGGAATTCTTCTTGTTTCCTCCTCCATTTGGATTCAAAGGACTCAGGGACCAGATCACAAATGTGCTACAACTGGTAAGGAGCCACAGGAATTTGTTATAGCTTAATTTATTTCTTCACAGACCGTGGGAAATATATTATCCAATCAGTAATACTGATTGGAAGCTGAAAATAATTCTATATAATGTGGTGTGTTCATATAACTGACAAACATCAAATTTTTCACCAACCAGTTGAGTGTTCTTTTATCACTAGTTAAAACCATAGACTGTATAAAGAAGTGGACTAAGTACAGGTGTAAGAAAACGTTGATTGATATATTGCAATACTTCATTCTACAATTCTCGATTCAAAATGTGTCTGAATAGATTTTTTAAAGTCATAAGTTGTGATTACTGTTCTCGTGATTGAAATGAAATGAATTCATTGCATTTTGTCCAATTTTGTTCTTGTGAAGGCATACTTGACCATAATATTATACATAATTATTGATAAATCACAATATATTATCCTTTGTTTTACTGTCGGGATATATCACGATATACTGAATCTTGGCATATCGTGATGCACATTGTATTTCCAGATTTATGGCAATGCTTACCACTAGGACTAAGTGAGTGTGACCCATAGCTTTGAGCTCCAGTCAAGTGAATATCATTGTGTGGGCATGGAGGTGTTAAAGGGGCACGGTGCACTGGATCAGGGAGGAGGAGAGAGGTTAGTTAGTTAGCTATAATTTTTATTAACTGCTGTTGCTTTTGTTTCTGGTTTTATTTAGGGTTGTTCCGATACCAGTACTGGTATTGGAAAAAATACAATACCTTTACATATATTTTTCAGGTATCAGTATCAGTGAGTACTGCAGAATTTAGTAGATGGTAGATTGTTTAAACTACAGAAGAGCAGCAACAACACAGACTTTGTTTTCTCTGCATAATGAGCCATGTGCTCCGAGGATGAGTCTTTTTACAGGCCACACTGTTGTTTTTATCCTCTCTGTGGTAGAAAGTGATGGCATAGAAAAGTAAAAGTATTTAAATCAGTGTACACATGACTGTAATACTTTAGGCCTCAAGATCACTTTCTCGTATTTGTAACGATAGCCTTTTTTTTTTTTTTCTCTTGTACTATTACAAAATTGAGTAGCCTTTAGTCTGCATTGTCACACTATGCGGTTTTGGACTGGTATTGGTGTCTAAAACTGTACCAAGTATCGGTACAACACTAGATTTAGTCTACCAATACAGAATTCATCTCTGCAGTATTCCTGCTCTCTGTGTCCATACCTTTGCAGTGCTCATTCAATAATTAACCAATGCAAAACACATACTTGATCCAGCCTCTTTGTTTTACATGGCATTTAGCGCATCATCATTTTTATAGGACCCAATTCCACCTCTCTACGGCTACCAAAGAACTTAAGCATTGTAAAGCTGTTATACTCATTAATTATAACAGTTATAGGGGCAAATTTGGAGCCAGGTTCCATATTAGGAATAAGAACTGATTTAATACAAACATTTTAAGACAAAAATGAGCAACCTGACAGCAGCAGTTACAGAGTTTTGTTCTTTTTTAAGTCGATGGAGCTGGAAGTGCGCCCATTCTCACTTATTATTTGGAAAGCACTTTAAATATTAAGGTATTAGTATATTTAGAAAAACTTTATTGTCATTTTCTGTGAACAAATTTCAACATAAAACAATGAAGAATACTACTAGTAAGACTAATAAGAACACTTTGAATAACATATAAATACTGAATACAATATGGACAGAACAAGAGTGAAAAACTAGCAGTGCAAGTGGAGTCCAGCAACAGAGGGGGAGATGTGATCAATCAAATAAACATTTTCTCTGTTGTAGCTTTCCTTTTCTCCTGACATGTGTACAGCATTGGTCCCCATGAGATTAAAAGGTGGCGTTGTTTTTTCACATACATTATTGAGCTGCTCCCACTGACCTGCTGTCACGTGTCTCTTGTGTCCTATGTCATCACTCTTTTGTGTTGGATTCCTGTTATTGATGATTCTGCATACAACATACAACATAAGTACATACAGCATATAGACATAGTGACGTATACTGACAAAGGAGACAAAGGCTGAGAAATGACTGAAACTAAGCACTCTGCAGCAGATTTCCTATTCACAAGCTGGTTGGAAGCGAGTTAGCATGACTTTCTTAGGGATTGGTCAGAAATATCATTCATCTATGTATTTCTCATATGCTTAATTTATTACGTGCAACATAAGCCATTTAGTGGTTTTAAGTTTTCGTTTTCTGTAAGACTTGCACAAAGCTGCATTAAACACATTCTAATGTAAAACGGGCTGAAGTGGCTCTAGAGAGGTTCTGGTTTATATGTTGTAAAATTGAGTTTATTTATGCAGATGAGTAACAGAAATAATAATGATACTTATTATATAAAAACGTTAATGATTAATTGAAAATCAATCGTTAATTCTCCCGACGAAAAATTTCATCGAATGCCCATCCCTAACCACTACTCTGATATCCTTAATTCACTTACTTACATAAATATTAAAACTACTTTATGCCACTGACACAAAGCAGGATTATCCAAATAAACCCAATTTTGAAATAGACAGTGTCATTTAAAAGCCTGAGCTGCAATAAATGAAATCTTAAATCTCTCAGAATGAGTACATCACACAAATATAGAGCCCCAAAATATATTGATCCAGTTTTCATATGTTGAACAATAAGTCTATGTTGTAATTATCGAGACAGGCGTACTTATTATTTGATAGTTAAAGGTGCGTTAAGTAACTTTTCTGTCTGAGGGTATAGCACTTGCATGTCCCATGGAGATATTCTGGATTTGCCTGGAACGTCCCACTAATAATACACTGATCTGTTTTACGCGTAACCCCTTAAAATAGTTTTAGTAGCGTATGCCTGTGGATTAACTTCGTAGGTTCTCTTTAAAGACTATACAATGGGAGATGTATTTACCTTGTTGACATGTTTCGGCTGTGGCTGTGAGCCTTCTTTAAACTGTCAGATAACAGGTAGCAGCTGAAACATGTCAGCAAGGTAAATACATCTCCCACTGTGCAGAAAGAACAAAAATGTGACTGTTTGCTGCAGGTGTTCCAATCAGTAGGAGCAGGTAGAGGGTGCTCCAGGCACTCCAAAAAAGTAGAAAAAGTAAAAAATCGCACAAGGAAAAATATAGTTAAAAGGCCTTTACTTTGAATGGCCAAAGCCAACTTGTTTCAACCTTAACTGGTCTTCATCAGGGGTTAATTTCTTTCTGTTAAGCCCTGGTGAAGACTTTTTTACTTTTTCTACTTTTTTGGAGTGCCTGGAGCCCATTGTGTTTAAACATCTCACACTGTATTCTCTTTAAAAAAGTTAATGTAAAAAAAAAAGAAAACAAAATGAGCGTTTTCTGGTTTAGCCTTTGGAGTTTCATAAGGTTCAGTTCTTAGGCCTGCTCTGTTGTCTCTTAGAGGTATTTAAAAAGACACACTCACGATGTAGCATGTAATTTTTTTTCAGATCTGTTTATCTATAATCAGGTTTGCCGGGTTCAACCATTGATGTTTACACAGAGGGCGGGATTATCCACACCGTCATTATAAATTCCCCTGATTATATTCATTCATTGTACTGTGGGCTGGACCAGACGTCACTGAGGTGTGATTTTGTTCTTTTTGTTTGCCCTGCCTCAGTGAACTCTCCTCCAACTGGAGAGGTGAGGTCCACTAGTCTGTTAGAGTCTCTTCATTTCTCAGTTTCTCTGAGTTTGACCTTGACCTTTAAAAATGCGCAACCTTACTGTGAATGGGCTCACTTCTCCACAAATCTAACCTGTAATTAGTTTGGTGCTTGTTTCCATGGAGATAGATATGTGTAATAGTAATTAGTTTCAGGCTAACTATGTAGTGACATGCTTTCTTATTTTTTTACAGTCTGGTTTGTGTTTTAATAATGTGTTTGTCTTCTGTTCTTGTAGTTGCCTGAGTCGAGCTCTCAGGTGCAGCTGGACAAATGCTCTCGCTGCGTCGTCGTAGGCAACGGAGGAATCCTCAAAGGCCTGGAGCTTGGGCCATTCATCGACCAGTTTGACACCATCATCAGGTCAGAAAAAGGACAGTGGTGGTGGCCTAGTTTTTAGCTTTTTATTTGTCTTGTGTTGTAGTAGTTGTAATTGTTAACTGTTATGGTAGAATAAGTACCATTTATATAATAATATAAAATCTATTCAGATAATTGTAATTTTCTCTTGTGATCAAGTAACTGATAATACCCAATTGATGAATAATTTGATCTGATCATGATCAGATCTTTAAAAAATGAAAGGAAAAGCCTTTTTTGCAGAATGTAACATATGGCTCTGTTGCCCTCTGCAGGCAGTCAGTGACATTACGTGAGTATATTTACATACTCACTACCTCTGATAAACAGAATAACAGAAACAATTTGATTATCTGATAACCAAGAGCACCCTGTGACACGTGAATTTTAAAATAATAATATCTTTAATATAATAAACACTTTGGTCTTGCTACATTTGTTTACTCAACTTTCCAGAATTATTCTTGTTGAAAAGTGTGTGTAAACAAACAGCCACACTTACAAATCTCCCTAGCTAGTCTGCACTCGATTTCATTTATTGATACTCTGTAGATGATGTCATCAGTTTTCCTTGGGGGTGTGATGCTAACTAAAGGCACTTCTTTGTCATAAGCTCTGTTAGACTTTAATCTGATCTTTGTTTTAACACAGTGTGACCAGAAAGAGCTGGTTTAGTTGGAATTACAACAAGTGAGATGATTTTGTGCTGCTTAACAAGTCTCTTTGACATAACATTAGAGTCACAAGCAAGATAGCAGTTTTTCAGTTAGTTTCTCACCTTTTTATTGAAAATCAGACTCCTAAAAAGGAACCTTGAACGCACGGACTGGTCAGATTCCTGAAAATGCCATGTTTAAATCCATTTTGTATTTTTATTGAATTTTCAGATTATTTAAAAACTTTTTGGCAGTTGACTGAATATTCCACCATAAAGACACATGTAGAACACCCCAGTATCATGTCACGGCAAAGTGTTAATAAGGAAACAGCCAGTAGATTTTGGTAGTTTTTGTTCATATTAACATCTCTGTGTTTCTGTGCATAGGTTGAACAATGGTCCTCTGGGGAAGTTCGTTGCTGATGTGGGGAATAGAACCAGCGTCCGCATGGCTTACCCTGAGAGCACCGCTCTCCTGTGGGCAGACTCCGACCCGCACGCTCTGTTTGTGGCTGTGGTTTACAAAGCTGTCGACATCAGATGGGTGTCTGCCATGATCAGGAAGACCTATGTGGTGAGACTGAATTCTTTCATTTTTATTTTATTATAATAGGTGACAGAATTTTTTCACAACATTCATCATCAAACACACACACACACACATCACATTAAAAAACCACAGCAGTGGTCTGAGTTCATCCGGTGGAGTTCAGTTCTGCATTTTGACAGTTAAATGGCAAATTCCACTAAACACCACTAGATTTCTGACCTGTCACCCATCTCATTTTATCTGTAGATTTATCTAATTTTATCCTTAGATTTATCTCATTTTGTCCATAAATTTATCTCATTTTATCTGTAGAATTTTCTCATTCTATCCATAGGTTTATCTAATTTTATCCATTAATTTATCAAATTTTATCCATAAATTTATCTCATTTTATCCATAGATTTATCTCATTTTATCCATATCTTTATCTAATTTTATTCATAAATTTATCTCATTTTATCCATAGATTTATCTCATTTTATCTGTAGAATTTTCTCATTTTATCCATAGGTTTATCTAATTTTATCCATAAATTTATCTCATTTTATCCATAGATTTATCTCATTTTATCCATAGGTTTATCTAATTTTATTCATAAATTTATCTAATTTTATCCATAAATTTATCTCATTATAGCCGTAGATTTATCAAATTTTATCCATAGATTTATCTAATTTTATCCATAGGTTTATCTAATTTTATTCATAAATTTATCTAATTTTATCCATTAATTTATCTAATTTTATCCATAAATTTATCTCATTATATCCGTAGATTTATCTCATTTTATCCATAGATTTATCTTATTTTATCCATGAATTTATCTAATTTTATCTGTAGATTTATCTAATTTTATCTATTAATTTATCTAAATTTTATCTGTAGATTTATCTCATTTTATCCATAAATTTTTCACATTTTATCCATAGAGTTATCTCATTTTATCCATAGATTTTTCTAATTTTATCCATAGATTTATCTCATTTTATCTGTAGATTTATCTCATTTTATCCATCAATTTTTCAAATTTTATCCATAAATTTATCTCATTTTATCCATAGATTTTAAAATTATTTAAAAAAACTGAATAAATGATGAAGTTCTCACCTCAAAAAATCACCTACAGCAGAACACTTAAAGGTGCACTGTGTAACTTTCCTGGTGGAGAGTCTATCATCTGCTTGTCTCCACGGAGATGTTACTTATTGCTAAAAATATGTTCAACAGTATGACGTTAACTATCCGTTTGGCTTTTATTCAATTACATGTGAATTATTGACTTAAAAATGTGCATTCTTACTGCGAATGGGTTTATGGGTATTAATCCCAATAATCCCTCCATATCGAGAAGCATGATGTGACGGACCCTCCACCAGAAAAGTTACGCAGTGGAGCTTTAAACCCATGACTTGTCTGACCAGTGTTGTTGTTTTTGTTGTTTTTTGTCGCAGGCTCTCTGGGATCGTTTTTTCTTTTGGCAGAAGGTTCCGGATCATGTCCCGATTGAGTCCCACAGGTTCAGACTCTTAAATCCAGACGTAATCCGAGAGACCGCCCTGGACCTGCTCCAGTACCCCACTCCAAGATTTCGACTGTGGGGATGGGACCGGGTAAGACCCACCCCCCGTATACTGTAGGCAGTTTTTTAAAGGTCCTATATTACACAAAACTGACTCTTGAGAGCTTTAAGACATATTATAATCTTGTCATCTCATCAAAAACAGACCTGGAGTTGTGTTTTGTTTCATTCACACGTTTGAGGAACCCTTGTGATGTCATGAAGCAGTTGTTTTCAAGTTAACGGCTGCCCTTTTAGTTCAGTTGAGATTGGCAGTTCTGGGGCTGAAATGATCCAAATGATTCTAATGAAGGTGAATGGGGTTTAAAAACACAATAGGAAACACAGTAAAAAATATTTTCTGTATTACCGCATTACATCACAAGGTGGAGTACAGTGTTTTCTGTTTGAGAGAAGAACTCAGCCTAAATAAGATTTGTGTGTTAAACATGTGTGATGAGGAAACAACATTATAACAGAACTGACTGAGAATAGTGTAATATGGGCCATTTAATAAGACTGAATAAAACTGGTGAATGTGAGCATTTTTAATGTATTATATTTACCATATTTATTTCCCAGTCCTACTTTTACCATTAGATTTTTTATATATATATATATATATATATATATATATATATATATATATATATTTCAGATTTTGGCAAGCAAAAGTTTTGTCGCCTACAGAAAATTGAACAAATAATTTACTTCCAATACAAAAATATGTTGCATAACGTTATTGAATTAAGTAGTGGTGCTGTGAGATCCATATTTAATATCTTGTAGGACTTCCATGAGCTTGAAGGATGCATCCATGCGGTTTGACAATGATTCATACAATTTGTTGATGAAGTCATCAGGAATAGCAAAGAAAGCGTCTTACATGCCTCCCAGAGTTCATCAAGATTCTTTGGTTTTGTCTTCCATGCTTCCTCTTTCATTCTACCCCAGACATGCTCAATGATGTTCATGTCTGGTGACTGGGCTGGCCAGTCCTGGAGCACCTTGATCTTCTTCACTTTCAGAAACTTTGATGTAGAGATAGAATTATGCGATGGAGCACCATCCTGCTGCAAAATTTGACCCCTTTTATGGTTGGGAATGTAAGAGGAGCTAATACTTCTTGATATTTTAGGCTATTGATATTGCCTTCCACCCTGCAAATGTCTCGCACAGCCCCATACTGGATGTAACCCCAGACCATGATTTTTCCGCCACCAAACTTAACTGTTTTCTGGGTGAACCTTGGATCCATGCGGCTCCAGTAGGTCTCCTGCAATATTTGCGGCAGCTGTGATGTATTTCAACTGAAGATTCATCTGAGAAATCCACCTTCTGCCACTTTTCCAGTGTCCATCCTTTTAGCAGGCTGTGGGCCTTGGCAAATGCCACACGGTTTTTTAATTGCCTTTTGTTTAGTGCTGGTTTCTGTGCACTGATTCGACCATGGAGGCCATTTTGAGACAGAATTCTACAAACTGTTGTGGTTGACACAGGGACTTGAGGTGACCAGGCCTGGTGGAGTCTGCTGCAGTGGAAAAGGGGCTGGCCTTGGATTTTCGAATCAACAAACTGTCCTCCTGAGCAGTTGTCTTGCGGGGTCTGCCGGACCTGGGCTTGTCAAAAACATTTCCAGTCATTGGAGATCTTTTTCTTATTCTTTGTACTTGATGCTGAGACACATTGAAGGTGTCACCACCTCAGCAGTGGATCTGGTCTTCAGCCTCTTGATAATTAACGCTTTGGTCTCAGGGTGGATCTTAGGCATGTTGTCAGAGGTCAAGTTGCAGTTGATGTGAAGGTCTGGTGTGCTGGGATTCTTTTTTATACACACCCACTAATTGATTGATCAGTAACTGATCACAGGTGAGGCTGTAATCTAGGATTGGGTGCATCATATGACAAGGCAACAAGACTTTTGTCTTGTCAAAATCTGACCTTTCTGTGTTCATTAAATGATCAATCTTTCTTCAGTGAAGCAAATTTATTTTAGTATATTGAGCATAATTTGGGAGGGTTTTAGCTTTCATATGAAACATTTCTAAAACCAATCGATTAATTTAAAGTCAGGTTATAAGCTTTTGTTTCTGCAAAATGGATAAGCGACAAGACATTTGTCAGGGACTGTACTACTATTACTACTACTACTACTACTACTACTACTAATAATAATAATAATGCTTACAAAGTGTTGTACAAGCAGCAAAGAACAATACAGAAAGCATAAAAATAGAACACAGGAATCACAAAAACAGACAATAATGCAAACAATCCAATTAATTTAAATAAATAAATACAAAGAAATAGAATAAAATAAGGAATAAGGAATAAAACTTAGCTAAAACCAGTTAAAGGAATTCCAAATAATAAAAATGAGTCTCAAGAAGTGATTTCAAAGATGATCCTGATGGTGTGAGCCTTATCTCCTCAGGCAGGTCGTTCCATAGCCGATGAGCCCGGACTGAAAAGGCTCCATTAGCCTTCGTCTGGAGCCTGGACTTTGGAACAGCCATAGGGACCTGCCTGAGGGTCTGCGGCTGTGGGAGGCTCGTACGGGGTTCAAAGTTCTGAAATGTAACTTGGTGCAAGACCTAAACAAGCTTTAAAAGTGATCAGTAAAATCTTTATATCGATTCTAAAATACACGTGCAGCTAAAGGGAAATTAAAGCTAAAACAGGGTCATGTGTCGATGTTTGTTAAACCCAGAGAGGAGACGAGCAGCTGCGTTCTGAGCCAGTTGGAGGCGGGTAATAGATTTGGACTCTAGAGGAGGGAGTTGCAATAGTCTCGAGGCTAGGGAAAAGATGACATCGTCCACCTTCTGTGTTGGGAAGGTTACTTTTAAAATGTATTCCCCTACAGATTACATACCAAAAATGTAGTTTGTAACGTAATCCATTAAATTACTTAAAGTGAGTAACGTAATCTGAATACTTTGGATTACTTGATATTGTCATGTTTTTTAAAACTACATGAATGTATCAACCACATCCTGAAAATTCTTGTTTGTTTTCTTCAAATTGTCTGAGCCCAAGTCTCCATGAACAGACTTTTTTTTTTACTGTAGAGAAGCAGAGACGAGAATCTGAACATGAGATGTTTTGTCCTGGTTCAGTCCTGGTTTAGTCCTGGTTTAGACCGGGTTTAGTTCTGGTTTAGTCCTGGTTTTAGTCCTGGTTTAGTCCTGTTAAATCCTGTTTTAGACCTGGCTTTAGTCCTGGTTTACTCCTGGTTTAGTCCTGGTTTTAGTCCTGGTTTTCATCCGAGTTTAGTTCTGGTTTTCGTCCGGGTTTTTGTCCCGGTTTAGTCCTGGTTTAGTCCTGGTTTTAGTCCTGATTTTAGTCCTGGTTTAGTCCTGGTTTAGTCCTTGTTCAGTCCTGGTTTAGTCCTGGTTTAGTCCTGGTTTTAGTCCTGGTTTTAGTCCTGGTTTAGTCCTGGTTTAGTCCTGGTTTAGCCCAAAATGTGAAAACACGAAAATACCGCTGTGTAATCCATTTATTTCAACAAAGTAACTGTAATCCAATTACCACTCACTGAAACAGTAACTGTAACCGAATACAGTTACTCATAATTTGTACTCTGATTACGTAACTCCAGTACATGTTATCTGTTACTCCCCAACACTGGCCACCTTTAATTTCAACTCACTGATGATTTCCCATCTCTCTCTTCCAGAATGTCCCTACTCTTGGTGCTACTGCGGTTACCTTAGCCAGCCTCCTCTGTGATCAGGTCAGTCTGGCTGGGTTCGGCTACGACTTCTCCCACCAGGGGGCACCACTGCACTACTACGACCACTTAGTCATGGACCGTATACTCCAAGAGAAGATGCACAACGTAAACAGGGAGACGGAGCTACTCAAAAGTCTGGTTAAAACTGGAACCGTTTCTGACCTTACCGGAGGGATTGAAAGTATACATCCAAGTTAGCAACCTTAGTATGGAAGGTAATTTGTCCCATCAGATTTTGAATTTTAAATACGACTGAATTTGTCACTTTGAATTTTTTAACTCTGAGAAATTCAGACATTCGCAGTGAAAAATTTCACAGCAAAAATCCAAGATGCCAAGGCAGAAGAAATTGATCATATGAGCAAGGAGGACAGAGGCTGTTTCCTATTGGCTGTTCTCATCTGTGGTTTACACTAAAATTAAAGAGATGAGGTTTCGATGAGGCTTATTTTTTTTTGTGATAACATTTTTAGGGGTGTCAAATTAAAACACCATGAGTACCATTCAAAGTTAGGGAGGCCCACTCCTCCTGAAGATTTTAATCTATGTAGAGTTGTGGTCTTAATTCGGGGCTTCCTTTTATTCCATAAGAATGTGTTTATGAGAGTGTAATTTCTTAAAGTAACCTTGCGGTGGTGCTAAAGGTAGCATGGAGCCTAAAAAATTAATGTGGGGCAATAGAGTAATTTTGATTACTGACAAACGAGCCTGAAAAGACATTGGAAGAGAGGTCCATCTTTTAAGATCTCCATCTATGGTCTACAACAAGTTTTTATAATTGTTTTCAATCAGGGAGTTGAGAGAGGAATTAATATAGACCCCTAAATATTTTATGCGTTGTACTACTGGTATACTACAAGAGGGTTCATTTAATGTTGTTGATCCCAGAGGCATCAAAGCAGATTTAGCCCAATTCACCCTGTAACCAGAGACATTTCCAAACAGTTCAAATATATTAAGAAGATATGGTATTGATTCTGATGGGTTACTAGTGTATATTAAAATATCATCCGCATACAGGGAGATATAATGGGCTGTATCATGTATTGTGATAGGCGCCATTTTTCCTGATTGTCTTACTAATTGCGCGATAGGTTCCAAAGATAAACAAAATAAAAGTGGCGATGGGGGCAGCCCTGGCGTGAAGAACGAGACACACTGAACCTGGATGAACACACATTAGCCGTTAACACAAGTGCAGTGGGATTAGCATATAAGGTTCTAATCATATTAATAAAACCAGATGGAAAACCCATATGCTGCAGCACATCCCACAGATAGCCCCATTCCAACCGGTCAAATGCCTTCTCTGCATCAAGTGATAGAATGGCATTTTGATTTGTAGATTGGCAGGATGATTCTATGATATGGAGAAGGTGTCGAATGTTATCAGAGGCTAATTTAGATTTGATGAAGCCTGTTTGATCATAGTGGATTAATTGAGGCATATGTTGTTCTAGTTGGCTAGCAAGTATCTTTGCAAAGGCTTTGAGCTCTGTGTTGAGAAGACTGAGCGGCCGGTAGGAGGAGCAGTCTGTCGGTGGCTTATCTTTTTTGAGTAACAAAGAGATAATCGCCACATTGGCGCTGTCATTGAAAGATCCTTTGATTATTGAATAGCTGATCATGTTCAAGAGTAAAGGGCCAAGCTGAGGCCAAAAAGCAACATACAGTTCTGGTGGCACACCATCTAACCCAGGCCATTTACCCTTATTCATAGAATGAATGGCTTCACTTAGTTCATTTAATGTTACAGGTATTTCTAAAGCATTGGCAGATTCAGGTGGCAGTTTAGATAAATTAAGGGATCTTAAGAAATCACTACAGGCTTTTTTGTTATATGTCACTTCAGATATATACAATTTCTTGTAGTAATTCCTAAATGTACTATTATTTTTTCAGGATCTGAGGTGACAGTGCCTCCTTCGGTGGCTATAGCAGATATATTTGCCGGTTGTTCATTGTTACGGATTTTATAGGCTAAAAGGCGGCTTGGTCTGGCACTCTTTAAGTAATGTTTCTGCCGCACCCACTGTATCTGAAATTCAGCTTTCTGCCTTAATATTTCATTTAGTTGTTGAATTTTATCTTGCCGAGTTTTAGTGTTTTCAGGTGTCACATTAGTAATCATTTCTCTTTCTATAGCAGCTATTTCTGTTTCCAGGTTGTCAATTTTAAGCTTATTTGCTCTGTTTAGTTGTGAGGAAAAGCTTATTTCAATATTCCGTATGCACCCTTTAACTGCTTCCCATAGTATTCTTGGGTCATCCACAGAGTCTTGGTTCACTCCAATAAAGAAATCTAATTCCTCTGAAAGGGTTTTCATATATTTATCATTGTATAACAAAGAAACATTAAATTGCCACCTGGGAGCCCTTGATTGGCTGGATTTTGGTATAAATGAGCAAGATACTGTTCTGTGATCTGATAAAGCGCATGGAGTCATTTCAGTGCTGCAAATGGTTTGGAACAAAGGCTTTGAAATAAATATATAATCTATTCTGGAAAAAGATTTGTGGCGTGCAGAATAAAAAGAAAATTCTCTGGCATCAGGATTCATAAGTCGCCAAGCATCACATAAGCCATACTCTTTAACTAACTTTTGAAGTTCACATGAAGCCATTTTCTGGTCACTGCTCTCCCTCTGCCCTGATCTGTCCATGTGGTGGAGCCACACTGCATTGAAGTCCCCTCCAATTAAAAGGTGATAATCAGGGAGGTCTAGCAAAATAGAGTTCAAGGTATCATAAAATTGGTAGTTGAATACATTTGGAGCATAAACACACACTAGAGCAATTTTCAGACCATTATACAAAATTTGCAAAATGCGATGCGGCCATCTTTACTACCTCCTCTGCCCAGGTTGATATACGATAGATTCCTTCTAATTGCAATGAGGACACCTCTATTCTTTTTGGAATGGCAGGAAGTAGCTCCAACTTTAAAATATTTGTTCTGAAATTTGTGTGTGTCTGCTTCCAAATAATGTGTTTCTTGTATGAATGCAAAATGTGTATTTTTACCTATACAATAATATGCTTTGGCGCTTTGGAGGGGAATTTGAGTCACGAGCATTTAAAGAGTGCCCTCGCTGAAGTTTGATAGTGGCCGGGTACAGGAGAAATGCGTAAAATCCTTTGACACAAGCCTCATGCATCGTTTTATAGCAGGCTCTCTGACGCTTAGATGTATGCTCGCTATAATCCGCTGCAAACTTCAGAAGCGATCCCGCAACCTCCGGAGCGTTCCTGCGGGCCTCTTTAAGCAGGGCGTCTTGATCCGTGAAGCGCAGGCAGTTGATGATCAGCGGGCGCGGTCGCAGAGTCTTCCCCGGTGGAGTGGACCGTAGCTGGCCGAGTCGATGCGCCCTCATAAGCTCCGGGGGGGCAGGCGCAAAAGCTGGAAACCACTTCGGGATGTTCTCTCTCAGGTAGGCCAAGGTGTTCGTGCCTTCCACACCCTCCTTGAGATTGAGAATGAGCAGGTTATCCCTCCGTGCTCTGTCCTCCATTTCTGTGACTTTGGCTGTGAGCGCATGGAGTAAGGTATCGCGCTCATCCACTGCCTTTTCCACTCGTGCCACATGTTCTTAGAGCGTGCCTGTATCTTGGCACAATGTCTTGATTTCTTCAGTATGGCGAGAGAGCACGGCATTCATACTGTCCAAGCGCTTTTCAAGTTTTGTATGCCGAGCCTCAGATTTTTCCTCGGCCTCTTTGAAATATTTTGCCATAGTTTCTTCTATTGACTTGACCAGGGCCGTGTTTTCCAGGCCAAGATCTTTGTTCAGCTCCGTTGCCATAGCTCGTATTGTCGCAGTTTTTTCCCTTGTTGCGCGAGTAAACATAGGCACTCGATCTTTCTTGTTCACCCGTAAAAAGCAGACTTTGGTGAGATTAGAGGAGGGAGGCTTATTTTGACCAATCAGATCGCGTCACTGCAACATTTCCTGTTTCTTACTAAGTTAGATCGGATCACTTTGGATCGATTGCTTCTGCCTTGGCATCTTGGATCTTTACTGTGAATTTTCTTCACTGTGAATTTTACACTCTGAATTTTGACTGTTGAATATGAAGGCTTGAAAATATTTGTGCTGAATATTTAAAAGGTGATTTTTTAATATTAAATTTTATACACTAAAAATTTACACTTAAAATGTCAGCAAACAAAAATTCATAATAAAAATAATTCAAACATGTTTTTTTCAGAGTAAAAAATTTGAAAGTGAGAAATTCAACAGCATTTAAAATTCAAAATTTGATGAAACTAATTATCTTTAATACTTAGCAGGTTGAAGGTTAAGGATGAGGTTGTGAGTTCAATTCCTAAGTCAACTGAAACTGAAAAATAACCACTTTGCAATAGTAGATGAATAGCTGCCCTGTCTCCTCCTCACATTAAGGAGGTTGTGGGTTAGACTCCGTATTTTTTATTTTTTTTATAATTATATATTTTTTATTTAAGAACTGTTAATGACTTTTGATAATGTTAGCACAGCTGGTCTGTGCTTGAAATTTAAGTGTCAGCAGTGAGTTTAATATAAAATGTTTTCAATCTTTAGCACCTGCAATAAGTTAACAGCAATTCAAATTTGAACGAAGTCAGTTTCTGCAATGTATTTAATGTATTATCTTAAAAAATATTATGAGTTAAGTGGACAACTTCCTTTTACGTTGTAATGCTAACTGTAGGCACTGCTGTGTTACTAGTTAGGCTACGTTCAAACTGCAGCCTGAAGTGACCCAAATCTGATTTTTTGGCCCCTATGTGACCTGTATCTGATCTTTTATTGACAGTCTGAATGACACAGATCCGATTTTTTCAAATGCGACTCAGGACACTTGGATATGTGGTCCTGAAACCGATACATATCTGATCTTTTGACATGCGACTTCAGTCTGAACGGCCAAGACGCATTCATCCGACCAACACATTATTAACAAGCCACAAACATCACTATTCTGCGCTGAAGTAGGAGAAAATTGTTAATGAACTTTGTGTCACTGAAGCGAAGCACATCACCACTCACCACTCTTGGCTACGTCTCCACATCCACATGTTCCTTTCTACGGACGTCGCTGCCGCTGTCCCACAAAACACCACGGCCAAAAACCTCGTCCTTCTCCTTCTCAATCTCCTCCTTAAAACAAGTAAGTTGTTCATGTTCTGGTTGCGGTACGAGAGGAACTTTAAAATCTCCAGGTGCTCAATGCTCGCGTTCATGTTTGGACAACTTTCGTAAACACAGAACACGCTCACTGCGGTTGATGTCGTTGTGTCTCCAGTGCACATGCGGGACACTTTCAGGCTGTTTACTGTTCACACTGGAGATCACATACAAGTCACATTTAATTCTGAAATGTGAACAACCTCGCAAAAACATCGGATTTCACAAAAAAATCGGAATTGAGCGTTAAGCCCTGCAGTCTGAACGTAGCCATAGACTCTGAGCTTCTTTGAACACAGTCTGACCAGAAATAAATTATTTATCTTAAACTGCATCAGCTGATTTGTGCTGTTAGACAAGTCAATTTCAAGTCACTCTCACGTGTTTTTGTTGAAACTCTCTCAGCATTTTCTGTTTTATTGTTTTAGCTTTTATACATTGGCTGTGTTTTTATGTCTGTGACCAACTGTACGGGGTAGTTTAAAAAGGCTGAATATAGCTAATCTGGAAATGTATGTCTGCTTTGTTTTATTTTGAACAATGATTTTTAAACATGAGAAATATAAATAAACTGACATCGAACTATGAGCTAACTTCAACATGCATAAAAACAAAATCTCTGTAAGGAATAACGTGCACAAAATAGTATAATGGTGTCAAGTATGAAGCAAATAAACTACTGACTCTTCTACTAGCATATTTGAAATCTTTTGCTCCATCTGACCATCTCCTCTGCTCCTCTGACCATCTCCTCTGCTCCTCTGACCATCTCCTCTGCTCCTCTGACCATCTCCTCTGCTTTTCTGACCCTCTCCTCTGCTCCTCTGGTTTTCTAACCCTCTCCTCTGCTTTTCCGACCCTCTCCTCTGCTTTTCTGACCATCTCCTCTGCTTTTCTGATCCCCTCCTCTGCTCCTCTGACCATCTCCTCTGCTCCTCAGACCATCTCGTCTGCTTTTCTGACCCTCTCCGCTGCTTTTCTGACCCTCTCCTCTGCTTTTCTGACCCTCTCCTCTGCTCCTCTGCTTTCTGACCCTCTCCTCTGCTTTCCACCCTCTCCGCTGCTTTTCTGACCCTCTCCTCTGCTCCTCTGGTTTTCCGATCCTCTCCTCTGCTTTTCTGACCCTCTCCTCTGCTTTTCTGACCCTCTCCTCTGCTCCATCTGACCCTCTCCCCTTCTAATCGTGTCTATCCTCGCCATGAACAAAAAGAACTACACATTATGCTATCTCATTTCAAAATCCAGACTTCCATTTTTTGAAAAACTGAAATAAGATGGGTTTTTTTTGCATATTTCAAGCCAAACTTTTAAATGTCTGAGCCAATTTGTTTTTATTTGACGCAGGCTTCAATCATGTTCATTGACTCACTGTAAATGCAACTGAAGTTTTAGACACACTCTGAAAATAATGCAGTTTTCCTCTTATAACCATTTGTCTTTTTTGAATGTACAGTATTGTTCAACAAAGATTCAAGATGGAACGTGTAACTTTTCTGGTGCCAGGCAAAGCAATTCATATAATAAATGCAAGAGATTAACATTAAATACTGTGAAAGAAATGCAAAAACATGTCCACGGAGACAAGCAGATGCCGGACACCTCACCAGAAAAGTTACGTTATCTGTTTATTAACATATCTGTTACAGTTGCAAATATGGTTTTATTTCTGCACAATGTTGACACACACTTGAATGTAAAAGAAGTTTTGAATAAATTATGAAAAATACCACAGTTTTTCAATCTATTTTTTTAAGCAAACTTTTGTGCAATGTTCTTGTTCTACTTCTCATTATAAAAATTGTAATTAGTCTTAGGAATTGTAGTTGTTAGTTGTTGTTCAGTCCACAAAGTTTGTTAATGAAGCGCCTAGTTTATTAATTATTAAAAGACTGATATTATGCAAAACTGACTCCTGAGCTTTAACCCGTTTGAAGACTGCTGACTCCATCCATCCATCCATTTTCGTCCGCTTATCCGGGGCCGGGTCGCTGACTCATCAAAAACAAATCTAGAGTTGTGTTCTGACTCAGTCCTCTATAGTTAGTCTGTCTACATCTCCAAAACTTAAAATTCTCTGTTCCACCTTGTGATGTCATGAAGCTGTAGTTTTCAGATTAACATTTACTTTTTACCTTTAGTTCAATAGAGATTAGCAATTCCAGGACTAAAATGATCCAAATGATTCTAAAGCACAGCGGAGTGCTTCCTGTATTACCACATGACAACATAAGGTGGAACAGCATATTTTCAGTTTGAGAGAAGAACTCAGCCTAAATATGCAGGATTTGTGTGTTAAACATGTGTGAATGAAACAAAACATAACTCCAGGTCTGTTTGTGATGATGAAACTACATTATAGCATAGATCAGAAGATAGTGTAATATGGGCCTTTTAAAGCCCATGTTATTTTAGTCTGTAATGTTTGTGAAGCCTGGTTTAATTGTTAATGTTAGGGAAAGGAGTCGCTTTTTTGTAACCATTTATTGTAATTATTTTAATACATTTTATTTTTCATTCATGATTTTCTTGTTAAGAGTTACATTTTATTATTTTCTTTAAACTTTAAATGTTTACAATCTTTTAAGGCATGGATCTTCAACCTGTAGCTCAGGAGCTACCAGTAGCTCTCCACCCCCTTCCAAGAAGCTTGCGAAGAGATTTCGAAAATTATGCCACTGTACTGAATAAAATTATTATTATTATTATTTTGTGTGCACATAATGCAGGTATCACAGAGAAAAACAATTAGTAGTAATATAATGTAACCATTTTTTATTCCCCAAACCCCCTTCCCATTACCCTTCCCCATTGTCTCTAGAGGAAAAAAAAAATAATAAATAATAATAATAATAATAAAGTAATAAGTAAATAAAATAAATATAGGGAAAAGAGGGAAATACTTTATATTATTATTACTATTATTTTAATTATTATTATTATTATTTTATTTTATAGTATTTCATTTTTTGAATAGCAAACATTTGGTTAATTACATACTTATTACTATTGTAAATGTATAATTTTGAAGCTCAACTTTGTACACTAATAAATGGACAATGGTTTGTGTTTTATAGTCATCTAACTGCACCCAAAGGCTCGCCCTCTTTCTTAGAATCGTCTCAATTTCTTGCGGCCGCTAAAATGAGCAGCTCTGGCATATTTGTTTCGTAAAGGAGCTCACCGGAGGAAAAAAGTTGGAGACCCCTGTTTTAATTAAGGTCTGTTGTGTATGTTTTATTTTGAAGTAACCGCGTTTTTTTTTCTTGAGCGACTTTTATTGTGTTGCGCCACGTAGCGGAAGTGCCGGCGCCTTTCGTTCTCTGAGGCGCGTGGTGGAGACACAAGCCGCTACAAACAGGTGCGAAAAGTTTCAATACCGACAATTTAACACGATCTATGCACATTTTACTCAACAAAATCACTCTTATAGTCCATTTCCTAACTTATCCTTGTAAATTCTGCTTAATAACTTAGTCTGAACATTGTGTATCGGGCTAAACTCTCAAAGTCTGTTAATGACATAATTTCCCATTGATTTGAACCGCTATTTTTTAATTTATGTGATAAATAACACTGTTTTTAGTCAAATGCATTAACAGCTATCCACACGATGCATTGTAAACGTAAATGTTAATAATTCATTGAAACTCAGTCTTCTTGTTTGACCTTCTATGTTATGGCTCCATAATGTGATTGTAGGTGCCTTTGTAGCTTGGATACAGTGTTATTGCACAACTTTAGCTCTTATTTTTGCACCTTTCTGATTGTTTCTGGCACTGGGGATTGTCTAAATATGATAAGAGTCCTTACTGATCAACAAACACCGTTTTAAGGGCGAATTGACCCCCCAAAGTCATAGTGTTACGTTTGTGCTAATATTTAATTTAACTGCATTGTTGTGTGCACGTGGTTTCTATACGTGTTGCTATATTTTGGTCTCCTCTATAATTTTGTTAAGCAATTCATATTAATGCGTTTTTTAGTTGTTTGTTTTGCCATGTTTGACCTGTCATTTGTGTTTTTTTTAATCTATATACTTATATTCAAAACTTTTCTATTATATCTTAAATTCATTGCAAATAACTTCTTTAATTATTATAGACTGTTTAATTCTGCTTTAAAATCGAATTCTATTTAATACAAGATTCATTATTTGAAATATAGGTAAACATTTATGCCATACAGTGTCAAAAGAAAGTAATTTTGTTCTGTTCTTTAAAAAGAATTGTTTATATATTGCAGAATTCGACTGTAAATCTTATGTTACCGATGTATAGTGTTTATTGATGCTGTTTGCTATGTTTAGGAGTGTTCACTATCTTGAATGACACGTCAAGGAGAGTCATACACACACGCTGCACACACGCTGCGGCACAGACCAGGTTTTGAGGTGAAAGGTCATCGAGTTGTGATTGGTCGACAGCTCTCACCCGGCTCCTCTGTGATTGGTGTTTTGTTTTGTTTTTTGCCTTTTTGCACATGTATATTTGACAGTTATGCATATTTCCCCAATGAATTATTTTAGTTTTTAGGTTTGTTTTTTATTCAGTGAACTGCAGGAGACTTTGCTTTGAACTGAGACTGATTTGGGTTTTGAGTTGTTAATCTGGATTAGTCCAGTTTCCAGATCTGTCCTGGTTTAGATGTGGTTTTAAGCATGTTTTAGGGTGCTTTTTTAGATGGCCATACTTGCACAATTGGGACTAAACTCAAACAGGACCAAACCAATCCTAAAACCTGGACCTAACCAGACCAGGACTGAACCGGGACTGAACCAGGACTGGACTGTGACTGAACCGGGACCGGACCGGGACTGCGCCAGACCTGCACCAAACCCAGACCATCAGCCTGAGTATATGTATCCTTATTGGCTTATGTTTGTCTATGAATTGTGACATCTGGCAAGAGAACTTTAATCATTTTTTACAGTTTTAAAAGTGCATTATGTAACTTTTTGGATAGTGTCCAGCACCTACCTGCTTGTCTTCATGGAGATGTCATTGCGTTACCTAAGAGTTTCACAATATACAAGAATATACAAGACAAGTAAGGGACCCCAAGAGGTATTGAGCTCTTGAAATGTTGTATAGTGCACCTTATTAAATAACTGTGAAAACCTTTCTCTTAGTTATTTCCTGTAGACTATAACCTTATTACTGTAGGATTATGATCCTACTAATTCAAGACACATGTCACGGATATACCCCGGGACTTGGCTGCCATGGAGTTTATAAACAAAACACTAACAGAGGAACAAATCTTGAGTGTGCAGTAAGTTAAGGAGGCCTGGAGGCAGAAGTCTGGACCTACACTGCAAAATAATCATTAACCTGCTGCTTACACATGTCCAGTTATTATTGACTTACACAACTCAAAGCTGTAACCACACTGATAATTCACTGTAGCAATGTGTATTTAGTCCTTCACCTACACTAGAAATACACACGGTAGGGGGTGGTAGTGGCTCAGTGGGGGAGCGCTCGCCCAAAAATCAGAAGGTTTGTGGTCTGAAAGTAGCGTGATATTGCATACATTTGCATAGCCAGTATAATCAGATAACCCAATAATTTAATCTGATTTTGGTGTGTATTAAATCTGATCAAGAACATGTCTGTTCATAAGTGGTATTGCGATTGTAATAAGATTAGTAATTAATTAGTAATTAAATTAGTTTTTAAAGGTCCTGTATTATGCAAGATTGAGTCCTGTAAGATTTTACCCATGTTATAATGTTGTTACCTCCTCAAAAACATGCCTGGAGTTGTGTTTTGGTTCATTCACACATGTTTGAGTAACCTTTAATTAGTCCTTTTTTATTGGTAATTCCTGAGCACATGTATGTTTCAATTGTCCGAATGATTCTAGTGAAGGTGTATGGAGTTTAAAAACACAATTAACCTGTATTACCACGTGACATTAGAGGGTGGAACAGAGTGTTTTGTTTGAAAGAAGAACTCAGCCTATATATATACAGGGTTTGTGTGTTAAATGTGAGTGAAACACAACTCCAGGTCTGTTTGTGATGTGGAAACTGCATTAGAACAGAGGTCAGAAAATAATGTCATATGGGCCCTTTTAAATAAGGGGGTTCTAGTCAAAGTTTACATTTTAAACACACACAGAATTGAAGAAAAAAAAACTGAAATCTGAACTGACTATTACCAGAACCGGTTTGTGCAGATCTAAATTACAGGGTTAGACGTTTTTATGCAGAATAAGACAGAGACTTTTTGTTGAGGAAATGATAGTACTTAGACAACTGCAGCCTTTGTGATTTGCTAATTGCATGAAAATTTATCTCAAATTGATCTAAATCTTGGTGCCCTAAAGCAAAAGTATATATTAAAGGTGAAATGGACCCTCCACCAGAAAGGTTACGCAATGAATGCACCTTTAAAACATATTAGCAAAGTGAACTGGTCTTTTGCCAATGTGGTTTTGTCATTATATTTACCCCCCTATGATGACACACTGTACAGACATGTTCCTCACACACAGTTGCATCACGTAGTATTGCAGGCTCAGTGCACCCAAACCTCTGCTGGGTTTAACACTGCCCCCGTGGACTCCATCAGGTCATTCACCAGAACACTCACTCAGTGCACAGATCAGTTGCCCCTGAACTAGAGTCTAATTCAGAATCTATTCAAGAGCATTTAAAGGGCTCATATTACACTATTTCTGATCTATGCTCTAATGTCATTTTCTCATCACAAACACACCCACATTCGTGTTGTTTCATTCACACACTTTCCCTGTATATTTAGGCCAAGTTCTTTTCTCAGGTTGAATCCACCCCGTTCCGCCTTGTGATCATGTGGTAATGCAGGAAGAGATCCACTGTGGATAATTTTAGACCTGAAATTTTCCGATCTCTACTAAACAAACGTTAAAAGGTAAGTGTTAACTTGAAAACTAACACTACATAACACTACATGACAACACAAGGTGGAACAGAGCATTTTGAGCTTTGGAGATGCTTTGGACTAATTATACAGGATTATTAAAACGTGTGAATGAAACAAAACATAACCTCAGGAATGTTTTTGATGAAGTAACAACATAACTTAAAGCTCATGAGTCAATTTTACGTAATATAAGAGCTTTAATGTTTTTTTGTGTTTTTTTTTTTTCAAAATTTTCTCTTTATAGTTTTTGTTTGTGGGTCTAAATATGAGGAGGTCAAGGCCTGAGCAGGTGGCATAGTCAGCAGTGACGTTTGACCTTTCACCTCTAGAGTGTTGGTTAGATGGCTTTTGTAAAAAGAAGCTGACTACTCACTACTGATTGCTATGTAATTACATAAATACTATTTACTACAGTATAAAGGAAATATAACCACTGTAATCTTCCCACTTCCCAGTTAAACTTTAGAAGCTGAAGTTAGGAAACTAATTTAAATGGAAAGACAGTTCACTCACTAATATGAATGTGATGTTTGTGAGTGTTGGTGATGGTCAGAGGGGTTGATGGTGCAGATTGGCAGCCTCACTTCCACCACTATGTCTTAGGACAGCTGTGGCTACAATACATGCATCAAGAATCTCGGACTTCCAGTCATTGCACAATGCATACTGGGAAGGATTTTCAGTGGGATGTGTCTATTGACAAAGCCGATCTTTTCAAGTCTTTTGAACCATATCACTTTTGTTTCTGGTTCTGATATTGTCATATTTTAGTTTTGGGATTCAGACTTTGTTAATTGTGTGGTTATTGGATCCTAACAGTAGAAAACGGCTCGAGAAATGTGTTTGCGAATTCCAAAGATGCAAAAGGAAATCAGATGTGTGTGACTGCAAACCTCTGTTCAAACTGTTTCTCTTCCCAACAGAATTGAAAAATAGTGAAAGGTGAAGGCGATGGGCAGGATTGATCCAACATACAAAATGTTCTCTACAAACTTGATGATTTAGGCAGTCAAAGGTTTCCTTTTTGGTCATTCCTCTGGGTCAGCCCATCGCCTTCACCTTCCACTATTTTTCAATTCCGTTGGGAAGAGAAACGGTTTGAACAGAGGTTTGTAGTAATACACATCTGATTCCCTTTTGCATTTATGGAGTTCGCAAACACATTTCTCGAGCCATTTTCCACTGTTAGGATCCAACAACCACAATTATCGATATCTGAATCCCAAAACTAAAATATGACTATATCAGAACCAGAAACAAAAGCGATATGGTTCAAAAGACTTGAAAAGATCGGCTTTGTCAATAGACATATCCCACTGGGAAAACAAACATGGTGGTTTGATGCTCACTTTTTCAGAAAATCCTTCCCAGTATGCATTGCGCAATGACCGGAAGTCCGAGATTCTTGATGCGTGTATAGTATCTTAACAGCACAGAGTGTGGAGTGAATGAAGAATGCACTGTGGGTGCCTTGAAATGTGCCGTGTCTTTAATTCTTAAAAGCAGACATATTGTGCTCATGTGTACTATAGTTCTAATCCCTAAGACCCGTGGATCATTATGTTTATATTTTGCACATTTTAAATCATAATATTGATCTAAAATCACTGAAAGAAACAATTGCGCCAATTTCTGCGTTGGAAAACTGTGGTGTCCCATGGGTGCTGAAGTTGGAGTAAACGTCATCACAACAAAGCGCTGCATGCTGTGAGCCCTTCCTATGGATAGTTGCACGTCACACTAGTGAGCCTTAGTTGTACTAAAATGCATATCAAATTGGAGAACGAAATAGGTCCAGACCATTTGATGTGAAGCGATGGAGGTGAAAACGGGAGTTGACTGGCAAGATAGCATTTTGAAAATAAGCAACAAAAGATTGCTCAAACACGAATCACAAAACACTGCAAATTCAACTTTGACTGGGTGAACAGAAGAGGAAACTATTATAGCATGGTAAAAAGCTCTGAAAAGTCTTTTGTAAAATAGATCTACTTTAAGAACAGGTTTTCAGTGGGTGCTGGTCTATTGTTTAAACTAAACTAAAGCTTAATTGTGAACTCTCAGCTCATTGTGTTTTATTGCATTGGTGGAGCTAAATATAAGAGTCTATATTTAGCTGAAGGTCATCTGCTATAGCCTCTCTTGTGTCAGTGTGTACAAAGGACTCAGGTTTGACTCTGTGTCTCTGGTTGACTCGATATAAACTTTTATCTGATTGGCTGCACTGGGCACTAGGGCAAAGGGCACCGGGGCAAAGGGGAGGACCACTTTGAACTCCAGTAACATCAGAATCAGACAAGTCATGACCAGGGTTACGGGCATTTGGGATGTTACGACACTGTTAACTCCAGGGGCTGGGTATCATTAAGAAGTTGCCGATACAATGCATATCTCAGTACATAGGCCACGACACAGTGAGCTTTTGATTTGATACGATATATTTCAAATCTAAGTGTTTGTTTAAACTTGTGCAGGGTTATTTGAATGAAGTTTAGACAGTGTCATGGCAATCAGAAATGTTCTTGTAAGAGGTAGGGCTTTCTGAGTACTTTTCCTTTGTTTCCTATAGCACTGTAATTACATATATCTGCTTCTCATTCAGTCTGAAAGCTGAATTTTCTTTTTGGTTATTTTTTGGCTATAAGATCAGATTGTAACATGTGTGTGTAACATTTCAGTTGGGGGTCCATCCCCTGCTTGTTTCCAATGGATATGTCACTGCTGTGCTTCAAAATGTTCCATAGTATGACATTAAACAGCTCTCCCTTACATTTATTCAATCATAGGTAGTTTTATTGCTCAAAAATATCTAGAAAATCAGGCATTCTGACTGTGAGCAGGGTTGCATCTTCACAGATCTGACCTGTAACTTAGGTTAACTCATAGTTTTTTAACAATATTGTAGATTTAGAATAGTTTTTGAGGTTTAAATCTGCTATTGGATTATTATTGTGTCAATGGCGTAAATTATTTCCACATTGTCTATATTATATCTATATTATATTATTGTCTATACCTGTACTTACTTCAGCTATGTATCGTACTTGCCTCATTTGCCTTATTTGACATCAGTTTCTTGCTATTTCTGCTACTTATTTAGAATTTATTGCACAATTTCTCTTTATAATTATATTTACATTATACATTACATTACATTATAATATGCTGTGAGCTACTGTGTCCAAATAATTTCCCTTGTGGATCAATAAAGTCTAATTACTTCAAAATTTGTTGTCATGACAGATTTAATGTCATGGCACCTAGAGATAGACATATAGCTTGGCCGATATATTGGGCCGATATTTAGGGATGTAAAAGAATAGAACAGAATAGAAAGCCTTTATTGTCATTATACAATAGTATAATGAAATTCAGAGCTGCTCCGTTAAAGTGCAAGAATCAACAATTAACAAATAAAACAAATCAACAGTTCCCATTCAGCATGGTGACAGTTTTGGGGAAGAAGCTGTCCCTGAGTCTGTTGGTCCTAGCTGGTATTGACCTGAAGCGCCTGTCAGAAGGCAACAGTTTGAACAGGTGGAGTCCAGGGTGTGTATTGTCTTTAATTATTTTCCTCGCTCTGCTGAGACAGCGAGAGTTGTATAACGTGGTCAAGGAAGGCAGAGGGCAGCTAATAATGTCCTGTGCAGTGTTGGTGACTCTCTGCAGACACTTCCTGTCACCTTCTGTGCTGCAAGTAGAGTGCCACACTGTCACTGCATAGGTCAGCAGGCTCTCAGTGGTGGAACGATAGAAGGTCACCAGCAGGCTTATGTTAATAACCAAAATATCATATATCATCAGAACTCGCAATAATATCATGGACTGTCACAATATATTGAATTGCAAGGTTTTTCACTTTTCAGTTTTTAAAAAAAAGAGGGAACTGCATAGGCCATGATCCTTTACTTCATTTAGTACACAATAGAATCACTTATTAAGCACTTTTAAATCTTATTTCTTTGCGGTGTGACAGTAATGATTCATACTGAGGACTGGTCAAGGTATTTAAAAAGGAAAAATTAGCGTATGTACAATTCTGTTAACCTCTCCAAAATATCACAGTCATTATCATACCGTAAGATGCCCAGCCTTTTCGATTCACATAATGTAGAGGCAAGTTTGTACAATTCAAAACTATCAGCACATTCTCGTACTCACGTAGCATACGAGTAGTCATAGCACTGTGTCACTGATGAGGTCATTGATTTTGGTGAATCCTGAGCGTGTTTTGTCACACTTTGACCTCTGACATTTGCCCTCTGACAGGCAGCCCCGGGTCATAACTCTGGTCGGGTGCATGACGGTTACTGCTGTTTCTCCAAAGGGCTCCACCAAAACCACAGCTGCAGCCTCCTAAAGATCTACAGGTGAGTGATGAGCGGGTTTCAACTTTGGTTCTTTTTCTGTACTACAATGTTATTTCAATTCAATTCAATCTTTATTAAGAACACATGATATCTGGTTCATAGTATTAAGACAATAGTAAGAATAAAAAGATAAATACAGTGCATGTTATAATGTATACAGACAAGAGCGCCAGTGTCTCCACAGCTTAGAGGTGAATCTGACAGAGCTCCTCACAGGACACACTAGAGCTTCAATGATTTGATTACTCAGATTCATTGCTCTACACATAAATTAATAAATACAACACCTGATTATGACAACACAGGGTCTCACATCACAATTTACAAACATTTCACTGGCGCTACAAAACCCCGGCACTTTCAGTAATATTCTCAAAGAGTCGTTATACGCCACTGTCAAACTCTGCAAACTGTTTTTCTTATAGTTGCGTCAAAGATGCGCAGTATACAAAGGTGAGCAAAAACATTTAAAAAGTGCAATTTTGACATGACTGGAGCACATGGAGAACTACTGACCCTAAAAGAGTCAGAAGTAGAATCACCCCATTTCACCTGCACGGACTGACAGGTATACCAGAAAATAAGTATTCTAATGAGGTACCCTGGAACACCTCGGTTTGTTAATTTGTTGAATAGTTTCCCATGATTAATCCGGCATCTCCTTCAGTGCAAATATACATGTGTCAGTGCCATGACCATGCTTAAAGCCAAACGGATTAGCCGTAGTGTACAGATATGGCTCGAGTCTGGTTAACAGAATCCTCTCTAGCACCTTTGACAATGAGCTAGCCAGTGCTATTGGCCGATAATTGTTAATGTCACTAAGTTTACTCATTTTATTTTTGACAACAGGAACCAAAACAATAGACAGGAGAGACTCTGGCAAGAGGCCATGGACCAGGAACCCAGTAAAGCAGATGGCTAGGAGTGGATACAGCTTAGCACTAGCAAACTTCAGGTGTTCAGATGTCACCTGGTCTATCCCACTGGATTTGTTATTCTTTAGTCTAGAGACAGCATCAAATACCTCTTGAGGAGTAACTATAACCCCTGCGTGGTTTTCTACAGCCTCAATCACATTTACATTGCTTTTAACACAATTGAACAAGTCATAGTAAAAATTCCTCCAAAACTGACAGATATCCTTAGAGCTACTCACACCATTAACATTAGATGGGAGAGAAGTTCTACATCTGTTTAACATTTTGATCTCTTTCCAGAAGTCATTGTATCCATTGTTTTGCAATTTTGATGCAAGAGAGTTGGCCCTTAAGGTGTTTTCATTCCTCCTAATATACCTAAGAGCATATTTAAACTTAGAATTAGCCCGTTTTTTCCCTTCAAAGACAGGTCCATATCTAGGCCTTCCAGCAGCAACCCAAGCCTTGAAAGCCTGCCGTGCTTCAGCGTGAAGCTCTTCAACAAACTTGTTCCACCCAGGTTTACCACTATGACCATTACCCCTCCTTTTACATAGAGCCCAGGCAGACATAATAAGAGCATTCACAACAGTGTCATATAGGAGGCCCAGATGAGCACCATGTTCAGAATTGGTGCAGTTAGCATTGCGGCATAATATGACATCTCTAGGAAGCACAGTATCCTTGAGACTTAACTCAGTTCTTTGAGTGTAGGCATAGACTTCTTCACAAGAAAGACTGGACCAGTCTGGGCACTCCCATTTGCCACCGTTTACAGGGGTACTCAAAGGGGTCAGTTTAGGAACATTTTCTACATTAAAATTAAAAGTAAGTGGCATATGATCATATGTAGCCATATTGTACTCAATCAGCATTTTTACAATGGAAGCATGTGCATCAGCAGTGGTCGAGCCAGGATGTAGTGTGCCACGCATCACTGACATATAGCTACCAGCAGGCAGGAGCTCCTCACTGGACAATACAAGTCCACTTTTATCACAGAACTGTTTCAAATGTTTGCCAAAGGAAGATCTACTATCAGAAATGTCAGCATTCATATCTCCAACTATGTAAATGCAAGAACAGTCCAAGTCCTCAATGAAAGCAAGAATACATGCCAGTCTATTCAGATACTCATCCTCGTTCTCCACACACTCATATGGTGTATATACGTTCAAAATAATAAATTTAGCATCATTACAATGAAATTCCAGACCAATAGCCCAGTTCACACCAAGTCTCAGTACCTTAATCAAACAGTCATAGTTTTTACGCCAAAGGATGGCAACGCCACCAGAAATTCTGCCTTTAATCAGTTTATAGTCAAGGTCAGTAGTGGATTCTCCTTCTCTGTGAAAATCCTTATGTAATCCATTGAGCTTATCAAGGTCCTGTTTGGCTAAAAAAGTCTCTTAGATGCACAAAACATCGCAAGTTTCAAGGAACTTATCCACAATAATACGCCGTGCTTTATCCCCATCACAGTGTCCAACACGCAGACCGCGCGCATTATAGGAGACAACAGAGAAAGACATTTTCATTTATGTTTTTAGCTTCTGCTCAGTGCTCTCGTTTACCGAGCTGCCAACAGGGCGAATTCCATGTGTAGCCGAGAGTTGAATTGCGCCTGAGGGCTGTGCCCTGCCACCGGACTCATGCGTGCCCCTCGGTCGCCGTGCTTCGTAGTAACTGTGTATGTACGCCCCGACTGGCCACAGGTCAGGGTCGTACATTACGGCAATATCAGTACATTCAGCCGTAACATGAAACGAACTATAACGGCTCTGTGCAGAAGTAATCTTTGTGCACATAACGGATTTGTTATTTAATTTCAAATATTCATGCAATGTCTCAGCTTCAAGTGCAGGATCAAATCGAGTGGCAAACAAACTCACCCGCTTCGTTCTTACCGCCTGGATGCTGCTAGCAGTGCTAGCTACACAGATCCGATTTTTTTCAAATGTGACCCAGGACACTTGGATATGTGCTCCTAAAACCGATACATATCTGATCTTTTGACTTGCGACTTCAGTCTGAACGGCCAAGGCGCATTCATCCCACCTACACGTTATCAACAAGCCACAAATGCACACAAATGTTTTTCTCGTCATACGAAAATTGTTAATGAACTCCGTGTCACTGAAGCGAAGCACATCACCACTCACCACTCTTGGCTACGTCTCTGCATCCACACGTTCCTTTCAACGGACTGTCCCACAAAATGCCATGGCCAAAATTCTCACCCTTTTCCTCCTCAATGTCCTCCTTACAACAATTAAGTTGTACTTGTTCCGACTCCGGTACGAGAGGAACTTTAAAATCTCCAGGTGCTCAATGCTCGCGTTCATGTTTGGACAACTTTCGTAAACACAGAACACGCTCGCTGTGGTTGATGTCGTCGTGTCCTCCAGTGCACATGCGGGACACTTTCAGGCTGTTTACTGTTCACACTGGAGATCACATACAAGTCGCATTTAATTGGAAATGTGAACAACCTCGCAAAAACATTGGATTTCACAAAAAAATCGGAATTGAGCGTTAAGCCCTGCAGTCTGAACGTAGCCATAGACTCTGAGCTTCTTTGAACACAGTCTGACCAGAAAGAACCGACTTATCTTAAACTGCATCAGCTGATTTGTGCTGTTAAACAAGTCAATTTCAAGTCACTCTCATGTGTTTTTGTTGAAACTCTCCCAGCGTTTTCTGTTTTATTGTTTTAGCTTTTATACATTAGCTGCGTTTTTATTTCCGTTACCAATGGTACGTGGTAGTTTAAAAAGGCTGAATATAGCTAATCTGGAAATGTATGTCTGTAAGTGCACATGCGGGACACTTTTGGGCCGTTTAATGTTCACACTGGAGATCACATACAAGTCGCATTTAATTGGAAATGTGAACGACCTCGCAAAAACATCGGATTTCACACAAAAAATCTGAATTGAGCGTTAAGCCCTGCAGTCTGAACGTAGCCATAGACCATCACAATATATCAAATTACAAGTTTGACATATCTGGTGTAAACTGTCACAAATAACGCCTTATTTGTGCTTAATTTGTGTCTGCATTTGGGATGAAGTGTTCCATGTTGTTGACATATGTAGACTCTAGAGGGTTTTAGAACTCAGCGCTACTTCCTGCATTTTTGTACTTTTCTTTTCACCTGTTTTTACACAAACTGCCACTTAGAGGTGCACTATGTAACTTCTAAGGTGGAGGATGCATAACCTGCTTGTTTCCAGGGAGATGTTATTTCTCTTCCTGGAATGTTACACAGCGGGACATTTTATAGCTCAAAAATTCCTGTAAAACCATCTGCAGACTTGCTTCTCCATGGATCTGACCATTAACTTGCCTCCATTGTGATTACCTAATTTCATACTGTGGAATAATCTTGGCAAAACTGTAATATCTCCATGGAGACAAGCTGGTGGTGGACCCTATACCAGAAAATTTACACAATGCATTTTTAACTGATGTAAAACTATTTCCTATTGACTACAGGTACCATAGACCAAGAAATAATTAATAAAACAAGAAACGTATGCACTTTCATATAATGAGACTAAATGTCCCCGAGTCACTATGGGGTCTTATTCTGTATTAAACCTGCTGTAACCCTGTACTTTAGACCTGTACAAACATGTTCTGAAATCTTATCACGACACCAAATGCTGCTAAATAGTGCAATAAGAGATCAGTTCAATATTGCCCAATGGATGCTGGAGTAAGTGCACGTATTTTCAGGGTTTTAGTCTTATTTGCAATGACAAAGCATATTCTGTTTTTTATTTTAGTTTACTAGTTTATAATTTAGTCTTCTCTTAAATGTTATGGTCTTTAATCATGTACACAGTGAATTGAATCTTGAAAATAATAAATAATAATAAAAAAAAAAAAAAACTATTTGGACCTTGGTAGAAAATTGGACAAAATTAAGATGAATGCAAAAAGTTGGTCATTTCAGCATGCGAAATAAGACATCCCTGTAGTCTCTCTCAGTTAAAGGTGCTGTACCTGATTTTTACTGTGTTAAAAAGGTGAAAAACAGAACTATAATTCATTTGAAACAGTTTGCAGTGGTCTAACCCTTCACTTACCTTACTGCATTCTGAGCATCCTAATTATTTATCAGGATGAGTTTATAAGCACTTTTCACAACTTTCAGAAGGCAGAAAAACTAAACGACTACCATGCTCACTGCACACTTCCTGATCATCAGACAGTAAAACACTTTATAATTAGATGCAGACAGTCCACCGTGGTTTTATTTTGACCTCAAGATCTGCTTATACAATATATCTATACTGAGGCAAGACACGTTTTGCTTAAATAAATGCACCAGAGACTGTATACCTTATTTTTTGGACTATAAGGCGCACTCAAAATCCTTTTAATTTTCTCAAAAATTGACAGTGCACCTTATGTGTTAATTGTGGTTGTGCTCACTGAACTCGAACAGATTTTATGTGCTACGCGGCGCTCAAAAATCAGTTAAAATGTTTTAGTACGACTTTGGTAAGCTACAAAGCCGCACTGCTTGATGAATTGTTGAAGCATTACTACTACTGTAGTCAGGAGCCTTGCAGAGTAAAGGAGCGAGCTGTTTTTTTCAGTGCTTATAGTTTATGCAAATTAGCCATGTGGTTTTAAGATTTCTTTCTGTAAAAGGTAAACAAATGTGCACAAAGCTGCATTAAACGCATTATTACTCAATGTATATTTAAGTCCTCGTAAGAAATAAAAATCCAAACTTAAATGATCTACCCACATTCACATTCATAATCACCAAGACAGGGAGGCAACGCCGGGCGAGTTACGCCACAATCTTCCAATAGATCGTGGATGCTTGGGTTAAGTGTCAAGGGTCAAGTGTCGTCCGTTTGGTTCGCTTAATGCGCCTTATAATCCGGTGCACTTTATGTATGAAAATAGATGAGAGAATTCAACATCATTGATAATGTGCCTGATAATCCAATGTGCCTTATAGTCCGAAAAATACGGCATATGGACACGGCTAACCTGCTAGCCGCCACATTCCAAATAGGAAGTGAGCATGGGCACGCATCCGGCTCCATCGACACCAAATCACTTTCTACTGAAAAACTGTTGTTCTTCTCTGTCTCATCATATTTGAGTTAAAAATTCATATTAACCGCTTTAAGTGATTTTATTTTGCTATTTTGTCCGTAAATCAAGATATGAACTGTAATAACAGACAAGTCAGGTGCCCTTTTTTCTCCCTCTAATCACTCCCTGCTCAATCGCCTTGCTCCTGATTGGCTCTTTGGTTCACCCCTAAAACTTCAAGCCTTGATGAGCTTCATTTGACTGGACCCAAACACTGTGGGTGACATCACACTCCCTTATGAACTAAACCCCAAAGTAAAATAAAATAAACTTTCATTTGAATTATAAAAATGCAATACCCTCATAACTTTAACATTGTTATATTTAATTAGGTGATAGAAATGATTTTGTATTATTCATTTTGTATATTTCTCATAAACCAAATACAGAACACTGGCACCTGCTCCTTCTGAAAGTGGGGCATAGTTCATTCTATACACCCTGTACACACTGTACACAAGAAGATGATGTCACTTGATATTTTAAAAGTACTTTCACAGCAGTTTAAGGTCAGTTTGTCTCCTGCAGGCTATTCTTATCCTCTGTAGTATTTAACTAGAGCTCACCGACTTATCTACTGCTTATTATCTCAAATCTCATAAACCCAGCTTTGTTTACAATCTAAACCGGTTTATCGTGTTAAATGAGTACCGTAATCTGATTTCTCCCTGGCTGGTCACACATGTGCAGATTTTGATAAGGAAAATTATGCAAAAAGTAAACTAATGTGGCAAACACAAAAATCAATGGGAAATGTTAAAAGATTAAAGGGGCAAATGCAAATTGGGCAACTGCATTTTTTTTCTCATATTGAACTTGGACTTGGACAAACTTTATTCATCCGCAAAGCAAATTATTTGGATTATTTGTAGCTCAGACATCACAATATAATAAATAGAATAACAAAGAGAAAACGTATCAATAGTAATAATACATTCTAAATAAAATAAGTCTAATGTTATTTAACCATCACTTTTTTTTTTATTTAACAAATATAAATTGCGTTCTATCTTAATTACACAAGCATAATTAAGAAGGGCTGCACTTTTCCAAATTTCTTTCTCCAAAGTTAGAACTCTGGGACCATTGTTTACAATATGTAAACAAGGTAACGTTATTGAATCACCTCTACATATTTCATATCTGTTGCCCAGTAAACAAAATTGTAAAAACTAGTAGACAACTTTTGTTTAGAAAAATCTTAAACGTGCATTGTGTCACTTCTCGTGGTGGATCTGTCACCTGCTTGTTTCTATGGAGATGTCACTGCTCTGCCAGGAATGTTCCACAGTAGAGCCCTGCAATCCCACTGGACCCGACACAAAACAGTGTGGTGCAGGACACATTTTGAAAGCTCACTGCAGGAGCGGGTGGGAGTGGGACAGCACAATGCAGGAGTGGCCGCAAACGAAATATGAGTGTAAAGTAATATATACAAATGATGAATTATGCCTGTCATGCAGAATTTGTGCGCGGACAGTCCCCCCACGTCCCCTACGCCGCGCGGACAGTCCCCCCACGTCCCCTACGCCGCGCGGACAGTCTCTCCTCCCATACGTCTCACGGGCTGTGCCACTAAACCAGGACTAAACCAGGTCTAAAAACAGCAATAAAATGGAACTAAAACAGGATTTAGCTAGGTCTTAACCATGCCGCCGGTCTGCCCACCGCGCCTCCTCCTTTACGCAGCCCAATTCCTTTGGTTTCTCCATTTTTGATAGAGCTTAAGAAAGCAAAGGTTCCCATCCTGCGGGACTTGCGGGTGGGAGTGGGACAAAATATTGCAGATGCGGGACTGAAAATTACAATTCTTTGCGGGAGCGGGACTGAAAATTCTGTTCCGCACAGACCTCTATTCCACAGTATGACATGAAACGGCTTTACCCCACATTTATTCAATCACAGGTGGTTTAGGTCAAAAACACCTAGAAAAACAGGCATTCTGACTGTGAGAGGGGTTCGCCTTTCCACAGATCTGACCTCTAACTTGATCTGTGCAAATATTAGGTATTTAATATAAGTATTTTTAGTACAATTTTAAATAGTAGAATGTGTAATCTAACCTTTCATTTGAACTTTAATATTTGTTGTCTGTCTGTCTGTCTGTCTCTCCCCCTCTCTTTAGGCCCCTCCTCCTCCTCCTCTCAGGCTCCACCCCCTTCACATTATCGCACCATGAATCAGGAGTTACTACAGAAGTTGCGTTTGCCAGATCTGGATGAGATCGGCCAGTACCTGCGCTCCTTCTCCACTCCGGCTCTCGTCAGCGTTGGTGCCGTTGCCATGGCGTACTTTCTGGCTACACGCTCCAAGCCCCTCCCACCGGCCTGCGACCTCCAGAAGCAATCTGTAGAAGTGAAGGTGAGGTTTTTTGGTATTTAATTTTAATAATAAATGACACATAGTTATGTTCACAATATGTTGATTCTAAAACATTGAAAAAAATTATGATTTTTTTTATTTATTTTTTGGTCTGAAATATACTTAAAGGCTCGGTAACTGATTTATCCTCTTTTACTGTAATTTTAAACAATTTTCAGTGGTTCAAAGTTACTCTTCACTTACCTTATGCATTCAGAGCATCTTAATTCTCCACAATGAGTTATATTGTTCAGCAGTTACCATGGTGGCACAATGCACACATTAGCCAACAATGCTAAAAAAAAAAAAAGTTTTAAGATGGTCTAAAAACTCAAGAAAAATTCAAAATGGATTTAAACATCACATTTTCAGTGACTAACTGAAAAACTGTTGGTTAATGTTAGCTGGCTTGTGACTGTAATTTAATTTGAGATGGGCTTGGTTAATCATGCCATCAAATCATGCCCTCTGTTGTACTTCCAGCTAAAACAGTGCTTTCTGGTCAGATTGTGTTAAAATAAAACTCATCTTAACTTTAACTTGAGTAACAGCTTCAGACAGAGCGGTGCTTCACCCCCCCCCCCAGAGAATGTTGATGACATCATCTGCAAAGTGAAATTTTCACAACTCAGTCAGTCACAAAAATTAGCATTCTAACTTGCATTTGCTGATAAACGGACAGTATAATACTTTCTAATTTGTGCAGTAGGGCTAGTGCAATAACTTGGACACTTTATGGTTGTGCACAAATGGACAATGGACAACAATAATAGACACATGTCCATATCATGTTGTGATGAGCTCTGACTGTAGTGTGAGTGTAACTGTTTTTAAGCTCAAGACCAATATCCTCTTTTGGACAATAAAGTTGATCTTATCTTAATCAGATGCAAACAGCAAACAGTGGACACATTTTGACCTCAAGAGCTGCTTATGTAACATGTCTATACTGGGACAAGACAAATATTGCTCAAATACATTGGATTAAAATCAAATACAGGACCTCCGTTATGCAAACATTATTGACTGAGGCATTTATGAAATAACTAAACGTGCTGAATATGAGATTGCTGCAGCCACTGATCTGAGCTCAAATGCCTTCACTTGGACAGTAGTTTTTACAATTTATCTCCTAATGTAATTTCATATTGTGCACATTTTTACTGTAATTTGTTAACTTCATCTAAGAGGAATGAGGAAGATATTGGTCTTAAAATAGGCTTGAATAGATGAAGACTGTTTTATTATGAGCTACCAGAGCTCAGAGAATAACTAATGCCAAGCAAAAGATAAAAACTTGTGCCCACTGTGTTTAAGTATTAGTGCCCAATCAGGGGAAGTTAGTTTTGAATGAATTATGATTTTTTTTTTTTATATATATATAATCTAAAATAAATATTTATTTTAATAATGCAACACGGAGCTAATGTTTTCCTGAACATGGGACTGAACCAGGACTTGTTTTTTTTTTTTTTTTTGCATTATCTTGATAACGATGTACAAAAGAATCACTTTATATACCCTTGTTTGGCAGATTACACTAGACATTTTTGATATATTTTATTTTGAATCCTCTCCACTTGGTGTCCTTTTTAGTGTCACTAAAAACCCGGCTGTAATGAAGACAGTCATGCGTGATGTCACGTAGTACCTGAATTTGCAGCAGCCACTGGAGGCAGCACACACTCGGCTTTGACAGTTTTTGAACACAAAGCTGCAAATAATAATATATGCATATACACAGTTGGGTAGCAAAAAAAAGTTGAATTAATATTAATATTTCTTAGCATTTAGTGTCTCCAAAGCTAAATCTTCTCTTTTCCAGGGAGGAGGTCTGGCTCGGCGCTCTGTGCTTTCTGATGGAGATGAGCCCATGACACATTTTTACAATGATGCTAAAACCATGTACGAGTTCCTCCTCAGAGGGGCTCGCGTCTCAAGTGAGTCAATCAAAAAAAGATGTATTATTATTATATATTTAAAGATGCAATATATTTTGAACGGTTTAGAGGTCCAAGGTTCTTCCTCACTTACCTTATGCATTCAGAGCATCATATATATGTATATATGTGTATATATATATAATATATATATATATATATATATATATATATATATATATTATATATATATATATATATGTGTGTGTGTGTGTATGTATATATATATGTATATTATATATGTATGTATATATATGTGTGTGTGTGTATATATATACATATATACACATATATATATATACATACACACACACACATATATATATATATATATATATATATATATATATATATATATATACATATATATATATATCTATCTGGTATATCCCCTTTTAACTGTTTATTACTGCTGCTACTGCTTTATTACATACTTAGTTACTACTGCTGTTACTACCAATGTTACTGCTACCATTTTGACAACAACTGCTTGTACTATTTACTTCTACTACTATTGTTTTCATTCATACATTGGTCTCTCTCCTGTTTCCAGATAATGGTCCATGTTTGGGCTCCAGAAAACCCAAGCAGCCATATGAATGGCTCTCCTACAAAGAGGTGTGACTCTGAGATTGAAATATGTTTTTAGTAATAGTTTATACGTTTAGAGTCTGATGAATCTGTGTTTTTAGGTTATCCAGCGGAGTGAAAACCTGGGATCAGCCTTTCTGCACAAAGGACACTCGAAAACTAAAGACCCGTACATTGGAATCTTCTCCCAAAACAAACCGGAGGTACAAACTTTTATTTAAAGGTGTACAATGTAACTTTTCTGGTGGGGGATCTGTAAATGATGTATTTTATTGTTAGTAGGCTAGTTTCTTTACAGATCTAACCTGTAACTTTGCCTAGTTACATCTCCTCCTATTAAAACTCATTGGGCCTTGACTGGTTCATGACACATAATGAAAAAATATATATATATTTTGTAAGGAAATATACTTGTGTTTTGATTGCATGTTTTTTTTTGGTTTTTTTTTTTCCCCAGTGGACTCTGACAGAGCTGGCCTGCTACACATACTCTCTGGTGTCTGTGCCTCTTTACGACACTCTGGGAACAGAAGCTATCTCCTACATCATCGAGAAAGGTACAACATCATAAACATAAGTGCAGACAGAATGAAATGATAGTTTTCAAAGGGACTTTGTCAAAATGTTCCTCTTGACCTGTTCACTCATCTTTGCTTTCTGTCTGTCCACAGCCTCCCTCTCCACCATAATCTGTGACGTGGAGGAGAAAGTGAACATGGTGCTGGAGTGTGTGGGTGATAAAACTCACTCTGTGAAAACCATTGTCCTGATGCAGACGCCCAGTCAAGACCTCATCAAGAAGGGACAAGATGCAGACATCGAGATCGTCAGTCTGCAAGAGATGGAGGTTTGTACTTTAGTCTGTTTAGTGAATGTTTCAGTTTAACGTTCAGAAAGTCTAAAATGCTCAACTTTCATTTTCAGGCAATTGGCAAAGCCCATCACCACTCCCCAGTGGTGAGTCATTATTATGTTTTATTATGTTGTTATTATTATATTACATCTCCAAATCAGGACTAAACTAAATGAGGTCTAAACCAGAGCAGCTAAATCAGCTGCACTAAACCAGGACTCAAACTGGTTTAAAAGCATGGTCCTAAAGAGTAGCCCTCATAAAACCATAGCTCAGTAAAAATAACATGCAAAATATTTTGTTAAATGAAATCCTTGTTTGTTGCAGCCTCCAAAGCCTGACGACATGGCCATCATTTGTTTCACAAGTGGAACTACAGGCAAGTTTTATATTGAGATTGTTCATTTAGTTAATCTTTTATTTACAGTCTTAAAAAAAAGTAGACAATCCATAAAAATAAGTAGATGAACTATCTCCTTTTTGTGATAAACTGTTCATTTCTGTGTTTTGTGTTTAGGAAACCCAAAGGGAGCGATGTTGACCCACTGCAATATTGTGTCCAACTGCTCAGCTTTTATCAGAACTACACAGGTAAGGACTGAACCGGGACTGAACCGGGACTGAACCGGGACTGAACCGGGACTGAACCAGGGACTGAACCAGGTCTTCGTTATAATCAGTTTTCTTCCCCTCTCCAGTGTTTTGCTAAGATGACTCCAGAGGATGTGATGGTGTCTTTTCTGCCTCTGGCTCACATGTTTGAGCGAGTGGTCGAGGTACAGTTTGTATCTGATTATAATCTCCTTTGTGTTTCTGTGTTTGTATCTTAGAGCTCCGCTCCCCTTTCTCCTAGTGACACCCATGTATCGTACCTCCCTCTGGCTCACATGTTTGAGAGAGTCGTCCAGGTAGGTCCCACAGAGTCTCCTGTAAATTTATCCTTTATCCTTTTATAGTGGAAATTAAATAAGAGACCACTGTGATGTAATGTAGTAATCCCACATAGTACAATATGCATTATTTTACCCAAAAAACAAAAAATCTTTCAATTTGTTATTTCACATTCTATTAAATGAACTACTATGTAATATGGGCCCTATATTCATTTATCTGGCTTTATGGACAAGGTGAACCTGTAGACGGTGCAAGAACTCCACTGCTGGTACACTGTGGAGTGATGCAGTGTTATTCATGCTAAAAACAGTAGCTGCTAAATGTCAAAGTTGGTTGGCCCATAGTGGGTTTGATGAAGGACATTTTAACATTTTATTGTATAAAACCAGTTTGTAAAATGTAGGGCTGAACCATATTTGTAATCAGTCATCTCTTGTTTACTTCCTTATTTACAGTTTACAGTGTCTCCACCTGTTTTTTTTTTTACAAGGCTATGGTGGCTCAGGCTATCCTAATTTTGAAAAAAATATCTTACTGTATTAGATCATATTAACATGGTTCTTATAACACTGGTACTTCCTCATCAGGGTGTGATGTTGGTGCACGGGGCAAAGATCGGCTTCTTTCAAGGAGACATTCGTTTGCTGATGGACGACCTGGCCACTTTAAAACCCACTGTGTTCCCTGTGGTTCCCAGACTGCTCAACAGAATGTATGACAAGGTACAGGTCACGTAATACCAGAGGATTGGGACTTTAAAAGTCCTATATTACACATGCATGACTCTTGTGAGCTTTTAGTCATGTTATAATTTTGTTACCTCATCAAAACCAGACCTGGAGTTGAGTTTTGTTTCATTCACACATTTGAGTAACTCTTTCTACTCTTTTCTCTGTCTGTATACATCTCCAAAGTTCAAAATGCTCTGTTCCACCTTGTGACCTCATGAAACGATAGTTTTCAAGTTAACCGTTCTTTTTACCTTTTGTTCAGTAGAGATTGTAAATTCCAGGGCTGAAATGATCCAAAGGATTCTAAATGAGCTCTTCCTGTTTTACCTCATGACATAACACAGTGGAACAGAGTGTTTTCTATTTGAGAGAAGAACTCAGCCGAAATATGAAGGTTTTGTGTGTTAAATGTGTGAATGGAACAAAACCCAACTCCAGGTCTGATTGTGATGATTAAATAACATTAACAGAGATCAGAAAATTGCATAATATGGGCCCTTTAAAGTAATACAAAATTGGGAGCTACAAAGAACTGCAGTGCTATTTACCATCTGAAAATGTGTCTTCCTTAGATCTTTGGTCAGGCTAACTCTACCCTGAAGCGGTGGATTTTGGGGTTTGCATACCGAAGGAAAGAGGCGGAGCTTCAGAGGGGCGTCATGAGGAGAGACAGTATCTGGGACCGGCTCATCTTTAGAAAAGTCCAGGTAAAAAACTCTCCTGTGTTCTTTAGGGTGAAACAGCTCAGATCAAACTATAGCAGGAGGATTAAAGGGAATCAGAGGTACAGAGAAAGAAATGCCTCCTAATGCTAAGATTATAATTTTATATATTTTTTTGTGTGTCAAAATAAATGTGCAATGTTCTTCCAAAATGCTGTATAACATAACCTTAACATAAAACCCTCATGCAAATTGTATTCTTGTCTGAAAACTAGTCTAAATCCATTTTGGGCTAATTTTCAAATTAAAACACAGACAGAAAAATCTGAAAAAATTCAAAGTCTGAAAAAAATTGAAAAAAAAAAAATTTTTATCTAGACATTTTAAGTGTGAAGATGCGATCCTTTTTCCTTTATTAGTTTAACAATAGTTGTTTAGTAAGAGGGTCAGCAATTAAAATCCAGTTTTATTATATAGCACATTTAAAACTACTTCAGCTGACTTAAAAAAAAAAAAAATCAGTACAAGCACAAGATAGAGGTGTGATTGTACAGCCAGTTTTGTTGATGTGTGCTGCCCCCTTCAGGCCAGTATGGGCGGGTGCGTGCGCCTCATGTTGATCGGGGCAGCTCCAGTGTCTCCCACAGTGCTCACCTTCATCAGAGCAGCTATGGGCTGTCAGGTAAAACTCGGATAAATAAAGTATGAAATTATCTTCCAAATGAAACTGAGATAAATGTATTTGATAATTCTTTTTTGTGTGTGTGTGTGTGTGCAGTTTTATGAAGGATATGGACAGACAGAGTGCACAGCTGGTTGCACACTAACCATGCCTGGAGACTGGTCTGCTGGTAATTTCACACGAGAGCTTTGTTACGAGTTTAAAGTGCCTGTATTGTGCTATTTAGGGATGGGCAGTCGATAAAATTTTCTTAATCGATCGTCGGGAGAATTAACAATTGATTATCGATTAATCATTAACTATCTGCACTACTAATCTGCATAAATAAATTCAACTTTGCGACACGTAAACCGTAACGACTCTAGAGTGTTTAATGCAGCTTTGCGCAAGTCTCACAGAAACAAAACTTAAAACCACATGGCTAATTTGCATAAGTGAAGAAAAAAAAACAGCTCTTGTGCGCTGAGGACTCAGTGGAATACAGGTTAGTGTGACCATATTTGCGTTTGTCAAAACCAGGACACCGTACGGGGGGCGGGAGGTGGGGACTCGTCATCTACACTGATATACTCTCACCTGGCAAAACTTTTTCCCACTGGACACCGACACATATGAGCTGCTTTGTTCACTGTGCACATGGCCTCCCACTTGTCCCGACCAGAACAGAAAGCGTGGAATTTCTTGTACAAGTCATCATTAAATACGTATTTGCGCTTCGGCACGTTGCAGGCTGACCAACTGTCTGTGTCTGCTCGCTTCTTCTGAGTGCAGAACCCAAGAACCGCTGCATAAACCACGTAATCCCCGTGCGCCGGCGAGTCAGTTACACTAGAAACATAGGGAGTTTGATTGACAACCTAACAGCCAATAGAAAATGAGGTAGCCTTGTTATCTATTGGCTGATGTTTGGTTTTTTTTTTTCATCATAATTACAAGGCTGCCGCGTCTCTGTAATGGTGTTGTAAACTTTCACTGACAATTTGAAACCTCCATACAACCTTTAATATGTTTAATATGTCAGCCACAACAAAGTGAAATATTTACATTTTGTTGATAATTTTATGTTTTAATAGAGTCTCTTCTTGTTCCCAGGTCACGTTGGCGCTCCTCTTCCCTGTAACACTGTGAAGCTTGTTGACGTTGCTGAGATGAACTATTTGGCTGCGAATGGAGAAGGAGAGGTAAAAAAACACCCCACAAAAACATTCACTAGTAATATTGTCAAAGAAGTTCTTTTCTAAGATGTTATTGTTTTTCATTATGTTTAGATCTGTGTAAAAGGAGCCAATGTCTTTAAAGGATACCTGAAAGACCCGGAGAAAACCAAAGAGACGATCGATGAAGAAGGCTGGGTTCACACTGGAGACATCGGAAAATGGCTTCCAGTAAAATCTATATTTATTATGATCATATGCTCTGTCTGACCCTCTTCTCTGCTCCATCTGACTCTCTTCTCTGCTCCATCTGACTCTCTTCTCTGCTCCATCTGACTCTCTTCTCTACTTCATCTACTTCATCTGACCCTCTCCTTTGCTCCTCTGCTTCATCTGACCCTCTCCCCTGCTCCATCTGATCCTCTTCTCTGCTTCATCTACTTCATCTGACTCTCTCGTTTGCTCCTCTGCTCCATCTGACCCTCTCCTCTGCTTCATCTGCTTCATCTGACCCTCTCCTCTGCTTCATCTACTTCATCTGACCCTCTCCTCTGCTTCATCTACTTCATCTGACCCTCTCCTCTGCTTCATCTACTTCATCTGACCCTCTCCTCTGCTCCATCTGACCCTCTCCTCTGCTTCATCTGCTTCATCTGACCCTCTCCTTTGCTCCTCTGCTTCCTCTGACCCTTTTCTCTGCTTCATCTGCTCCAGCTGACCCTCTCCTCTGCTTCATCTGCTTCATCTGACCCTCTCCTCTGCTTCATCTGCTTTATCTGACCCTCTCCTTTGCTCCTCTGCTTCATCTGCTTCATCTGACCCTTTTCTCTGCTTCATCTGCTCCAGCTGACCCTCTCCTCTGCTTCATCTGCTTCATCTGACCCTTTTCTCTGCTTCATCTGACCCTTTCCTCTGCTTCATCTGCTCCAGCTGACCCTCTCCTCTGCTTCATCTGCTTCATCTGACCCTCTCCTATCTCTCTCTGCTTCATCTGCTTCATCTGCTTCATCTGCTTCATCCCTCTCCTCTGCTTCATCTGCTCTGCTTCATCTGACCCTCTCCTCTGCTTCATCTGCATCTGCTTCATCTGACCCTCTCCTCTGCTTCATCTGCTTCATCTGACCCTCTCCTCTGCTTCATCTGCTTCATCTGCTTCATCTGACCCTCTCCTCTGCTTCATCTGCTTCATCTGACCCTCTCCTCTGCTTCATCTGCTTTATCTGACCCTCTCCTTTGCTCCTCTGCTTCATCTGCTTCATCTGACCCTTTTCTCTGCTTCATCTGACCCTTTCCTCTGCTTCCTTTAACCTTCTCCTCTGCTTCCTCTGATCCTGTTCTCTGCATCCATCAGTCTCCTCATTTTTCTCCTGTATTCTGGCAGCTCTAACATCCACATCCTCACCTACCTAACCTTACCCTACCTATAAAACCACCTGTAATTTAATAAATGTAACGTAGAGCTATTTAATGTCATACTGTGTAACATTCCAGGCAGAGCAATGGCATAGAAACAACCAAAAAGTTACACAGTGCACCTTTAAGAACCAGACTTTTTTTTTACTTTGCATCTTCGTTACCTTGAACATGTATTTTTTTTCCAACAGAACGGGACACTGAAGATCGTGGACAGAAAGAAACACATTTTCAAACTGGCTCAGGGAGAATACATCGCTCCAGAGAAGATTGAAAATATTTATGTTAGAAGTGATGCTTTGGCTCAAGTGTTCGTCCATGGAGACAGTCTGCAGGTACAATATGGGGGTCCGGTCAAGCGGTAACGGAGGGAAACGGGCAGATTTTTTTTTTTTTTTTTCATATAGCTCTTATTCAGAAACTAGAGGGACTATTGAAATAAGTAAAGTATCAGAATGTAGGAAAGAGTTAACACTCCAACAGGGTAAAGTTAACCCTTCAGTAATGAGATTTTTTACTGAGAAAGGTTATGGTAACGGAGGGGAAAGTAACGGAGGGAAAATTGTGCAAGCAAGTAGAAGGTGCATGATTTTGCATAATTTGTCAGCTTTTTTCTTCCGAATACTTTAATATTACTTCAAAATGAAGGGTAACTATTTCTATAAAATATGTCAGTCCTTCCAAGCAAATTTTTATCATTTTAAATCTTTTTTTTTTTTTTTTTATCATTTACCTTCATCACCAGTTCAAAGATGAAATAACACAAGATATGATGAAATACATCCGTTTATTTACATGATTTGCAGGTCTTTGAAATTTGGGAAATAATTTTTGTTCCATGTTTCATACATGGTCTGTTTAAAACATATGTAACTTTAGAACCAAAAATGGTACAGAAAAAGGTAAACAATTTCATAAACTAGAGTACATATGTATCTGTTATATCAGATGCATTAACTTAAATTTTTGGCCTTGCTGTTTACTTCTACTTGACCGGGCCCATGGTTAAAATCAGTAATATCGTTTGATTAAAAAAACAAAAAAAAATCTATACATCTTAGATTTTGTATTAACACCCTTTTTTATATTTTAGTCCTGTTTAGTCGCTGTGGTGGTTCCAGACCCAGACTTCCTTCGTAACTGGACCAAGAGGACCCTGGGACTGGAGGGGACCTATCTGGACTTATGTAGCAAAAAGGTAATCCACCAACCAGGATGCTGTTCTGCTGTATTATGTTGTAGGTAGCATGCAAATGTTAAATACTTGGTAGTTAAAAATATAAATCTTGTAGACAGTTGACTGAAAACGCATCTCTACTTCTTAACAGGAAGTCAAAGCAGCCATCTTGGAGGACATGTTGCGATTGGGCAAAGAAGGAGGTCTGAAATCATTTGAGCAGGTAAAATAATCATCTGAATTATGGACAAAATTCAAATAGTTTTTTCTACTTAAGTGTTCTGTAACAGATTTTTACATGAAAACAGAACTAGTTCATTTGAAACAGTTTGCAGTGGTCCAAAGTTATTTCTCACTGACCTTATGCATTCATGATATATTAGGCAGGTTGTGATTATTTGCTCCAAATTTTATTTTACTAAGAAATTTATATTACAAACCTATAAGAAAGCAGTGTGGTCATATTTTGTGTTCAAATAAAGCTTGATGCATATATTTAGGCAACCAGACAACCCAAATAAATAAATAAATAAATAAATACTGGCCTCTGGTAGACATTTAACCTGTTATGATAAAAAGTATCAGTCTATCTCTTATTTCCATTATGTGCTGTTTAAAAGTGCTAGGTCAACAATTATGTTCAATTCAGTCTATTTTTGTATAGCCCAAAGTCACACAGAAGTCACTGAAAGGTTTCACAAAATTGTTGATTTAAGCAACAGAATATCAAAATCACTGACTTTTCCAGATGCACATCCCCCACAGACTTTACATGTAAAGCCGACAACTCTGAACGCACTGTGATATTTGTCCAAGAGTTGTTCGTTGAGTGTTGTCATAGGTGTTCTGTCAATTAATCTTTCTTTTAAAGGTCCTCTATTACTGTATTTTCTGCACTATAAGGGCTCTGGATTATAAGGCGCACTGTCACTGAATGGTCTATTTTCAAACTTTTTTCACATATAAACCGCACCGGATTATAAGGCGCATTAAACGAGAAACAACAGTTAGATAAGTCAGACAAGCTTTATTTAACGCGTTCACAATAACTCTCAGCTTTGTTCATTTGGAACACGTAAAAAAAATACTGTTTGAGACGCTTAATTGGGCGATTACGGCGTCCAGCACGTCCACATCCCTCTCGTCATTATCCGAGTCAGTGTGGTTACTGTTCCCTGTCAGTTCAGTGATGATTCCGGTTTTGGTGAAAGCTCGGACCACAGTTGATACTGATCCTTAGCCCAGTCGTCCACGATCCGTCGGCGCTGTCTCTCTGTCTTGGTGAATGTGTCTTCTCTCATCCACTGCTCCCACGCAGCTCGCACTTTCACTTTATAAACGCCTTGAGTTTAAAGTGGGCGTTGTGAGCGTGTCTCTTGACAGGTGCATTATGATATTAAAAGGAATCACAGTATGTTTTACTCCTGATGCTCCTGACTACGGGAGCCGTAATGCTGCAAGTGGTGCGGCTTTGTAGTTTACTAAAGTCGTACTAAGACACCCCAATAAATTCATATATAAGGCGCTCTGGATTATAAGGCGCACAGACGTTTTTTGATGAAATTAAAGGCTTTTAAGTTTGCCCTGTAGTGCCAAAAATATGGTATATAAAATTGATTCTTGTGAGTGTTTAGCCATGTTAAAATGCTGTTATGTAGTTCTGTTTCATTCACACATGTTTGAGTAATCCTTTTATTGTTAGTTTGTCTACATCTCCAAAGCTCAAAATGCTCTGTTACACTTTTTGATGCCATAAAGCTGTAATTATCAAGTTCACTGCTACCTTTTACCTTTTTCTTTAGTGGAGTTTGGCAATTTTAGGGCTTAAAATATACAAATGATTATAGTGAATGTGTATGGAGTTTAAATGTGCAGGGTTTGTTTGTTAAACTTGTGCGAACAAAACAAAATGATGATGAGGAAACAACATTAGAACATAGATTAGAAAATAGTGTAATATGGGCCCTTTTAAAAATTATTTACTTAAAAAATGTGACTAATACATATATTTTTTGTCAAAGGTGAAGTTGATCCACATCCACACGGAGCTGTTCTCGATTGAAAACGGGCTCCTGACTCCAACCATGAAAGCGAAAAGAAACGAACTGCGTCAGTGCTTCAGGGACCAGATCGACCAGCTCTACACCCAAATAAACCAGTAGCCAAAGATCTCTCATACAAGATCATCGGAAGCAACAAGGAGGGCTGTTTTTAACTCTGAACCAAGGAGAAGATGGTAGCAAAATGTACAGGGAAAGTTTAGCTTTTTTCCAACTATCAAAGCCTTTTAACCAATGAATTACAAGCTCAGTACAATGGCTTATTTTAAAGGTAAATGATGTAACTTTTCTGATGGAGATACGCTTGTCTCCATGGAGATGTTAAAGCCATGCCTGGAGTGTTCCACAGTATGGTATTAAACTTTGACTTATTTAATTAGAGGTATTTTATTGCTAAGAAATACGTTCAGTTTCATACTGTGGAACATAAGACAAAGCTAAGATGTCTCCACAGGAACAAGCAGGTGGCAGACCCTCCACCAGAAATGTTACATAGTGCAGCTTTAACTGGACAAAACTGGAAACGTGTGAAGTCAAATATGTGGATCTCAGGCCATGAGGCTTTTTTCAGGTAGTATTTCAGTTTTAAGGCTCAAAACGAAGTAATGTAATGATGACGTATGGGTGATACTTAAATTTCAAACCATTTCAATACCGAGGCAAATGGTTGATACTCTATTCCACCTTTTATACCACAAATATGATATTAAACTTTCTAGAGCCTATAGTATTCAATATTTAAATACAAAGTAATACAAAGTTTCCCTCTTGTTCCGATAAAGATCAAGACCATTGTACAACTATTCAGGAAAGGTCAAACTGTTTATTTCTCTGCATCCTGTATCTAGTTATAATACTAGTTGTTAATATCTGAATGGATATTTTTGTACAGCCATAGGCCGGTGGTGAATGAGTGGCAGCTTGCACTCACCTCACAGCAAGAAGGTTCCATGTTCAACTCCTGGGCCTTTCCGTGTGGAGTTTGCATGTTCTCCCTGTGTCTGGGTGGGGTTTCTAGTTTCTTCCATTAACCCAAAACATGCACACCTGGTCAAATGCTCCAGTCCTGACCAAGACCAGCTCAAGATCTGGAGATGGGCCTCACTGCTCCTGACAGATTTAACCTAGAAATGCAGAGTCAAATTTCCTTCCAGGGACAGTACAGTGTATCTTTACATGTCCACATAATTCAGAACAGATTTTTTGTACACAACATCACAGCTTGCAGACTGGACTGAGACGTTGTGTACGAAAACGATACGAGGTGCACTATGTAACTTTTTGGTTAGAGGTCCATCACCTGCTCGTTTCTATGAATATGTCATTTCTCTGGAATGTTGCACAGTGTGACATTAAACACCGATACCTTACATGTATTCAATTGCAGGTGGTTTTATAACTCTAAAATACCTGCGAGTTGGGTCGCCTCTCCACAGATCTGACCTGTAACTCGGTCTGGTCTCCATGCAGATAGAAAAGTTTAATACCGTACTGTGAAACATTCCAGACAAAGCAACAACATCTCCATGGAGAAAAGCATTTGACAGACCCCCGCCAGAGACGTTGCACAATCCACCTTTAAAATAAGGCTAAAAACAATAGCTGTGTAGTGTAAGTGTAAGGTCATCTTTGTGAAGGAACCTTTTAAAGAAAACAACTGAAGGAAACCATCAGTAAGGTTATGTTAATCCTAATGGTGCTGTACTAGTTGATCTATTTTAAATACAGAAGGCATGATGTCATCGTTTTACATGGTGTCAGTTTGTGAAGTCTTGGTTTGAATAAGCTTTAGTTTGTTAGTATAGTGAATTGAGCCATATTGAAGAAACTAAATACAATTTTCTGTAGTGTCCTTCAAACCTCAACTAATTACAATTTTATTTTTCTTGCCACAACTTCAGGATAAGAGTTTCTCATTAAAACGTATGCATTGAAAAGGTTCAGGGAAGGTTTTATTTTATTTTTTACATCTTTACCAATGATCAGAAAGCTCAATACGACATTTAACTACAGGGATAAAACATATTTATTTATAAGAGGTGATACAATGAGATTAAGTGAAAATTATTTTAATGAACACCTAAATATTCACGCCAAAATGAGATGAAATTAAATGAGGTTTTAATGTAATAGACTTGTTTTTATGATTGTTGTTCTAATTTTGTTTTAAAAAAATAAATAATTGTTTTCTCAACATGTTTGGTGGTAATTTCTAATGGTAGTTAAGTTCCAATAATATCCAGTATTATTACTTTAAACTACAATGCTTAAATAGCTTTTTAAATAAATTATATGAGAACATTCATTCTAAAGCTGATGATGGCAATTACTAGAATACACATCAAGAATTAAACCAAATTGATGTATTTAAGGTACAAGAAAAGTACAGACTTTCTCACTTAGACAGTGGAGTTGTCAAATATTTTGTACAATAACTTGCTAAAGAAGGCTACAATTAAAAAGTAGGTCTGTATGTGTTAAGACTACTTGTAGACGTATTTCTTAAAGGCTACTCAAATATAGCTACATTTCAAGGAACTGAGAACTCTACAGCTCATACTGCCCACATGGGTTTCAGAATGATCAAAAAAACAGGATTATTGCAATAACAATTTAACCATTTAAAACTACAAGTACAATTTTCTCAAAGAGCTACTGAAATATGAACAGATATGAATACAGCTCAGGATTGTGACGTCACACCTCATAGAATTTTCAGTCTAATGTTAAACCAGTGGACATATTAAGATGCTAAATAGAAAATGTTTGCGTTTATTCCAAAGTTTTGTGACCCTCTAGAGTGATAGATGTATTTAACAACAGTGACTGGGGTGTTGCTGGGTTTCAGACGACATCATAACATTCTATAGGCCAATATTATTTAATGCAGATGGGGACAGCTAAAATTTATATTGTTAAAATGTAATATTATGTTGTAATAGTATCAGTTGGTGGTTTTCAGGTTCTAGAATGTGATGATGTTACACTCTCAGATGGGGGGGCAAAAGCTAGATTTCCCTATTAATAACATTGTAATTTACCATGAAATATACAAAATGTAAATTCACAAATGTTGAACCTGAACCTTCCTATCAGTGTTTAGACACAAGAACTCACTGTATGGCAAAAAAAATCTTAATTAAAATATAAATTTTACTTGCCCCCCCATCTGTATTAAATAACATTGCTCTATAGAATGCTGTGATGTCATCTATAACCCACCAATTGATTACACTGTACTTTACCAAATAATATCCAAAAGGTAAATTTATAAATGCTGAACCTGATATTTTCAATTACTGACTAAAACTTAGAGCTCACTTTATTTCAACATAATTTTACATTTTAACAATGTTAATTTTAGCTGCTCCCATCTGTATTAATTAATATTGGCCTATAGAATGGTGTGATCTGAAACACAGCGATATATCAGAGTTTTGATGTAATTTCCGGAAATACGAAATGAATAAATAAGCAATAGAAATATGACATACCATGGAAGAAAGTCTGGCTTCTACCTAACAGGTATTTAATCACTAACAAAGTAAAAGAAGTATCCTTCAAACTTATCCATAGGTTCTACCCAACTAAAACTTATCTCAAAAATAGATTTAAGAAAAATATTGATTCTGAATGTAGCTTTTGTGAAGAATGTCCTGAAACTATTGTGCATCTGTTCTGGAATTGTCAAACTGTAGTAATTTTTTTGGCAGAAATTGTGTGACTATATTCATAATTAAATTGATAAACACTTTATTTTGCATTAGAAGAATGTATTGAGATGGTCCAGGCGCGCCCATCACTCACCAATGACCCCACGGTGACGTGGGGAAGGTCGAGAGCTTTCAAAAAATGTATAATATGTTGTCCTAATGTTTTCGGATATATTGTTTTTGCTAAAAATATTATTATTTATTTTTATTTATTATTATTTTTTTTTATTATGCTCTTTGAGCTCTAATTTGACCCCCTAAACACGTTCAAAAACTCACCAAACTTGGCACAATATTCAGAAGTGGCGAAAAATTCGATAAAATATAGGTTTCGTGCACGGGCATAAAAAAATGGCGACACAGCGCCACCTGGAAAACGCAAAAATTTCGCGCCTATGGGAGATGTCCCGGTCAACTTTGTCGTAGAGCCACGAAATTTGGTACACACATTCATCATGTGAAGACAAACAAAAAATATTATTATGGTCCCGCCCCCTGACAAACTAGAAGGCGGCCATCTTGGATTGAAATTTGAGTCCGCATTTTCGCTGACGTTGCGTTTGAACGAACTCCTCTGAAGGTGCTTCACCCACAGGGCTGAAAATCACCGTACATCATCTAGACAAGTGGAACATCTAAAGTTAGCTGATTTTTTTTGATAACTGTCACGGTTTTCGTGCGGCGAGGCCGCAAAATTTGGTCAAAATTTCACCTAATTTCAAGGTGACATTATTTGCTCCTGTTCACACAGACTTAGTCCCATCATGCTGAAATTTGAATCACTAATGCCTGATTTCGACCTGATTATAATACAATATAAAACATATGAACTGTGAACTCTATAGCGCCCCCTAGCATAGACATGAAACGTCAACATTATCGGATTTGGACCAAATTTGGAAAAGAAATTAAATTCTATCTATGCATGATGACAAGCAAAAAAGTCTATTACGGACATGATGCATTTTCCACCACTGGCCAGCAGGGGCGCAAAGACTCCCCCAAAAAATAGTTAAAAAATGATTCCACCCACAGGCTTAGTCCGATTGTGCTGAAATTTGAATCACTAATGCGTCATTGTCGACCTGGGCGAATGTCGGGAAGAGAGGGTGGCGTGCCGGGGCGGTCGCGAGTCCCCGGAGGTCGCGTGGGAGGGCGGTGCGCGCCGGGGCGAGGGCCACCATCGCCGCTCATTGTGCTCATCTTTTTTGGCAATTTGCTTTCGAAGACCACAGTTTTTTAGTTTAAGGTCATGGTTTAAGGTCAAGGGTATATTTCCTCTGTTATTTCTGGCCATTTTTGTTTTATAATTGAGTTGTTTTGTAAGTGTTGCTGTACTTACTGTTACGCAGATAAAAAAGTGCGACCTACTCTGTGAAATCTACTCTGTAAAGTCTCCTCTGCGAAGTCTACTGTTTGAAATCTTTGTACGACTTGCTCTGTGTCAAGCTCAGCTAAATGTGCCTTTTCCGTTAAGCGATATGTGATTTTCGATTTGTGATTTGCGATTTGCCTACTCTTATAATCTCCCCGAGGCCAAACAAAGCTTTGAGTTAAAGCCCACAAAGCTTTGAAGTTTAGCTTTGAGTTCCGGAGTTGCCATGGTAACAAGGCTTTATGGAACTTTACATGTATGATGTCATCGGCGCCGTGAACCTGATGGAACTGGGAGGTTTTCAGGTTCTAGAATGTGATGATGTCATACTCCCAGACGGGGCAAGAGCCACGTTTCCCTGTTGACTGAGGCCGAGTGTTGTTAAGAAGTCACTGATATGAGACAAACCTCGATACAGTGCGCTTTCGATTCGATACGGTTCAGTAAAAAATAAAGGCTAAATCATGGAAAATCTTTGTTAAACCACTTCTTGTGCAAAGTTCATATGAAACACAAACATTTTAATCCTCAAAACAGCGAAAATGTCGAACGAGTTTCCTTCCACTAAACAAACAACGAAACTGTAGCTGTAACAAAATCATTTAGTAAAATAAACCAAAAATACTCTTGGTGATATATCGATAGAGCAGCCCACAATATCGATACTGTGTCATCACATTAAACGATACGATATATCGATATTTCAATATTTTTGCACACCCCTCTACTCTTTATCACACTGTACTTTGCCACGAAATATCCAAAAGGTAAACGCACAAATGTTAAACCTGGTATTGAAATGGCCCTCGCCCCTAACTTAGTTAGTGGGTGAGGGCCATCATGTGAACGTGGCCATTGTGTTCTAACCCTTGATTTAACTCCTAAATTCACCCTAACCCCTTTACACGAACCCCAAACCCTACCTGAACTCCTACCTGTAGCCCTAACCCTAGGTCTAAAATTAACCCTAGCCCTAACCCAAACCCAAAACCAAACCCTAGCCCTAACCCGAATTCCAAACCCTAGCCTTACCCCGAACCTAACCCTAACCCCTAATCTTAACCGAACCCTACCCCTTTTTCCTCAATTTCTGTATGTGTTGAGATTTTTTTAATCCAAGATGGCGGACTTTCGTTTTGGCAGGGGGGGCGTGGTCATAATATACTTTTTTGTTCCTATTCCCATGATGCATCTGTGTACCAGATTTGGTTTGAGTACGTCAAAGTTTTCATTGGGACGTCCCATTAGCGAGGACTGAGATTTGACCTGTTCCCATGGCAACACGATGGGAGATGGAGTGTGGACGTCAGTGACTTTTTTCATCAAGACCAGGTCACAAATGTGTGTAGCAAATTTTGTATGTACAAAAAAGTGAAACTGTACTGTTCCATACAATTTCTCTAGGGGGCGCTATTGCACCCATTTGAGATTTTCTTATATAAATCTGTTCATGGTCGGGGTGTCCACCAACGATTAAAGTTTGAGTGAAATCGGCCAGTTTGTGTGAATTATCACTCGTCGAAGTTTGGTGGACAGCTGCAAAAATTAACACGAAATTTGCCTTGTTGCCACAGCAACACCGTTTCACCTTTAAAAAAGCTTTTGATGATGATACAGAATGATTCTGGTGAGTCTGGGTCAAACGCCCTAGGACGAGTTCGTTCAAATACGAGGACAGGACATTGCGTTGTCGGCGCTGAGTCTCGCAATCAGTCCAATATGACGGGCTTCCTGTTGGTTGCCTAGCAACCACATAATATACTTTTTTGTTCCTATTCCCATGATGCATCTGTGTACCAAATTTGGTTTGTCTAGCCAAAGTTTTTGTCGGGCCTATTGGCGAAGACCAATATTTTGCTTGTTGCCATGGCAACACAATGGGAAATGGAGTGGGGTCATCACTGACTTTTTTGATCGAGACCATGTCATGAATATATGTACCAAATTTTGTATGTCTACGACAAAGTAAATTTTTGCACTTCCATGCAATCTCCCTAGGGGGCGCTATTGTGCCCATTTGAGATTTTCTTATATGAATCTGTTCAGGGTCGGGGTGTCCACCAACGATTAAAGTTTGAGTGAAATCGGCCAAAGTTAGTGCGAATTATCACTTGTCGAAGTTTGGTGGCGAGCCGCAAAAACGAACGCAAAATTTGCACCGTTGCCACGGCAACACCGTTTGACCTTTAAAAAAGCTTTTAACAACTTTTAATGTCGCACTTGTCTAGATGATACAGAATGATTCTGGTGAGTCTGGGTCAAACGCCCAAGGACGAGTTCGTTCAAATACGACGACAGGAAATTGTCCCTTCGGCGCCAGGTTGCACGTTCGATTCAATATGGCGGACTTCCTGTTGGTTGCCTAGTAACCGCGTAATATACTTTTTTGTTCCTATTCCCATGGTGCATCTGTGTACCAAATTTGGTTTGTTTACGCCAAACTTTTTGTCGGGCGTCCTATTGGCGAGGACCGATGTTTGGCTTGTTGCCATGGCAACACAAAAGGAAATGGCATAGGGGCGTCATTGACTTTTTTGATCAAGACCACGTCACGAATGTGTGTGCCAAATTTTGTATGCCTACGTCAAAGTAAATTTTTGCACTTCCATGCAATCTCCCTAGGGGGCGCTATTGCACCCATTTGAGATTTTCTTATATGAATCTGTTCAGGGTCGGGGTGTCCACCAACGATTAAAGTTTGAGTGAAATCGGCCAAAGTTTGTGCGAATTATCACTTGTCGAAGTTTGGTGGCGAGCCGCAAAAACGAACGCAAAATTTGCACCGTTGCCACGACAACACCGTTTGACCTTTAAAAAAGCTTTTAACAACTTTTAATGTCGCACTTGTCTAGATGATACAGAATGATTCTGGTGAGTCTGGGTCAAACGCCCGAGGACGAGTTCGTTCAAATGCGAGGACAGGAAATTGCGTCCTCGGCGCCGAGTCGCTCGATCGGTCCAATATGGCTGACTTCCTGTTGGTTGCCTAGCAACCGCGTAATATATTTTTTTTTTTTGGAACGACCAGACCTATCCACCACCCGAATTTCGTTTGTCTACGACAAAGTTGATTTTTCGGGTATAGCCATAGGCGCAATGTATTTTGATTTTGCAGGGGGCGCTGTTGAGCCATTTTTTTGAATTTTTTGATGTGGACTATTTGTAAATTCCTATTTTGGCGATCTTGAATTTTGTGCAAAATTTCGTGAGTTTTCGTCAGGGGGAAGTGTGTGAACTGTGCTCAGGGGGGGGGGGAAAAATAATAATAATAAGAAAAACCAGAACAATAACAATATAGTGCCACCTATGGTGGCACATATATATATCATTGGAAAGGACTCGTGTCCAGTAATGCACCCGTGCGGTCCATTGTCAATGACGAGCGCAATTCACATACCCAATGCACGTTTTTGGCGTTTACGAGAGTTAACGATTACAATTATGCTGCTGACGCGGCACTGGGCAATGCCAGTCTGTACTATTGGATGCCATGAGTGTCACTATTGAGTGGCACTGAGTGTTTGATAAGGGGAGAGCGCTTCGCGCTCTGTTTTCGCGGGCGCACTTGACATGGTGCACTTCGTGCACCATGTCAAGTGCGCCCTACGTTTTGGGGTGAACGATTACAATTATGCCGCTGACGCGGCCCACGGGCAATGCCACCGTGCCATGTCAGCGGGCACCAGTCACTGACATGTGAGTGTGAGTGTGTGTTTTGGAAAGGGGAGAGCGCTTCGCGCTCTGTTGCGTGTGCTGTGCACACGCCTTCCCGCAGTGCTTCGCACTGCTGAACAGTAACAATAGGCCCTACGCCACCCATGGCGCTCGGGCCTAATAATAAATAAATAAAAAATAAGCAATAAAAATAGAAAAAATATATTTATTTGTTTGACATTTAAATTAAACACAAAGGTATAATAACAATAATATATAATAATACATTTTAAATATGAAATTAAAGACAAAAAAGAGGGGAAAAAAACATTTTACAGACGCTATAATCCGTCTCTATGGCAACGTTACGTCAGTCCTACGTAGTGTCGGGGACAGTCACATGACCTCCCCGCTTTTCAGCCCTGAGCCTGAAACGAACCCGCTCCTCTGCGCTTTCTCCGCTCTTTTCCGCCTTTCACCGCCGATCCGTGCAGCCTTACCACTGCCGACATGCGCCCACAACCCCGGGAGACATGAACACAGCCCCCCGGAGCCCCACGGACCATCTAACCCCCGCGTAAACCCCGCACAAACCCGGGGAGAGGACTGAAAACACGGGATTTCGCTGAGGTAAGGTTCGGTCATGTCCGCGTTCACGTTTAGCTGGACGATGACTGGACTAGCATATCAACTAGCGAAGATTTATGACACAAACGCAATCAAAACACACTAAAAACCTACTATTAAACTCTGATCATGGTCTATTTTTGCCACTTGCTTCTATGGCAAATGATCTTTAAATCTTCCTTGCAATGTAGGAGAATTGCTAGTCATAGTTTGGGATCTCGTAGTGTTGTGAGCGCGTTGTGATGCTTTACTGTACATTTACTGTCAACAAATGTATTAAAACTATATGAAATCAAAATTGTACATTTAAAGCCTCATGTACGGGCTAGTTCTGAGGTACGGGAACAGGTGTACACTAAGAAAATAGATAGCATACTTTGTTTATCCAAAGTAAACAAGTTAAAATGTGGCTAGTTAAACAGACTCATGCTTTGTACAACATTAAAAAGCTCTAATTGCTTGTTAGGTTTATCTAAACAGTTTCATTATTGAACTACAAAGCTCCTGTTTTAACTCACTTTGCTATTCTCAGCTCCTCTACAAATACTCAGTGTATACTTAGTTCTAAGCCTAGTCCATCAGTCTGTTTTCCTAGTTGGATCACTTTACATGTACTTTTGCTATCATTTCCATATTAAATAACAATATTCCGTGCCAAATATTACACAGCAATACAAGATAAGGTTATCAGTGGTTAGAAAGGCTTGTCACTTTGCATTAGGAAACTGGTTTAAAACTGTGCTAGCCTTGGAGATTAGTGCGATGTACCGATTCAACATTGTAAACCTTGTCAGATTTAGTTTGGATTTATGGTAATAAGTCTCTTGTCAGAACTGTCGTGTTGTCTAATCAAACAATGCAAATACTACAACTGCACTTACAATAGCAAGCAAACTATATAGTGGTAAGTTGCACCATAAAGTACAAGATGACACCAATCAGAAGATATTATAAAAACATTTATATAAAATAATTCACACAGTTGCAGAAATATACCTGTATTTAATATATTTATATGTATGTATTTATTAAAATTTTTAATCATCTCTTTTTTCAGATGTTTTTATATAAAGGCTATTCATATTTTCCATATGATGATAATAATAATCATCATAATAATATGTGTATTAGTTTGCCATCACTTTTTCTTTCTCAGCGAAACAACATTCACAGTACTATCAATAAAAATGTTATTACAGGGAGACCAAATGTCCCTATTTACCCGGTATAGTCCCAGTTTTGAGTCCAAAACCAATGATTTGTCCCAGTTTCATTCAAGACATGTCCCTGGTGTCCCTATTTTTGGCCAATTTGATCTAAACCAGGTCTAAATCAGGACTAAAGTAAGACTAAACCAGGACTACATCAACCAGGACTAAAACAGGACGATCACAATTTTCACTAATCAGATCCCTGCCAACAGTAAAGAGGAGCATAAATGATCATTTGTTTATGGCAAAGGAGAAATTCAATTTACGACACATATCATTTGCTTAGCTAACACACAGAAAACCGTGTTTGCAAAAGACAATAAAGCAAAAAAAAAAAAAATGCAGCAACAGAAGTCCCTCAGATTATGACTGACACAAGAATCCATAATGTTACACGCTCTTTTCACAATTTTATTTATACCAACCATCTCAACTTGGGTGTGTCCCAGTTTTGCATTTTGAAAATCTGGTCACCCTATATTACCCAGCTCTGTAACATATTATAAAATAAAATGGATCTAAACTAATTTTGCCTTGAAGAGATTGTAAATTTTGCTGTTAGTGTAATGTAATATTTTTATAGGAATCACTAAAACACACTACAAAACTGTCTAACTAACTTAACTAGTTTGAAGCCAGAGCTCAACTCTGAGATCTTAGCCAGGATCAAACAGTACTTGAACAATCAGAGAACAAAAATGATCAAATTGTGATTTTTCTGTAAAGCTTTGCGACTAGTACTAGATTTGCAATTTATGTTTTAATAAGAGTTCACATTTCAAACACATCTGGAAGAATTCACAAAAAACAAAAAAATAAAATAAAATAAATGACAAACTAATACAAGAATCACATTTCAGGACGTGTTTGTACAGATCTAAACTACATGGTTAACTATTTTTTATGCAGAATATGAGGACATTTTGTTGTTTGTCAAAGAAATTATAACTCTTCAAAACCGCAGCCTATTTTTTTTTTTTTTTTGCTAATTGCGTCCATTAAGATTTCAATTGTGATTCATCTTGCAGACTTTAAACAGGCTACACAAGGCTAAGTGCATGTTCGCTCGTATAACTGACCGCATAAGCAGTTTCCACTTTCTGAGGTGACCATGAATTTGCTGAGTCGTGCTAATGCTTTGACACTGTGGTTTGAACTGTCACTGTCACATGTGAGCTAAGGTTTATTGTATCTCCTATGTTTCTAAACTGCATTCGTGGGACAGTTGAAGTTCTACTAAGAAGGACTACAAGATTAATTGCTGCCTTTAATTAGCAAATGGCAAGTTATGCAGTTATGAAGGCAATATATTTTCCTACCTGTGAGTCAGATGCCCTTCCAGAGTCTCCATGTAGTCTTACTCTAGTTTAGACCTCTACGAACATGTTCTGAATGTTCTTGTATTGGCTTCCCATTTCAGATTTCAGTCTTGTTTCAGATATTAATGCTTCTGGGTGTGTTTGAAATGTGCTCAATGAACTGAATTTTGCTGTTAAATAATGTAAAAAGCAATTAGATAGATAGAACTAGAATAGAAAAATTTTATATGGACATTTTCTGTAGCTGCATATCTATTTTTACATTTAAAGATGCACTGTGCAACTTTTTGGTTGGGGGACCGTCACCTGCTTGTTTCTGTGGAGATATTATTGCTTTGGAATGTTCCAGAGTATGACACGAAATAGCTCTACCTTATATTTATTAAACTACAGGTGGTTTTATAGGTCAAAAATACCTAGAAAAACAGGCGTTCTGACTGTGAGCGGTGTCGCCTCTCCACAGATCTGGCCTGTACCTACTGAACTTGATCTGGTTTGGTCTCCGTGAAGGTAGAAAAGTTGAATACCGTACTATGAAACATTCCAGACAAAGCAATAATATCGCCATGGAGACGAGCATTTGACGGACCCTCCACCAGAAAAGTTACACCATTAACAGACTAACTAAAGCCAAGTGTCTGTTTTATCATGTTTAGCGACAAAATAATAGTTCTTTTGTGACACATGATGTTATTTGGCTCAAGGCCAAGGCGTTTTTGCTCATGTTTTTTTTTTTTTTTCCCAGCATTCAATGGTTTTATTGTCAAATGCACAGTATATAACCCACGTTATTCTACACAATCAAATGCTTTATTTTCTATACAAAAAACATAGTTCAAAACTGTATGGCATGATTCACTTTTGGCATACATGAAATCCCTGTAAAATATCTGGAAAGTTCACTAAATGTTTGGTTTTAATGATGAATAGGGCTAGCCTGATTCATCAGCCGGTTTCACTTCATAGAAATGTCTGACCTTACAGTGTTAGAATTCGTTCGCTTGACGGTAGGCAGATACTTTTTTTATTTAACCAATCGCTGCTATTTGGTCGTGACGTATGTAATGTGCCGTTAACGGGGCTAACTTGTATATTAAACGTTTCCCAAACCCCGTAAGAAGAACGGCAATAACGTCTTACCCCTTGATAAAATACATCAAACATTCTCTTTATTCCGGCTTTAAATTCTTTGTCTCGGGAATTGTTGCCAACACAGAATGTATGGCTCTTCGCTGATTGGCTGGCTAGAATAGGGCTGGGTATCATTAAGAAGTTAGCGATACAATACATACCTCGATACATAGGCCACGATATGATACATATCTCGATACAGTGAGCTTTTGATTCGATATATTTCAAATCGATTCGATACAGTTCAATAAAAATAATGACTAAATGATGGTTGTAATACTAAAAGTCTTTGTTAAACCACTTCTTGTGCAAAGTTCATATGAAACACAAACATCAAAACAGTGAAAATCTCAAATCTGTTGCACATTGAGAAAAACAAAAGGTTGGGGATTTTCATAAAAAAGTTATGGAAAGCTGTTGCATGCAATAAAATTATGTTTAGGCTTTGAAATTTATTTCGATCCCCTCTACATATATTTTTCTCAGAACATGAACGTCACTTTTTCATGTTACCTTATCATGAAATGTATAAGTATGTATAATTGAAGTGAATTGATCTAATTCTGTAAAAGAATACAAAAACAGTCTATGTAGAAAGAACAAAAATGTGGCTGTTTGCTGCAGGTGTTCCAATCAGTAGGAGCAAATAGAGGGTGCTCTTGGAAAAAAGGATCAAGACTCAAGACACAACGGATTCCAGGCACTCCAAAACAGTAGGGCTTAAAAGCCCTGATGAAGACCAGTTGAGGTCGAAACATGTTGGCTTTGGCCATTCAAATAAAGGCCTTTTAATTATATTTTTCCTCGTGCGATGTGTTAACTTTTTCTACTGTTTTGGAGTGCCTGGAATCCGTTGTGTCTTGAATACAAAAACAGTCTTTAGTTTTCTACAGTTCTGTATTGTCTTAAACAGAATCAAACACACAGAGAGCACAAGTACAGAGACACACAGTTTGGAGCTGGACAGTGTGAAGATTTATTCCAGTGAAGACGCTCTGGTCACATAACACATGATGGTCACATTATGATGATCTACTGTTTGTTGTACATGTTAAAGCACATTACTCTCTAATACAATAATGGACCAGAACAGAGTCACATGAACATCAGAACTGTTTCTGCAGAAACATAACTCACCATGTGCTGTTTTTCTTCCTCTAAACACAGTAACAGGTGGGGCATGTGGTATAAAGTTTCCTAGTGCCACCCAAATGCAACAAAATGCATTGAAATCACATGTCTACAAGCATTTAATATTAGAACAAGTCATGAATAGCTCACATTTTTAGCTCCGCATGCAAAACTAAAAAAATGCAAAACAGAAGTCAGTTACTGTACAAATCAACATTATTATTATTATTATTATTATTATTATATTTTTTATCAATATTTTTAGTACAGCTTTTCCTACTTTTGACCTTTTCCCTTTTAATAGTCCCTCAGCCTTCCTTGGCATATTAAAGGTTCTGTCCTAAAAATGTGAAAAATGGAGCTAGTTCATTTATAGTCATAGTTCATAGTTTGCAGTGGTGCGGAGTTACTGCTCACTTCATTTAAAGCAAACTAAAAAAAAAAGTTAGCTGCTTTTAGTAAACCTGGCTTTTCCCTTAGCCTCCCCTGATGCTGCTGCTGGTGGTGTTTGTTTCCGTGGTGACCTGATGTTGTCTGTTGCCATAGTGACCATGCCCATGTCTCTATCTCAGGTGTGATCCCACGAAGACCCAGGCTCCAAGATGATGGCCTCCAGCGACGTCGACCGCAACGATGGTGAGTGAAAGGAGATGGTCAAACAAGATCAGTCAGAGTCAGATGATGTCAGTGTCACCTGTGCCGAGCGAACTAGTGACAAGTGAATGGTGCACATTAGGGTTATAACTTTTTTACAACCTCTATACCCTGTATCATATTTTGATGAACTTTTGCTAGTAATGAAAGGAATTGGCCTTCAGTTGGTCATATTTTTGAAAAAAGTCCCCCCGGACTCAAAATGAAGTTTTCGTAAAGTCGACCAACAACCAGAATAAAACTGTTAGAAGGTTAATATCTGTTCAATCATAACAATAACCAAAGGCAATTTTCTCTTTAATAACACAGGAACAAAACACATAATCAGGGTAAATATAATATAAAATAGGCCACTAAAAGTAAAAAAATTATGATTGTCAGTGTTGCTTTGCAACAATGAATCGAATGGTTTATAAATTGAAAGCAACAATAGAAAGTGAAACTCCAGTATATTATGATGGCAGTACAACTTATTATTGATCCATTTTCAGTCAAATTGACTTGTAACGGCCCTTGTGAGAACTCAGCACAGTTTCACATTTCATATCATTGGCTGTAATGTGTATTTAATATATTTTTTGTTTCGGGGGGACTTTTTTAAAAGAGTGTTGAAAATGGAGTTTGGTTTCTTCAATTATACCAAAAAGTTCATCCAATCATGATGCAGGACTTTGATTTTGGAAAAAAAGTTCAAAAAGTTATAACTCTAGTGTGCATACCCGAGAATCAAGGTTCTAAAGGAGGAACAAAGGTGTAATAAATTGGTACCATAGTTTAAGAAAAATGAATAAAGCTGGCATTCATTGAACAGGATCAGTACTTTCAAATATTATTAGTTGACCGCTATGCTTCTTTGTTCAGATCAAAGTAAATTGTCCCTTTTAAAATAAGAGTTTCAAAGCTCTGAAAAAAAGAATAATGTGTTGCATCTACCCAGGTAGTATGACTTTTTTGTTTTTTCACTGGTGCACATTCTTATCCAGCACATCCAGCTTCACACTGAAACAGGTTGACTCAGGTCTACAAAAAACTACATCTGGATTACAGTAACTTGCAGGTTCTCACCATAGACCGTATAGGCCTTACCGTAAATTTCAGACTACTCAGCGCACCTGAATATAGGCCACATCAACAAAATTTTAACATTTTAAAATAACGAGCCGTCTGCTTTTATCACCTCTGAAAGCTTTTGTCATCTTTTTGCATTGAGTCAGTTCGTCATGCTGCCGTCGCCAAAATCTCACCGTCGACTCACTGATGTCGAGTTCAGCAGATCTGTTTCCTTCTTCCACAGCCACATCAGTCGCCTTTAACTTAAAAGCTGCATCATCTGTATTTCCTCGTTTGTTTTCCATGAAGAGGGTGTGTGTATGAAGCGCAAAATAACTGTTCAAAACACAATCAAACTCTACTGCACATGTCTCCTGCAAAAAGAGTCTCTGTCCTCTCTTTATCATGTCAGTGTCTTGGAGGATTTCAGCAGATTTCAGACTCTGTCGGGGACGAGGCTAGACTAGTTCAATCAGGTGTGAGTGGATGTCTGGCTACTGAAGTTTGAGATGTTTCTTCTCGTCATTTACACGCACGGGTAAGACGTATCCCCTTCACTAATGTCCATTTAGCATCATAACTTATTCGATCACACGGGGATAAACTATTTGAGTGCACTGACAATATCGCGAGCTAGTGTAGAAACTTCATGTGAACTCTAGATCCATGTGTAAGGGCACAGACAGTGGTGTTTTCTGCTCTCAGGCTGCGTGTATCCACTGTGTTGTCAAACCATAGACCATTTATATGAATGGACAATGTGCCAAACAAAGAATCCATCCACATATTCGCTGCATCGTTTTTTTTCGCCGCAGGGTTCAAAGTGTGAGAAAAAAGTAGTGGCTGAGTGGACATAGCCAATGTTGGGGAGTAACAGATTACATTTACCAGAGTTACGTAATCAGAGTACAAATTATGAGTAACTGTATACTTTGTTGAAATAAATGGATTACACGGCGGTATTTTCCTGTTTTCACATTTTGGGCTATATCCCTTTTTTTTTTTTTTTGGGTAATTCCACTCATTGCCAGACACTAAACCAGGACTAAACCAGGTATAAAACCAGGACTAAACTAGATCTAAACTAGATCTAAACCAGGTCTAAAACCAGGTCTAAAACCAGGTCTAAAACCAGGTCTAAAACCAGGTCTAAAACCAGGACTAAAACCAGGACTAAAACCAGGACTAAAACCAGGACCAAACTACATCTAAACCAGGTCTAAACCAGGACTAAACAGGACTAAAAGTAAATCAAGTAATCCAAAGTATTCAGATTACGTTACTCACCTTAAGTAATTTAATAGATTCCGTTATAAACTACATTTTGGGGTATGTAATCTGTAGGAGAATACATTTTAAAAGTAACCTTCCCAACACTGGACATAACTAACACACTACCCACTGTGTTCCAAATACGAAGTTACGAGGCTTTTCTGGCTCCTTCTGACCCTGACTTACACTGGGATCTTGTGGCCCTGCCTTGTGACGGCTACCTCTTTAGCGACTTTCCTCTTATTTCCATTCTCTATAACTCACCCTGTTCAAAAAGACGAGTCTGATGCACTGAGAATAAACTGGAAATCACACGTTAACGCACAGAGAAAAACACTGGTGCTCAAGTTCAGGAAATGGATCGATATCAGACCTTTTGGGGAAGATTACACTGCAACTATTTGTTCCTTTTTATTTTCTTATCATGTGATGCTGCATTTTTAGACAGACTTACTTGATATTATAATTTTTTGTAGAACTTAAAACCAGTATCTCTTTTATGGACAAATAAATAACATTGATTTAAAGATCCCATATTACGCTGTGTTCTGATCTATGTTATAATTTTGTTTCCTCATCACAAACAGACCTGGAGTTGTGTTTTGTTTCATTCACGCACAAACCCTGCAAATTTAGACCGTGTTCTTCTCTCAAACTCAAAAAAACTCCATAACACCTTGTGATGTCACGATAATACAGGAAGTGCTCCACTGTTTTTAAATTCCACACACCTTCACTAGAATCATTTAGATAATTTCAGACCCGGAATTTCCAGTCTCTACTGAACAAAACGTAAAAGGAGCTGTTCACTTGAAAACTACCACTTCATGACATCACGAGGTGGAACAGAGCTGACAGACTGATCATGAAGTGTTACTCAAACATGTGTGAATGAAACAAAACACAACTCCAGGTCTATTTTTGATGCGGTAACAGCATTAGAACATGGCTTCAAGCTCACAAGAGTTAAATTTGTGTGATGTAGGACCATTTTAAAAAGAGTTCATAAGGCTACGTTCAGACTGCAGCCTGAAGTGATCTAAATCCGATATTTTGGCCCCTATGTGACCTGTATCTGATCTTTTATTGACAGTCTGAACGACACAGATCCGATTTTTTCAAATGTGACCCAGGACACTTGGATCTGTGCTCCTGAAACCGATACATATCTGATCTTTTGACATGCGACTTCAGTCTGAACGGCCAAAGTGCATTCATCCGACCTACACGTTATCAACAAGACACAAACGTCACTATTCTGCCCTGAAGTAGGCGAAAATTGTTAATGAACTCCGTGTCACTGAAGTGAAGCACATCACCACTCACCACTCTTGGCTACGTCTCCACATCCACACGTTCCTTTCAACAGACTGTCCCACAAAATGCTACAGCCAAAAACCTCGTCCTTCTCCTTCTTTAAAACAAGTAAGTTGTTCATGTTCGGGTTCCAGTACGAGAGGAACTTTAAAATCTCCAGGTGCTCAATGCTCGCGTCCATGTTTGGACAACTTCTGTAAACACAGAGCACGCTCGCTGCGGTTGACGTCGTCGTGTCTCCAGTGCACATGCGGGACACTTTCAGGCTGTTTAATGTTCACACTGGAGATCACATACAAGTCACATTTAATTGGAAATGTGAACGACCTCGCAAAAACATCGGATTTCACAAAAAAATCTGAATTGAGCGTTAAGCCCTGCAGTCTGAACGTAGCCTAAGAGAGTATTGTGGTGATGCATCTCCAGACACTTGAGGATTATAATGTAATCCACAGTAAGACAGACAGTGACTCATTAAAGCAGCTTTCACCTCTGATGGACCAGAGTGGAGCTGCAGGACTTAAAACAAGCTTTACCTTTGATAATATGAATCCACTTTATTTAGAATATTGCACATTTCATAAACTCTTAACAAAAGAACACTACAATGCAACTTTTAAAGCAGAACTATTGTGCTTGTGTATAGTAATAATTTATGACCATTGTGGATCATTCTGTTATAATTTGGACATTTTAAATCACAATATTCATCTAAACCGAGTTAATAAATTAAACAAATCCATGACTTCCGTGTTAGAAAACTATAGCTTTAAAATGAATTTTAAAAACGGCCAATGTACAATGGGAAAAAAAAAATTAAAAATTAATAATTGACTAGAGATTGACTGATATGTTGTTTTTTTGTTTTTGTTTTTTTATGGCGAGTGGCCTTTACAGATATTTTTGGCCCGATATGTAGAGCCAATATAGTTTTTTTTTTGTTTTTTTTATTTAGTACAAACTCATCCATAACTTTAATTGACTACAAACTGTGTAGAGTCCAGTGTATTCACATTTTTGCAGTACACTTTTTTAATTTATGTGTTCAAATAAAGCGGATTTGGGATGAACAAGATCTCGTGCCACAAGATCTCGCGAGACAAAAATGCCACAAGACTGTACGCACATGAGAAAAATTATCTCGTGAGATTTTTTTCCCCATATGGACTGGACAAAAAAAGGTTAAGTGCTGGTGGGTTGCATCTTTTGAGAAGACGTAGTTCCAACAACAAAAATATTAAATGGTGTAAATACAAAGTCTGAAGCCAGTTTTGGGAACTAAATCAGACTAGCTACATGTCAGAAATTATGTCAAAATCTTGTCTTGTCTCATTCTCATCTTGTCTGGTGGTATAATATATAGTACTCGATATCTGATGAGCTAAAAAGGGCAAATATTGGTCCAATATATCGTCTGTCTTTACCACTATTTGACTACTAAAATAATCCTTTTGGTTGCTGTTGGGCCAACAAAATATCGGCAGCTGCTTGAGATGTACGCTTGATATCTGATACGTTAAAAAGGTCAAATATCGGTCCAATATATCGTTTGTCTTGATTACTATTTGACTACTAAAATAATCCTTTTGGCTGCTTTTTGGGACAACAAAGTATCGGTGTCTGCTGGAGATGTATGCTCGATTTCTGATACGTTAAAAAGGGCAAATATCGGTCCAATATATTGTCTGTCTTGGTTACTATTTGACTACTAAAATAATCCTTTTGGCTGCTTTTTGGGACAACAATGTATCGGTGTCTGCTGGAGATGTATGCTCGATATCTGATACGTTAAAAAGGGCAAATATCGGTCCAATATATTGTCTGTCTTGATTGCTATTTGACTACTAAAATAATCCTTTTGGCTGCTTTTTGGGACAACAAAGTATCGGTGTCTGCTGGAGATGTATGCTCGATATCTGATACTTTAAAAAGGGCAAATATCGGTCCAATATATTGTCTGTCTTGATTGCTATTTGACTACTAAAATAATCCTTTTGGCTGCTGGTTGGACCAACAAAATATCGGCATCTGCTTGAGATGTACGCTTGATATCTGATACGTTAAAAAGGGCAAATATCGGTCCAATATATCGTCTGTCTCTGTCGTTGACTATTTGGCTACTGAAATAATCCTCAGCTGCAGCCCTGTGTCATTGCGGTGATATTCAGGAGCTGGACTTGAGTAAATCTCCAGACTTGTTGTCAAAGCTGGAGTCCTTTTGTCAAACTGACAGATTGTTTTGAACATGGCATCTCCATTTCACTTCTGAGTTTTCACAAAGGCATCGCACATTCTTCTGGATCACTCCTTTAAACTGCACCTTGAGTTGTGAGTAACTCACTGGAGCACTTTCAACAAATGAGTTTCTATTTATAGTATTGTCTGAGTTTCTGTTCTATACACACACTGGAGTTGTTTTGTTTCATTCACACATATTGATAATGCTCAGTTGATGTCATGTAGTAGTTGTTTTCAAGTTACAGCTACCTTTTTTTTTTTTAGTTTTGCTTGGTAATAGTTATGGAATTCCCTTTTGTGACGTCACGATTTCCAAACAGAAAGTCCACTTTAAAACGCTAAAGAAATGGGCAAATTGGGAAAACGAGTGTGAATGTTTTTGCAGAATCTTAAATGTCATGATCTTAGCTTTTTCAGTCCCGATACTGATACCGGAGCCTTAGGGATCTGCTGATGCCCTATATTAACCAATACCTCACTGAAATTAAACTACAGCCTAATAGGGATGTCCTGATCCAACACCGATCTTCTCATTTTAAATAATTTTATTCACACAATTAGGGTGCGCCTTTATAAACAATGAAGTATTCCATGGTGAATTTAGCTAGCCTGATTCATCATCCGGTCTCACTTTGTACAAATCGTCTGATCTCATGGTGTTAGAATTAGTTCGCTTGACTGTAGGCAGGTACTTTTTATCATATATGTATGTAATGTGCCGCTAATGAAACTAACTGGTATATTAAGCTTTTCACAAATCCTGTAGGAAGAAGGACAATAATGTCTTTCCCCTTGATAAAATTCACCAAACATTCTCTTTGTTCTGCTTAAATTCTCGATCTCGGGAATCGTTGTCAGCACAGATTTGCTGATTGTCTTGTGCCTGAACTCGCACTTCCGGAAATCTGGCGAACCGTCTAGTGTATTCTGACTCCTGACCTAGTTGCTGGAGAAAAATTTAATTGAGCGGTGGCACTAGGTGGCGCCAGCGTGGATAGAATTTAGCTCCAGTTGAATCTAATTATTCCCAGACGTAAAACGGTCTATTTACAGCTTCAGGACATAGTGACAAAGGCATAGGTAATGTTTTATCTCACTATTTCTAAATGCAGTGTTTTTGTACCATGTTATTTATAGGGGTGTCAAATTATCGCGTTAATTGCGATTAATTAATTACAGTCATATTTACCGCTTTGTTTTTTAATCACGTTAATCTTATTTTTAATCTCTAACTTTACTGTTTCTGTATGTGAGTTGCCTTATTATAAAATCTGTTTTTATGTGTTGTTGGGACAGTCCCGCACTGTGCAGTCCTGCTCTGCTCGCTCCCGCAAAGAACTGTAGCCTAATTTTCATTCCCGTTCTCGCCGTATCTGCGATAAACCTGCACCCGTCTGATCTCTGAAAACATCGTGACACAAACACAGAACAGACTCACCTTCATCATCAACATCCTCTGTCACAGAAAGAACATCTATATTCCACTGAGTTGTGTCCTTTAGTAGAAGCTGAACCAAATCAGCGCAAAAGAGTTTTTTTTTTTTCTCCTCCACTTAGTTTATGTAAATTAGCCATGTGGTTTTTAGTTTTGTTTCTGTGAGACTTGCGCAAAGCTGCATTAAACACATTATAATGTCAAACGGGCTGATGTGCCTCTAGAGTGTTTATGTTAATATGTTGTAAAGTTGAGTTTATTTATTCAGATTAGTAACAGTAATAATGATGATACTTATATAAAAACGTTAATGATAGTATGAAAATAATGTAATAATGAATTCAAATGAAAATATCTCAAATTGAGGCTTTTCTCAGCAATTTTTAGGTGAGATTAATTAGATGAATTAATTACAGATCATAATTAATTAATCTCAAATCGCTTGACAGCACTAGTTATTTAGGCTGTTTGAGAAAGGTTTAAAGACCAGAAGCCGATACAGATACAGTATCAGATCGCGACATCCCTAATCTTAAGTGTGTTTTAGTCCAGTTAATTTAGAAACTCATCCTCCACAATGATTTTGACGTCAGTGGTGGTGTAGATCTCACCAGAGAGACTGCAGACTCTCCACCTGTCTGCCTCTCTTGCCGTCATGCCCAAATATATGGTAATGATGACAGATATAAAACCACATGGTAACATAAAAGAAAGTACTATGTCTTGTCATAGCAGTACCAGATTCAGATTTGAGTACCGAATCAGTTCCTAAATATCGAAATCTACCTTGAAATTTCAGTGTCTTTATAATCTTTAGAGTCCGTTTGAATAATATAGGACCTTTAAATACAAGCTTTGGCTACTCCACCCTCCACTTGTTTAAACAGACTTGAATATATTTGCTGAAGCAGAAAGGCCCTCCCACTGTTGTACTCCATAGCCCTAAACTGTCTATTTCTCCATATTTTCTCTAAGGATTCTCAAAGGATTAAGTTATCATAGTTACCAAGTGAGTACCATAATTTCCTCCATAAACATCTCTTGTCTTTTTGTGCTAACTCTGTTGTTTAGATCTGTACAAACCTGTTCTGAAATTTGATTCTTGTATTAGTTTGTCAGTTCAGATTTCAGATTTTGTCACTTCTTCTGGGAACTTGAACTGAGCTGAATCCTATTATTAAAGGGCCAGTATTACACTATTTTCTGACCTATGTTCTTATTGTTTCCCAGCAACTGTTAATTGATCGTTTAACAGTTGTTCATATACTGATTCTGTGTGCAGCTATTACTCCTCTTTTACAGTATTTCAGTTAGTAATATGATTTAAGAGAAAGAGAAAAAACCGGGTATGTTTTTGAGGCGGTAACAACATTTTAACATGGTTTAAGCTCACATGAGTCCATTTTGTGTAATATAGGCCCTTTACCATCTCTGTGAGTGTATTCAGACTGTGTAGAGCAGAGGTCTCCAACCTTTTTCCTCTGGTGAGCTACTAGGGATGTAACAATAACTGAAATATTGTGATATTGCATCGTCAAAAGTCTCAATAATCGTGGGCTGTCTCAATATATCGAATTACAAGTTCCTTTGCTTAAATACATTGTTTTATAGTAGCAACCGCTAAAAGACATATGGAACTACATATCCCATGATTCATTTCAGTGCAGACAACAGGAAGAAATATGTTTTTTACTTGAAAACTTGAAATTCTACTAGAAAAACAGAAATAATGCACACCAAAGGTCTTTTAAAAGCAAAAAAGTTTCCTATCAACATTTGTATTAGCCTCTCCAAAATATAGCAATAAATATTGTACCGTGAGATGCATATCGTGTAATGTCGTACCGAGAGATTTGGATATCTTGACATCCCTTTGAGCTACCTTTACAAAACAAAAATGCAAGAGAGAGACTCATTTTAGTATCTGCAAACAATTGAGACAACTGTTAAGAAAGAGGGTAAACTTTGTAGCCTGATTCATCAGCCGGTTTCACTTCGTAGAAACTGTTTGATCTTGCAGTGTTAGAATTGTCCATTTATTAGTGCACTAAGTTGGGCTTCAAAATGATACATGTACAATGTTAATAGGCATGTAATGAACCACATTTTTGTTATTCAGTGGTATAATTCTGATATCCCTTGGAAGGGGATGGAGAGCTGCTGGTATCTCCAGAGCTCCAGAGCCCTGGTGTAGAGTAACTGTCTGCATCTCCATTTCTTTGTGTGTGGTTTCAGATCATAATCCTTCAGAGATGGACGCCTTGTGCCCCAGCCCCCCCGGCCCCTCTCGCCCCCAGAGGAACTACGAGCGCATGGGGGAGCGCTCCGGCACCACGTAAGTCTAAACATAACCAGGCTTAAAGCTGCACTGCGGAACTTTTCAATGTTGTTAATGTCTTACCTGTGTGGCAAAAACAATTACAGTTGTTTTTACTGCTCAGATATCTCAAACAGGGGTGTGCAAAAATCTTAAAATATCACAGTTTCCATGAAGAAAATAGATGTAGTTCATATTAAAGGTGCATTGTGTAATGTATTTTCTGAACTATAAATCACTCTGGAGTATAAATCGCGCCAGCTAAACAATGCACACTGAAGAAGAAAAAAAACTTATATAAGTCACACCGGACTATAAGTCGCACTTTTTGGGGAAATGTATTTTATAAAATCAGAGACCAGGAACTGACATTTCATCTTGAATGTCAAATTCTAGTAATAACAATAGAAGAGAGAACAACAGACTGAACAGGCGTTAATATGTTAACGTCACATATGAACAGTTCTTCAGACTGTCAACTATAGCATAAACAACAGAACATAAGTTTACCAAAATCACGATCTCACTCCAAATCACTAAATCCACTGAATTCTTCATCCTCTGTGTCACTTTTGCGCGACCTCCGGAGATAAACGGTAGATCCATGATGTAAACAAAGCATTGCTTCCTCTTCTGTGTAGCTGTCCGACTCAGCATCAGTTCCAGTTAGAATTATTACGGCCTTTCTGAATCCCGACAGGATGGTTTCGGTGTCACTGAAGTCCAGGCTTTGTCCATCCATCCAGTGACTTCCAGGAAAGTTTCATGGTGCACCCTCCCAGTTGCCGTGAAGCTGTGTTCTCCATCCCCCCAGTCCCTCACAAGTTTCTCACTCCAAACTTTCTGTTGCTCAATTCATCTGCATATTTCACTACCTGCAGCAGGACAGAGGCTTTTACTACAGGAGACATGCGCAGTAGAGTGCGAAGTAACAGTGACACAGTAGTAATAGTGGTACTAGATACTGACACATAAGACTAGAGCCTCTTGCAGCTGTCAGTCTGAAAATTTTAATATATAAGTCTCACAAGAGTATAAGTCACAGGAAACACCCAAACCATGAAAAAAAGTGCGACTTATAGTTTAAGAAATGTGGTAACTTTTCTGGTGGAGCATCTGTCAGTAAAATAATATCTCTTCACTTTTGTTGTTTAATGTACATTTACAGACATGTCTCAGCACATTTCTTTTTTTTGTAATTTTTTCTTTTTCTTTTTAAAGTATGAAAAAGACAAATACAATACAACCTGCAGGTGTGCCTTGATTCTTACAAAGGATGGATTAATTAAAAGAAAAATAATAACAATAATTATTACAGCCAATTGCAAGAAAAACAAAGTAATGGGTCAAACAAAGTCCGGTCTCACAGTATTTATATATTCAATCCACCGTTTCCATTTGCTTTCAAATTTGTCTTGTTGCAGTCTTATGCTAAAAGTAATTCTCTCCATCTTAAAAATATCATAAACAATCTCAAATCATTCATCCAGTGTTGGTACTTGTGGATTAAGCCATTTCCTGGTTATAGCTTTCCTAGCAGCCGCACTCAAAATCTGGAAGAGGTATTTAGCTTTATACGTCACATTTTCAGCCATCAGGAAACCCAAGTACATTGTTTCAAGTCGAAACGGTATGTCAATACAGAACACAGTTTCTAATGATTTATGAATTTCTCTCCAAAATGGAACAATGTCTCAGCACATTTCTAATGGTCTTTTTGTCAATTTTGCCCCCCCCCCCTTATTTTCAACATTTTTGTCCTCTTTTTTTCTCAAGTTGTTTTAAAGTTGCACTGTGTACCTTTTTTTGTGTAAAGTAGGTCACACTATGGAACATTCAAGGAAAAGCAGCAGTATCTCCATGGAGACAAACAAATGGCAAACCCTCCACCAGAAAAGTTACACAGTGCACCTTTAGTAAAAATGCTTAAATAATTGTTAATCTGTTTTTTTTGTGTTTAGTTTCTTCCAGACTCTGATCCACTTGTTGAAGGGGAACATAGGCACGGGTCTGCTGGGTTTGCCTCTGGCTGTGAAGAACGCCGGACTCGTGGTGAGCAAAGCATGCGTTTAATTTAATTTAATTTTGTAATTTAGTTGCAAACATCGCATGACCAGAGCCGATGGAGTCTTTTGTGTCTGTGCTGGATAGAAAAACAAGTCAAATACAATTATAGTGTAACTTCACAGTAAGTAGCAACCCTTGTTAACTCAAGTTTCATTGAAGAGAAAAAAACAAAATGCTAACCTATATTTGTTTGTATCTGTGTCAGTATTTTAAATGTTATTTGCCACGTTTACATGAGAGCTTTAATTCTGATTAAAAATAATTTAATTCTGAATAAAAATACATGGTCTTTTTGAAGCGGAATTCAAATACTTAATTCCTAATGAAAATAATTTTTCGGAATTAAACTTAATTCTGAAGTAAGTGGGTGGTTTTGAAAGAACAAAAATGTGGCTGTTTGCTGCAGGTTTTGCAATCAGTTGGAGCAGGTAGAGGGTGCCCTTGGAAAAAGGATCAAAACTTAAACACAACGCATTCCAGGCACTTCAAACATCCAAACAAGTAGAAAAAGTAAAAAAATTGCACGAGGAAGAATATAGTTAAAAGACCTTTATTTGAATGGCCAAAGCCAACATGTTTTGACCTTAACTGGTCTTCATCAGGGCTTGATTAAAACAGAACATGGGCGTGGCCTTCAAGTAAAACACATCAACCAATAGCAGGCTGGAGTGGATTGGAGGCAGACAAAACAAGTGCACAATCAGCAGCACAGGACATGGCACAGGCAAAAAAAAAAAAATAAATAAATAAATAAATACATTTTTGTAAACACAATACATACAAATGTGCACACTAATATAATAAAGAAAAAAAAGAAAATAAATACATAAACAAAAAACATAACACATTATCATTACCATTAATGTTTCCATTATTATTATTACCTATAATTTATTATTAATTATTTTTTTATTTTTTTTGTATTTTATTATATTAGTGTTATATTTTTATTATTTATTATTTATATTATTATTGCCATCATCATCATCAATAATAACCATAATAACATACACATAGAGAGCCTATCAGCCTAAGTTGGTGGTTTATCCTGATTTTAAAGCCAAATTTATTTATTCATCGATCATGTAAACGTTTATTCTTCTTAAAAATAATCCCGGTCATTCAGCACATGCTCATTGTGTCGCCCTTCCGATGAGATCCGGCTCCACCAGTCCTGGCTTTGGACTTTCATCCACGTCTCTTTGGATTTGTGAGCGGGATGTGGGAGTGGGCTGAGGTAGAGCAGCCTCACACTCAGTTTGTCTTCTTCCTCCCTTCTCCGACACGCTTCCCTTGTCCTTCTCAGCTGACAGACGTAAAGTGTGACGAGAGAATTCTTGAGCTGCTGCGCAATTATCATCAAAACAACTGTGAAAAAAAGCATGTCCTTGTCTAATCTGAACCCTTCGTCACCCCCAAATGTTCAGCGTAATTAAATAAAGATGATTTAATGTGTTTTCCATGTAAACTTCAATTCGGAATTATAATTTCCATGTAAATTCAAAGGAGAATATTTTATTTGTGAACTATTTAATTCAGAACAATTAATTCAGAATTAAAAAAACATGATACTTTGCATTGACATCATGCTGGGAGTTTTCTACATTGTAATTCCATAATTGTTACATAGCAGTAGTAGTCCTCTAATGTACACCAAAAGTATTATCTGAAAAATACAAATATACAAAAACATTAACTTTTTTGGAGGAATTAATGTTTAAAGTATTACAAAAATTCTTACGTTTAAACTTTTAGACAGAAGTCTCCCATTGTAATGTCATCAGTGTTTTAGAACTCTTTTATAACTTCCTGTAAATTTCAGCATTTTTTTACTTTTCTTTGCAAATTGCTCCTTGATTCATGTAAAACTATAATTGACATTTACAACAGGCATTATCCTACCAAATAAAGTCCAAATTGGAGAATCATCATAATCATACTCACTTGAACGTGACTAAAGTGTTGTGTTTTTGCAGCTCGGTCCGATCAGCCTGCTGGTGATGGGGGTCATAGCTGTTCACTGTATGAGGTTGCTGGTGAAATGCTCTCACCACCTCAGTGAAAAGTGAGTACAGTCTCTGCCCTCCACTTTATGGGCTGTATGTGTGTTTGTGTGTGTATGTGTGCGTGCGTGTGCTTGTTTTTGCGTTTTTAGACTTAGACAAACTTTATTGATCCATAAGGGAAATTATTTGGACACTGCAGCTCACACATCACAATCTAATATAATAACAAAGAGTAAAAACAGAAATGGTAATAATAAATTCTAAATAAGTAAAACATAAAAATTAACCAATTGAGAAATTAACCAACATCGGGAACTACATATCCCATGATTCATTTCAAGTGCAGACAACATGAAGAAATATGTTTGTTACTTGAATTCTTGGGATTATGACGGAAATAATTCACACCAAAATCTTGTCAAGGTATTTTAAAAGCAGAAAAGCGTCAGCCTCTCTAAAATATCTCAATAAATATCGTACCGTGAGATGCATATCATGATAATATCGAACCGAGAGATTTGGATATCGTTACATCCGTAGATGTGATGTCATCTGAAACCTAGCAATTAATTATATTGTATTTTGCCATGAAATATTGGAAAGGTAAATTCCCAAATATTGAACCTGATCATTTTTATTGACTAGACCCAAGACCATAGCCAGGCTGGTACCACCTAGTGCCCCCACTAAATTTCATTTCTTTCCAGCGACTAGAATCGGAATACACTAGATGGTTTGCAAGAGTGCGAGTTCGGGCACCAGCCAATCAGTGAAGAGCCATACATTTTGTGTTGTCAGCGATTCTCAAGATCGAGGATTTAAAACTGAAACAAAGAGAATGTTTAGTGAATTTTATCAAGGGGAAAGACACTATTGCCCTTCTTCCTACGGGATTTGGGAAAAGCTTAACATACTAGTTGGCCCCCAAATAGCAGCGACCGATTAAATAGAAAAAGTACTCGCCTACCGTCAAGCGAACGAATCCTAATGCTGTGAGGTCAGACGGTTTCCACGAAGTGAAACCGGCTGATGAATCAGACTACCAAGACCATGCTATATTACAACATGTGTATTAAATAATATTGACCTATAGAATGCTGTGATGTCATCTGAAACACAGCAATTGGAAAAACTGCTGCCTCACAGTCTAGAATCTGAAACAACCAATAACTACTCTTAAGAATAAAACATAAACATTAAAATTCTAATTCAAATTGAAATACAATGAGCTGTTATTGCTGTGACTGCTGTTTACCTTGTGGGCTGAGCCTGTTCCAGTGTAAACAGATCTGCGTTCACATGTCTGTTATCTGTGTTGATTTTAGACCAGGCAAACCAAATGAGCTTTAACTACATCCTTGTACAGCCACTTCGTCGTAACATTGTCAGTTCATTATGTGAAAATCTGCCTCAATGCATTTTGTAATAAATTCTTCTATATTGTCTTATACAGTACTACATATGGAGAAAATTATTACAAAATGTTGGTGATATTTATTTATTTATTTATTTATTTTTAATTAAAGAGCTACGGAAGCCCTGAGAGGCAAGAAAGAGAGAAAAAAGAGGCAGGTCATTTGGGCTCTATTTTCTAAGTGTTTTTTTTTTTTCACCAACTCCAAAAAAATTTAATAATAATAATAATAATAGTAGTAATAAGTACATAAATTATCTTTTTTTCACTGTTGATGTGGCTGATGAAAAAAAATAAAAAATAAAATAATAATAATAATAATAAATAATACATACATTTTCTTGTGTGTGTGTGTGTGTTTTTCACTGTTGATGTGACTGATGAAGAAGGGAAAAAAAAAAAAACACCTCTCTGTGTTGTCCCAGTATATTCCTCTAAATACCAAACTTCAGTGCAGGCAAACTGGTGAAGATTAGCTCATGGCGTTAGGCTCCGGGTTAGGATGTGGGAGGCCGGGTTTGAGTATTCATTCTAGCTGAATACAGTGTTTTCATGAGTTTTACTTTTGAGTTGTCTTTTATGAGTAATATGAGAAGACAGCTCGATGCTTACTTAGAAAATAGAGCCCAAATGACCTGCCTCTTTTTTTTTTTTCTCTTGCCTCTCAAGGCTTCTGTCAAGATCCTATATTACACAAAATGAATTTGTTATGGAGAATGGAGCTTTAAGACATGTTTTAATACTGTTACCTCCTCAAAAACAGACCTGGAGTTGTGTTTTCTTTCATTCACACATGTTTGAGTAACCCTTTATTATTAGTTTGTCTATGTCTCCAAAGCTCAAAACGCTCTCTTCCACCTTGTGATGTCATGAAGTGGTTGCTTTCAAACCAACAGCTCCTTTTACCTTTTGTATAAGGGGCGGCAGTAGCTCAGTTGGTATCGCACCACCTATCTGAAGGTTGGCGGTTCGAATCCAGCTCTTGACATAAAACATCACAGGTTGAGCAGTCAGATCCACTGGCCCACAGGTTGACTGGTGTGATTCCAGCTCCCACAGATGAATGCTGTCGTTGTGTCCTTGGGCAAGACACTTAACCCTTAACACCCTTAAAACCCCCTTAACACAGACACTGTGGGCAAAGTCTCTGTGTACACTGGTGTGTGAGTGTGTGTGTGAATGGGTGAGTGGTTCCTTGTTGTAAAGCTCTTTGTGTGCCTTGAAGGTGGAAAAGCGCTATAGAAAAATGTGACCATTTACCATTTATAAGATTATTAAACACTCAAAAATGTCAACTTTTCATATCCCTCCTTTAAAGGTGCTGTACCTGATTTTTATTGTCTTTAAAAACATGAAAAACTATATGGTTTAAAGTGAAACACGCAGCTCTTGATCCTGTGCACCTTAAGCAATATACCTTTACTGAGGCAAAACACGTTCTGCTCAAATACATGGTGATAAACTGGACCCATGGCCTTTAACATTTTAATAAATAAATAAAACAACTGTAACTCAAACCTGCCTGTTGTTGTTGTTTAGGATGAACCGTCCCTCTCTGTCGTACGGGGAGGCGGTGCAGTTCGGCCTTGAGAACGTGTCCTGGTTCCGGAGACACTCTCACTGGGGAAAGTACGTAACCTGCTTTTACACAGTGTTTGTTTGGGAATATTTGACATGCACCGATATTGAACATTTTGACAGATCAGGTTTTGGCTTTTCAGTCTATATCCTTTTTTGGTCTTTGGTTTAGGCCTGTCACGATAATTACTATATCAAAGCATCGTTTAATACTAGTCCATCTTCAAAAATTTGAATATCAAGAAAAAGCTCTATATTTTTTTGGTATTTCAGAAATAAACTCTTGAAATAGACTCTTTGAAAAATGGTAAACAAATACATTCTAGATATCGGAATGAAGGCAGCTGGAGGCAAAAGTGAAGTGGAACATAATGTGATTTTTAATGGGAAAGCTGGGATTACCTTCAGAATATGGAAAATAAAAACTACACAGATACATGTGAGCGACATCAGAGCCCAGTTTAAGCACATTTACAATTGTGTTTATTATTATTCTTTTATATGACTAGAGATTATGATAAATAGTAAGCATTTTTACAAAGATAAGATCCACATTTTGAGGTTTTTGTGGAGAAATCTTTGCAGAAAACTTGAGGCCACAACAGATTTTCACTTCATCTACAGATACAGAACACATTTCATCATTATTATACTTTTTGTGAAGCTCTATATTAAAGATGGAACAGTTATTTTGGGGTCAGTATGAGTACCTTTTCTTTGTACTAGTGGAGTTTTTGTTCCTTTTCTGTACTATTAGGCTACGTTCAGACTGCAGCCTGAAGTGACCCAAATCCAATTTTTTGGCCCCTATGCTCCTGTATCTGATCTTTTAATGACAGTCTGAACGACACAGATCTCATTTTTTCAAATGTGACCCAGGCCACTTGGATATGTGCTCCTGAAACCAATACATATCTGATCTTTTGACATGCGACTTCAGTCTGAACGGCCAAAGCGCATTCATCCACCTACACATTATCAACAAGCCACAAACGTCACTATTCTGCGCTGAAGTAGGTGAAAATTGTTAATGAACTCCATGTCACTGAAGTGAAGCACATCACCACTCACCACTCTTGGCTCCATCTCCACATCCACACGTTCCTTTCAACGGACGTCGCTGCCACTGTCCCACAAAACTCCACGGCCAAAAACCTTGTCCTTCTCCTTCTCAATCTCCTCCTTAAAACAAGTAAGTTGTTCATGTTCTGGCTCTGGTACGAGAGGAACTTTAAAATCTCCAGGTGATCAATGCTGCGTTCATGTTTGGTCAACTTCTGTAAACACAGAGCACGCTCGCTGCGGTTGACTTCGTCGTGTCTCCAGTGCACATGTGGGACACTTTCGGGTCATTTAATGTTCACACTGGAGTCACATACAAGTCACATTTAATTGGAAATGTGAACGACCTCGCAAAAACATTGGATTTCACAAAAAAAGCCGAATTGAGCATTAAGCCCTGCAGTCTGAACGTAGCCTTAGATTTCAGCTGAAAAGGATTGAATAAATAAATTCTGTGAGTATTTCATTCCGCTTTTCTTTTTTTTTTACTAGTACTTTTAGAATATTTTTGCGGGAGATCATCCTGCTTTTTGGTTAGTGTGTTTTATTTTGTTTTAGTATTATCGTTTATCATCTATATTTTACTTCAAATTTGTTATCATGACAGGCCTATAAATTGGTGTAATAAAGAAATTACTAATCAAAGTTTGCCCAAAATGTCTTATAATATTAAAGGTGCATTGTGTAACTTTTCTGGTGGAGGGTCCGTCAAATGTTTGAGATGTTATAGCTTTGTCTGGAATGTTTCACAGTATGGCATTAAACCTTTCTATCTTCATTGAGACCAAACTAGACCAAGTTACAGGTCAGATCTGCGGAGAGCCGACCCCGTAACTGACTAAATGTAAAGTAGATCTGTTTAATGCCATGCTGTGGAACATTCCGGGTAGAGCAATGACATCTCCATAGAAACAAGCAGGTGACGGACCCCCAACCAAAAAGTTACACAGTGCACTTTTAAAATTTTAACACCATTTATTTTGTGTTTTCAGGAAAATCGTGGATCTGTTTCTGATCATCACTCAGCTGGGATTCTGCTGCGTCTACTTTGTTTTTCTGAGCGACAATGTCAAACAGGTGAGAAAAAAAAGAACTTTATACAGAAAGAGGAAGTCAAAGAAGGAAGGAGAAAAAAAAGTGATATGGAATAGAAACCTGGAACAAGGAAGCTAGTGAACTTCTACATTACTACTATTCTTTTTAAGTCCCTCACTTTTTCTCCTTGACTTTTAACTCAGTTTTTAACTCAGTCAGTGTATTTGTCACTGTTTGCTATGTGTCTGATTTACCGTATTTTCCGCAGTATAGGGCGCTCTGGATTATAAGGCGCACTGTCATAGAATGGTCTATTTTGAACTTTTTTCACAAATAAACCACACCAGACTTTAAAGGAAACACAACAGTTGGATGTAGGGGTGTGCAAAAAATATCGGAATATGGATATATCGTATAGTTTAATGTGGTGATACAGTATCGATATCGTGGGCTGCTGTATCGATATATTACCAAGAGTAATTTTAGGTATATTTTACTTAATTATTTTGTTACTGTACCAAAGTTTTGTTGCTTGTTAGTGAAAGGAATCCAATTTATGCAACACATTTGACATCTTGACACTGTTTTGATTATTGAAATGTTTGTGTTTCATATGAACTTTGCACAAGATGTGGTTTAACAAAGACTTTTAGTATCGCAGCCATGATTTAGCCTTTATTTTTTACTGAACCATATAAAATCGATTTGAAATATATTGTATCGTACCGAAAGTGCACTGTATCGAGATATGTATCGTATCTGCAACTTCTTAATGATACCCAGCCCTAGTTGGATGGGTGAGTGGGACTTTGTTTGTTTGTGGCGTTCACAGTGACTCTGGGCTTTGTTCAGTTGTGGCGTGTAGGGAGGGTGTTGTCTGGGATCGCTGGATTGTCGGCGTGTTCGCAGTGACTCAGTTGTTCAGTCGTGTCTAGAAGTGGCACATTGCACTCACTTTTTCGGTTCGTTCCTCCGTTCCGTTCCTCGTCGGCGTGGAGTGGTGAGTGTGGCTGTGGGTGTTTTTCGCCACGCGGTCGCTGTCTGCTCCGTGTGTGTTTGCGTGCGCTGTGGCTGGTGCGGCTTTGTAGTTTACTGAAGGCGTGGTGGGACACCTGAGTGGATTTGTGTATAGGGCGCTCTGGATTGTAGGGTCGTTTTTTGCTTGCTGTGTTGTTTTTAAAGTGCTCTAGAAACTGAGTTGAGTTGAGAATTAGATTAGGTTCATCTTATTTCATTTTTGAGCGTTTTGTGCTTTTTATTTTAATTCCTGATCATAAATCTGTATCTTACACAATAGTTATTAGCCAAATAAAGATAGTATATATGACAACACCTTGGTAGATTATTATTTAAATGGCCAGAAAAAGTGTGTTTCTTGTTAAAGGTACACTGTGTAACTTTCTAGTAGAGGGTCCGCCACCTGTTTGTCTTTATGGAACTGTTATTTTTTATTGCTTTGTCTAGAATGAATCATTTTGAAAGGAGCTTCATTCCAGCTGCTATCGCACCTATGAATGAATACATTGAATTGAATTACCCTGTCTTGGGAAAATTGTGTTTTTTATAAATTTAATATTTATTGTGATTTTTAGCCAAGTTGATGAATGAATGAATTATTTATGGAACAAAACCATTCTGTACTGGAGCACTGTCACACTTTATATGTAATTGTGTTTTTGTATGTGTAGGAGTGGGTTTTTGTGTTTGTTTATTGTGTACAGTGTGGATGAATGAAATGTGAAATGTGGGACCAGCCTCTCAAATCTGCAAAACAAATTTACCTATGGGTGCGAATAAAGCAGGCTTACCTATCCTAACCTAATGTCCCACAGTATGGCATTAAACTTACCTGTTCCCATGGAGACAAGCCCCCAGGTCAAGTTACCGTCAGATTTGTGGAGAGGCGATCTCACTCACTTCAAGAATGCTTTTTTTTTTGGTAGTATTTATGAGCAATAAAACACCTGTAATTGAATAAATGCAACCTAGATGACTTTAATGCCATAGTGTGAGACTTTTTAGGCAAAGCAATAATATATATCTCCTTAGAAACAAGCTTGTGGAGGACCCCCTACAAGAAAAGTTACACAGTGCACCTTTAAGTGTGAATTTTACTTGTCTAGTTATTATTCCACTAAATTAAGGCTTAAGTTGATCTTGAAGTTTACGTTATCATGATTTTTTTGGGGAGCCTAACTTCACTTTTTCCACAAATGTCTGAATATTTTTATTTATATTTACTACACCCTCACTGTAAACCTTTTTTATGTTTATTTAATGCCAAAAAGAAAAACAGGGCAAACCAAAAAGAGTCACTGGAGAATATGTGTTTTGGTAGTGTGCCTTTGTTTCCACTAGAGGGCGATGTCCTCCTGGTTTTTATACAGTGTCTCTTTCAAAACTGATGTGAAAACTTGACAGTTTATTTGAAAATGGATGGATTTTTGCATGTTGGGGTTTGTTTTGGTTAGGTTTCTTAAAATGTATGCACTTCAAAACTGAATTATTTGGATTTAATGGATTCAGTAATATTAAAGTATGTCAATCTCACCTGCATGATTCCAAGGAAAGTTAAAGTTACAGTTAAAACCACCATTCGGAACATTCTCTGTGGTCATACTGTGGAATATTATAGCCAAAGGAACAGTATTTCCATGGAGAGGAGCAAGAGTTTTACTTCCACACCAAGTAAGAGTCAGGTTTGTGGAGATGCAAGCCTGCACATAGTTAGGAGACTTGTTTTTCAGTGCAACGAACGCAACCAAAACTTTCTTTAATTTTAGTTTTTGGGGTTTTTTTTGTTAAAAGTTACACAGTGGGGTTTTTAAACAAAATATCCTTTAATTATACTTTTAAAGAAATTAGGTACCAGAGAAAATATGTGTTTCGGTCTGAAGTTACTTAGATGACGTGTGTTTCAAATTATGAGCCGTAGATCTTGTTTCCTTGCTAATTTACTGTTATTAATCTTCGTTAGCTGCATCACTGGAGCTTTTAACATCCACCTGTTCAAAACATGCTCAGTCTGACCTCTTCATCTGTCACTGTACTCATCAACGCTTTTCCTCTCCCCCTCCTCCTGCTCCTCCTCACACACACTTAAAGGGCCCATATTACACTATTTTCTGATTGTTGTTCTAATGTAGTTTCCTCATCACAAACAGACCTGGAGTTGTGTTTTGTTTCATTCACACATTTAACACACAAACCCTGCACATTTAAACTGAGTTTTTCTCTTAGGCAGAAACCACTTTGTTCCATTTTGTGGTAATACAGGAAGTGCCCGCTGTGTTTTTAAACTCCGTGCATCTTTACTAAAATTATATGAATAATTTCAGCATTGGAACTGCAAATCTCTACTGAATAAGAAGTCAGAGTTAGCTGTTAACTGGAAAACTACCCCTACATGACATCACAAGGTGGGGCAGAGCATTTTGAGCTTTGGAGATGTAGGCAGACTAATAATAAAGGTGTTGTGGAAAAAAAAAAAAATTTCTTGAAGATAAATAATGAATCCATAATGAAGCCCGATGAGTTTTTGGAATATAGACCAAGGTTTATTCTTGCTACAGCAGATATGGACAGGGCCTAGGTCTGCTCTTCTTACCTGTCCTCAACTGTATGTTAGTTTAGCACCAGCCTCTGAAACCAAAGTCACTCTGCTTTGATATGTATGTAACTTGTATTTCTGTATAAATGGCCAGAGTTCAGATGCTCTGGGGCAGATACTGGGGAGATACTTGGAAGATGGGGCAAGATGTGGTAGGGATAACAAAAATAAACTTTAGCCTGTATTCCAAAAACTCATCGGCCTTCGCAAATTTTGCAAATGGATTAATTATGGGTCCGGTCAAGCGGTAACGGAGGGAAACAGGGGCAGATTTTTGACATTCAAATAGCTCTTATTCAGAAACTAGAGGGAGTATTGAAATAAGTAAAGTATCAGAATGTATGAAAGAGTTAACACTCCAACAGGGTCAAGTTAAACCTGTGATATTCTTTCAAGTTGTTGACAAAAAATTTTAAAACTCATGTCGGTAACAGAGGGAATGAAATATGCAGCACTTTTTGGGCAGTAAATCCAAACAGTGATAACTAGTGGTTCTCACTTACATATCCTTAACAAACTGGTTTGAATATTTGCTTCATATAGTTTTCTACCATATGGTACAAGATTAGGTTGAAAAACCTCTTACTTTTTGAGTAATGAGATTTTTTTTATGAAGAAAGGTCATGGTAACGGAGGGAAAAGTAACAGAGGGAAAATTGTGCAAACAAGTAGAAGGTGCATGATTTTGCATAATTTGTCAGCTTTTTTCTTCTGAATACTTTAATATTACTTCAAAATGAAAGGAAACTATTTCTATAAAATATGTCAGTCCTTCCAAGCAAATTTTTATCATTTTAAATACTTTTTTTTTTTTTTTTAATCCTGTACCTTCATCAACAGTTCAAAGATGGAATAACACAAGATATGATGAAATACATCCATTTATTTACATGATTTGCAGGTCTTTGAAATTTGGGAAATAATTTTTGTTCCATGTTTCATACATGGTCTGTTTAAAACATATGGAACTTTAGAACCAAAAAACGGTACAGAAAAAGGTCAACAGTTTCATAAACTAGAGTACATATGTATCTGTTCAATACATTTTTATATCAGATGCATTAACTTAAATTTTTGGCCTTGCTGTTTACTTCTGCTTGACCGTCCCCATATTTATCTTCAAGAGACAACAAAAGGTCACTCAGACGTGTGTGAATGAAACAAAACACAACTCCAGGTCTGTTTTCGATCAGGAAATAAAATCAGAGTAAAACATGTGTTTAAGCTCACAGGAATGTCATGTAATAGAGGAGCTTTAACAACTATAGGAGAAAAGTTACGTACTGCTGCTTTAAATGATCTGTTTTTATCTGTGTTTTCCAGGTGGTAGAAGCCGCTAACGCCACCACGTTTACCTGCGAGTTGAACTTGACAAACCAGACGAGTGTGCTGGTGCCCAGTTTTGATTCCCGTCTCTACATGTTGTGTTTTTTGCCCTTCATCGTGCTCCTCGTCTTCACCCCAAACCTCAAGTATCTGGCTCCTCTGTCTCTGGTGGCAAACCTGGCCATGAGCGCCAGCCTGGTCCTCATTTACTTCTACTCTCTCACGGTAAGGCTTTGTTTGGAAAGAGACTGTGCATAAGTGAGGTAGTTTTATTGTGAAAGGCTAGTGCATATGAGCATAGATGAGTTTAATTTTGAAATTCTTCTGTATACAAGCATGTTACAGTTTTGTTTTGAAATGTACAGTTTAGAAGTTTAATTTGGAGTGTGGTAGATTTATTGTGAAAGGTTACTGCATATGAGCACAGAAGAGTTTTAGTTTGAGATTCTACAGTGTACGAGAATGGTATAGATTTATTTTGAAAGGTACCGTTTAGAAGAGTGGTAGTTTTATTGTGATAGGTACAGTTTAGAAGTTTTATTATGAAATGCTACTCCATATGAGCGTAGATGTTTTATTTTGAAATTCTACTGTATACAACTATGGTACCATTTTATTTTGAAAGGTAATGCAAATTCTATGATATACAAGCGTGGTACAGTTGGATTTTTTTGTTAGTTTTATTTTAAAGGGTTTCTGCATAAGTGCATAGAAGAGATTTATTTTGAAATCTACAAGCATGCCATTTTACTTTGGAAGGTACAGTTTAGAATTGTGGTAGTTTTATTGTGATAGGCCCCTGCATATTACATATTAGAGTTTTATGTTGACATTTGATGATATACAAGCATGGTACAGTTTTAGATTGATAAGGTACATTTAGGAGTGTGGCAGTTTTATTTTGAAAGGCTACAGTATATAAGCATTTTTAGTTTTATTTTGAAAGCAATATGTTTTATGGGCATGGAATAGTCCTTTTATATTACTGTTCATTTTATGTGTCCTTATATGTGTGTGATCCCTCAGTGGTCCAGGTAGGTTCCATAGTGGTTCATGCACGTATACTAGTCTATGTGCTGTTATACCTGTTCTGATACAGCTTAAGATAATTCTAAAGACATTCAGGAAAGGTTCATTTCTGTCCTATCAATGGGACTTCTTTACTATCGATACCTGCTCTAATGTGTATATAGATTCAATATCAGTTTTAGTATCACTTAGTGTCTGATTGTTAAGGAAGTAAGTAAGTAATCATTGCATTTATATAGCACCTTTCCAGACACCCAAAACACTTTACAGTTCATTGTTCACACCCGGTGGTAAGCTACTATTGTAGCCACAGCTGCCGTGGAGCAAACTGGCTGAAGCAAGGCTTCCGATCTACACCACCACCAACAACAACAGTCAGGTTTTTGCACTGGTGCCCTACTGTGGTGCCTGGAATTCCCAGTGGTCTCCCATTCAAGTACTACCCAGGCCCTGTCCAGTCTTTGACCGGTATGCCGGTATGACCATTTTCAAAACTTTTGACAACCCCAGCAGAGTAAACCAATCTTAAACATTTGCAATTTTTTTAATACTACAAGTGGAGATAGCTGTAGATGACACTGTTCTGCCTGAATTTTAACCTTGTATTTCAGGTCAGATGATATTTCCACTTTAACTAATCGTGATGAACCTGCGTACATTCATTCATTCAGCAATAATATAATTTCTGGTGTAATTTTTGCCTTTGAGCGATTCTGAGAAAATTAATTAGTCTGTGACCGACTTCAGTAATGAATATAACACTTGAATCATATTCAAAAGTGGGACTCAGGGTCACGTCAGAAAAATGCAAAAATATGACTCTATTTTAACCAAATGTAGCTCGAGGATAAGGTACTTTTTCTATGCAGTAATTATGAAGTGTATGAGTATATACAAATATATTAGAAGGACAGAGGAAGTACTTGCGGTCATACCTGGACTGTTGTAAAACTTGTTTTCCAAAGATGGAATCAGTTGTATTTGAAAAGAACTAGTTTGCAGTTCTTTCAAAACTTTTTCAACACTTTTTAGACCCCAGTCGTCCATCTGAAATAATTACTTCAAATCTTTCAATGCTGTGAATGAAACATATGGTACCTCAGAAGTATTTCACCATGAACCACTTTTAGCATACACGGCCAGTTCAAAGTTTGGACATACTTTTTAATTTCTGTTTTCTCTTTATTTTCATGATTATTCTCAATGTACATTCTCACTGAAGGCATCAAAACTATGAATGGCACACGTGGAATGTAGTAAACTAAACATGAACTGAAAATAACGCAAAATTTATTTTAAATTTAAGAGTTTAAAAAATAGTCGTCCATTGATTTGAACCCTTCTTTACACTCATGTCATTTCTTGACCTTGACCTGAATATTATCGCAAATGGAACCAGAGCAGCTCTCCTCCAGGCCAAATACGAGTCAGGTTTGCGGAGAATAGTGCAAGCAATAAGGACAATAAGGACAAATTTTTAAATGTTTTACAGTGTTATAGAAAACATGAACATTTTGGCCAAAACATTACATACTATGGCTTTAAAAACTTCTTGCCAGTATTTCATTATATTGGTGCCTTGCTGTAACATTACTCTGGGGATGTTCTACAAGTATTGCAATGGTGGAATGTTCAGCAGTTACCATGGAGACACAATGCACACACTAGCAAACACTGTGATCAATACAAGCATTCACGGTCAACAAAAAGGCTAATGCTAAGGCTAATTATGTGTGAGAGACTTTTTGAAGCTTTTAGAAACTTTATTGATCCACAAGTGAAATTATTTGGACACAGAAGCTCACAAATCACAATATATTATAATAAATGGTAATAATACATTCTAAGTAAATAGCAAAAATAGCAAGAGACCTGTGTCAGTTAAAATAAAATATAAAAATAAAGTAGTAAAAATATTGTCTCAGTCCTGCACCCCCTACTGGTCGTGTGTAGGGTTCATTTCTCTTTGTCAGAGTTATAGATCACCCTCTCCTGGTCCCTCTGGTTATATTCCCCTGGTCCCTCCTCTCTCGTCTCTGTGGGCGATTGCTTTGGCCCCTACAGCCTTTTTATGGATAACACTGAAACCTCTCGTGACAGAAGCTGGAGATTACCTGTTCTGCTCCTAACAGTGCGTTTCATCATCACTGGCCTTTTCACGTACCAGTCACCCATCTCCAAGGGAAAATATATGTATTTCCTCGCATCGAAATCTGAACAAATTTGCTGCATTAAGAACGTTGGCCTTTGGGGTTTGGTCTGCACATGAATCATTGGAAGTGGAAAACTTTAGAGTGGGAAATTATAGTTTCATTTTTTTGTTTTATGTGTTGGAGTGTGGACAGATAATAAAGGTCCTGTATTACGAAAAGAAAAAACAAAAACTTTACTCTAAAATTTACTCTTGTAAGCTTTAAGCCGTGTTATAATGCTGTTATCTCATCAAGAACTGGAGTTGTGTTTCAGTAATCCTGTATTATTAGTCTATCTTCTTCAAAGCTCAAAATGCTCTGTTCCACCTTGTGATGTCATGAGGTGGTAGGTTTTCAGTTAACAACCTTTTATCTTTTACCTTTTGTTCAGGAATTCCAGGGCTGAAATGATTCTAGTGAAGGTGTATGGAGTTTAAAAACACATTGGAGCTCTTCCTGTATTAAAGGTTGTATAGAGGATTTTTTAAGGGAAGTGAAATACAGCGACAGTCCTTTTTCAAATGTTGTGCATGTGTGACACCACCTTCCTCCTCCACATCTCCCTCAGTAGAAACACCTCCTCCCGCCTCTTTACTCTAGAAATCACGTTTGTTTATCTCCAGTTCGCCTTCAGAATTACTGTTGAAGTGACCTGTCGAGAAATATTTTGGTGGTCGACGCGTCAGTTTTTAGACCCTTCGTCTGCTTCAGTCGCGCCATCGCTGGAAGGAATCTCCAAGAATCACCTCAGTTTGTCTTCGCTCCTTTTCCTCTTCTCTTCTTCTTTCAGCAACCTCAAAAACGGACTTTCTTTTGCGGTGAACTGGTCGTGGATTCTCTTCCGCCATCGCAACAAACTTTGTGCGAATTGCGAGGAAGCGACAGTTTGAAAAAGCCTCTAAGAACCGCTTCATAAACCACGTAATCCCTGCGTGCCGAAGAGTCAGTTACACTAGAAACGTAGGGAGTTTGATTGACAACCTAACAGCCAGTAGATAAAGAGGGAGCCTCGTTGTCTATTGGCTGATGTTTATCTGGCCTCACTACGTCCACAGTTGATAGATTTTCATTATTTTTTATTTAATCATCATAATTACAAAGCTGCTGTGTCTCTGTAATGATATTTTAAACTTTCAATGACAAGAGGAACCAAAAAAAAAATCCTCCATACAACCTTTAAAGCATGACATCACAAAGTGGAACAGTGTTTTTTCTGTTTGAGAGAAGAAGATGTGTGAATGAAACAAAACACAACTCCAGGTCTGTATGCGGCGAGGAAACTACAATAGAACATAGATCAGAAACTAACATAATTAAAGCTGCACTGTTTAACTTTGATGTTGGGGGGGTATACCTGCTGGTCTCCATGGTGATGCCATGATTTGCCTGAAATGTTCCACAATATGACATTTAAACTGTTAAACTGTCAATTACAGTCTTCTTATTGCTCAAAAATACATTAAAGATGAGCAACTAACCTTGCATCGCATGAATCGTTGCATGTTGAGGAACTATTTTCTCAGTCCGTCGCGGCCGAGCTTTCTATCAGGAAGTGCAACTCACAGCTGCTGCTCAGACATAAATCCTTCAAATACAAGGTTGGTTTTACTTCTCAAATTATTCTATCAACACAGACATTCACATGGACAGTCTGGTGTAATAATAGATTTGCTTCGGGTGTTTTGTGGAGTGGGTTTTTAGTGGCAGGAGAACTATGACCATTGAATACAAGGACTGGATTAAATATTTCAAAAAGTGTCTCCACACGTCTCCTCACTAGGAAATTAGGTCCTATGTCCAAAATTCTGAACTGTCCCTTTAAAGAGAAAAGAGATATGTTTAATACTGTGAAACATTCTGAGCAAAGTAACAACAACTCCTTGGAGGTCAACAGGTGTCCCTTAAGATTATGGTCCATGTGTCAGGCCACCTAAGTCTTCAGCAGTCTTTTGATTCTATGAAATTATGAATTAACTATTGAAATTTTTATGCAATATTTTGTTTAATTCGCTCTGCTTCTACTCTGTTTCCCATTGTCTTTACACTGAGAAATTGTTGTCCCCTCTCTCTGTAACTGCTTCTGTGAATCTCATCATTTCAGTCTCAAAATGTTTGTATTAATCCGCTCTACATGATTCTGGGGTTTTTATTTTGCCTTTTTTGTTGTTGTTGTTAACAAATTCCCGTACCTTAATACCTGGAACTGGCTCCAAATTCGCTTCTATAACTAAAGCCCTCTGTGAGCTTCATTTGACTGGTGCAGAACGCTGTGGGTGACGTCACTTCTTTATACAGATTTTAAGATCGATTTCAGCTGTAAATAGTCGTCCCTTTTTATTTGATAAGCCTTATAAACTCTGACCCATTTCACGAACACCTATCCTCCTTTTATTATCAACTAGTGTTGTTATTATGGTTTATGTCTCTCATGACTCAGACCAAAACGTCTCACTTCTTTTGTTGAAAATGGATCTTATCTACTGCATCGTATTAGTGCTACTCTATTAACCTAGTAAAGGCCCTGTATATAATATGAACTATTATACTAGTAGTTATGTCTGTCATGAGTCAGACCAAAACATGTTATCTTTTGTTGAAAATAGGCCTTGACTGTCACAGCTCGCACTAATCTTCCCATCAACTTGTTTTTATTCTAAGAACGAACAATTTATTTCACAATATCCAATTTTGTGTCTCATTTGAAGTAATTTATCACGCGCTGATGAAATTTGAAGCAAGGACTCATTCAGAATAATGCTTTCTAAGGAATTATTATGAGTGCATTGGGTTCATTTGTGCTTTGTGTGTGAATTTGAACCCGTTTGACACACTTTTCTGACGATATTCAAGTTTGTTTTTCTGTTTCATTGCAGCATATTACGTATCCGATCAACCTGCCCAAAGTGGGACGGGCCAAAGACTACCCCCTCTTCTTCGGGACGGCCATATTTGCTTTTGAAGGGATCGGAGTGGTGAGTTTATTTATGCAATACATTACCACAGAAATAAGCATTAAAGGCGTATTGTGTAATTTTTCTGGTGGAGGGTCCATTAAATACTTTTATCCACAGAGCCTTTATTACTTTGTCTGGGATGTTTTACAGTATGGTATTAAACTTTTCTATTTTCACTGAGCCCAAACCAGACCAAGTTACAGGTCAGATCTGTGGAGAGGTGACCCTGTTCAGTCAGACTGCCTGTTTTTTATTATTTTTGAGCTGTGAAACCACCTGTAATTTAATAAATGTAAAGTAGAGCTAGGGCTGTGCCAAAAATTGAAAGAGCATTAGATCATAGGGCTGGGTGATATGGAGCAAAAAATATATCTGGATATATTTTGCTATATCTCGATAGATGATATTTATCTTGATATCTGTACAGGAAAAATAACCCCCCTAAAACTACTGCAAAAACAAATATGCCAAATTCCACACACACTTTATAAAAGTGTAAAGAGGTAGGCAGTTCACGTAGAAACAAAGTGCTTCTGTGACATAAAAAAAAATAAAAAATCTTCTGCATAAATAAACTTTACATTACTAAACTTTACAACATATAAAGCATAACTACTTTAGAGCAACATCAGCCTGTTTTCCACACTACAGGACGCACTTAAAAGCCTTTGATCAAAAAACGGCTGTGCGCCTTATAATCCAGAGCGCCTTATATATGAATTTATTGGGGTGTCTTAGTACGACTTTAGTAAACTACAAAGCCGCACCACTTGCAGCATTATGGCTCCCGTAGTCCGGAGCATCGCTGAGTAATACATACTGTGATTCCTTTTAATATCAAAAGGCACCTGTCATGATGTCGATACTGTATCATCACATTAAACCATATGATATAATGATATTTCAAAATTTTTGCACACCCCCTACCAAAAAGTTACACAGTGCCTCTTTAACATTAGATTAGAAAAGTATGTTTAGTTTAGTGAAGTTTTTTTTTGTGAAGGGACAGAGATGTTAAGCTCATAAAAACAGCTGTTCCGCACTGTATTTCAGCAAAATAGCCAGCTTCCATCTGCAGTCTTTGATTTACAGAAATAATTACAGCAGGCAATTACATTACGTTAACAATAAGAACCATTCGCACTGTGAACTCTCTGACCCCCTCACACAGCAGCACAGATGTACAGCACAACCACTCACCTCAACAAGCATTAGACATTTACAGAATCATTAGTTTCATCTTATAAAATACTCACCTACCATTTCTACTTTTCACAATTAAATAGGCCATAGCTTACAAAAAATAGAATATAACAGATTTCAGTGTGTAGTATGACACACTACTCGTTATGAACAGTGTTGGGGAGTAACAGGTTACATGTACCAGAGTTACGTAATCAGAGTTTACCACTCACTGTAAAACTGTAATTGGATTACAGTTACTTTGTTGAAATAAATGGATTATACAACAGTATTTTCCAGTTTTTACATTTTGGGCTATATCCCCCCTTTTTTTTCCTGTAATTCCAGTCATTGCCGCACAATAAACTAGGCCTAAAACCAGGTCTAAAACCAGGTCTAAAACCAGGTCTAAAACCAGGTCTAAAACCAGGCCTAAAACAAGTCTAAAACCAGATCTAAACTAGGTCTAAACCAGGACTAAAACAGGATTTAACAGGACTAAACCAGGACTAAACCAGGACTAAACCAACTAAACCAAGACTAAACCAGGTCTAAACCAGGACTAAAACCAGGTCTAAACCATCTCTAAAACAGGATTTAACAGGACTAAACTATGCCGCGCTGACCGTGTCTCCTCCTCTTCTATCCATAATATTTTTTAATACGTTTAAGTAAAGTCTAGGTTTTTATTGTCTTTAAGTAGACAAAACTTCTTATGCGAAAATATCCGAGTCTTTGCTTCTCTACAGCAAATCAAGTAATCCAAAGTATTCAGATTACGTTACTCACTTGTGTATGTAATCTGTAATCTGTAGGGGAATACATTTTAAAAGTAACCTTCCCAACACTGGTTATGAATGCTATCAGGTTTGGTTATTCCACTATTTTGTTTGCGATTTATGTTTTAATAATAGGATTCTGTTCAACGTTCGCATAGTAAACCAGAAGAATTGACAAAAAGAGTGAAATATGAACGAATATGACCGAAAAGTACGTATTTGTGCATATCTAAACTACAGGGTTAGCCGTTTTTATGCAGAATCAGACTTTGTTGTTTGTGTAGAAAATCATGGTAGTTCAAAAATTGCAACCGATTATAGTTGGGGCATCTTGTTCTTTGTCTGTGCAGGTTCTGCCTCTGGAGAATAAGATGCAGCGCCCCCAGAGGTTCATGCTGGTACTGTTCGTGGGCATGGGCATCGTGACTTTTCTGTACATCAGCCTGGGCACCATCGGGTACATGTGCTTCGGAGACTCCATAGGGGGCAGTATCACACTCAACCTGCCAAACTGCTGGTACGAAAACAACATTACTACTAAAATATCTGAGGTCAGAGCTACACAACCTTTTTGAACTCGTAACATCAGAACATCTATACATATATTTATCATTATGTAAACTATTTATTGTAGTAGTAGTAGTGTTATTTATATGATGAGTGCAAGGAGTGAGTGTTTTTATAACTGAGTGGACATAATTATAGAAAGAGTATAGACTAGGTTCAGTGATAAATTAATAATGTTGAAGAAAAGTCCTATGTGATGCAAAATAGACTCTTGTGAGCTTTAAGTCATGTTAGAATGTTGTTCCCTCCTCAAAAACATGGAGTTGTGTTTTGTTTCTTTAAAGGGTCCATTTCATGCAAAATAAGTCTTTTCACATTGTATCTTCTGCACATAATTTGGGTTTTGGAACATCCATTACACAATAGTTATGAAATCTTACTGATTTCTCAGAGGCAGTCACAGACCAGGAACTATGAAAGGCCGACTATTGCTCATCCCCCCGCCCGTCCTGAGAAAGCACAGGCTCCGCCCTCCAAACGTGACGTAGGTTCTGAGTGAGCCGCCCTTCCTCCGCCCATCTCAGGGAGGGAGGGGGAGACAAACGTGCACCCCGATAGTGGTAGGAGTAAACTTTTATTCATCATGGAGATACAGCGCATTCAGCCGCATGTGTTGGACCCGGAATCGAATGAGGACTTTGAGAAGCATGAAGCTCAAGCACCGCGTCGACATCAGCTGAACATTACTGATTGATAAAGTATTAATAAACACTAGTAGACAAACTTACTATATCGTGTACACTGGAGGAGGCGGGGCGGAGGCGGGGGAGCGGGGGCGGGTGCAAAGCTCTTTCTGCTACGTCAAACGCGTCATAGATGTATCTGCCGCGTCATCGTTGTAGCAGCTTTAGTTCGTTGTCACGTGGGAGGGTGGCAGAAATACGCTGCAATTTGTAAAAAAAAATACCGAATCAATCTAAAAACCACTTCGGTGACATATACAAGGCCCACACATCACTCTTGATTTTGCATGAGATGGGCCCTTTAACACATGTTTGAGTAACCCTTTACACTGCGTTCCAAATTATTATGCAAATGATATTTTTCTCAGATTTTGCCAAATTGTCAATATAAATGACAGTCAGAATTTTCAAGTCACCAACCATCACTGGAGCTGTTTCTGCTTGTGAGCATTGTTTAAGGGTGGGCGAATAGAACATTTATGCATAACTGTAGGCCTCTTGAGGATCCTACACCTTGATGATCGCGGGACTCCAGAGGCAGCTTCAAATATCTGTTTGCTGCTTTGTAGTGGCATTTTAGCAGCTGCTCTCTTAATCTGATGTATTTGCCTGGCAGAAACCTTCCTCATTGTGCTTTGTCTGCACAATGAGGAAGGTTTCTTTGTCTGCATGAATCCGTGTTCTGAATCAGCTACAAATTTCTTAATAGTTCGATGATCACGCTTAAAGGGACAGTCCGGAATTTTGGACATAGGACCTCATGTCCTAGTGAACCAGAGTGCTGGAGACGTGTGGAGACACTTTTTAAAATATTCCATCCAGTCCTTGTATTTGCAGAAGTCGCTGGTGCTAGGCTAGTGGATGTCAATGGTCATAGTTATCCTGCCATTAAAAACAGTCTTACCCACTCCACAAAACCCCCAAAGTAAGTCTGTTATTACACCAGACTGTCCTTCTAAATGTCTGTGTTGATAGAATAATGTTTGAAATAAAACTAACCTTTGATCACATGAATCGTCGCATGTTGAGGGACTGTTTTTTCTTATATCAGTCCGCCACTGTCAAGCTTTCTATCAGGAAGTACAACTCACTGCTGCTGCTCACACATAAATCCTTCAAATGCAAGGTTGGATTTACTTCTAAAATTATTCTATCAACACAGACATTCACATGGACAGTCTGGTCGTTTTTACCTTTAGGTCAGTAGAGATTGACAATTCCAATGCTGAAATTATCCAAATGTTTCTAGTGAATGTGTGTGGAATTTAAAACCAAAGTGCAATTCCTTCACCACATGACATCACAAGGTGGAACAGAGTGTTTTCTGTTTGAGAGAGGAACCAAGCCTAAATCTGCAGGTTTTGTGTGTTAAACATGTGTGAATGAAACAAAACACAACTTGAGGTCTGTTAATGATGAGGAAACTACATTAGAACAAACAGTAGATCAGAAAATAACATAATATGAACCAGTTAAACCTGTCATCTGAAACACAGCAACTTGCACAAATGTTTTTTATGCAATATTTGTTTTTCTTCAGAGCAGATACAATACAAAAACAGTTTTTGAGTCAAAGTCATATGTTCCTCCCTCCTCTTTCTCAGGACGTATCAGGCGGTGAAGCTGCTTTACTGTTTCGGGATCTTCATCACGTTCGCGCTCCAGTTTTACGTCCCAGCTGAGATCCTGATTCCTCCTCTCACGGCCCGAGTCCAACCGCACTGGGAACGCCCCGTCGACCTGCTCATGAGGACGGCCCTGGTCATCGCGACGTGTGAGTGCGAACCCGTACTGACCCTGTGCCCTCGAGCAAGACATCTCACACACACACAAAACCATACACACGAAAGCAAACGGCCACGGTTGCCCTCGAACAAAACACCTCACGCACCTTTACTCTGGTCACCGCGACGTTTGAGTACGAACCCATACTGCTGCTGTGCCCGCGAGCAAGACACCTTCCACACCTGAAATCATACAAGCAAAATGTATTGCCTCCGTGCCCACTTTTATGTGTGGGAGTGGGAGTTTTGTCTTGTTAAAGGTTGTATAGAGGATTTTTTTAAGGGAAGTGAAATACAGCGACAGTCCTTTTTCAAATGTTGTGCATGAGTGACAACACCTTCCTCCTCCACAGCTCCCTCAGTAGAAACACCTCCTCCCGCCTCTTTACTCTAGAAATCACGCTTGTTTACATCCAGTGCACATTCAGAATTACTGTTGAAGTGACCTGTCGAGAAATATTTTGGCGACTGACGCGTCAGTTTTTAGACCCTTCGTCTGCTTCAGTCGCGCCATCGCTGGAAGGAATCTCCAAGAATCACCTCAGTTTGGCTTTGGTCCTTTTCCCCTTTCTCTTCTTCTTTCAGCGACCTCAAAAACGGACTTTCTTTTGTGGCGAACTGGTCATGGATTCTCGTCCGCCATCGCAACAAACTTTGTGCGAATTGCGAGGAAGCGAGGAAGTTTGAAAAAGCCTCTAAGAACCGCTGCATAAACCACGTAATCTCAGCGCGCTGGCGAGTCAATTACACTAGAAACGTAGGGAGATTGATCGACAACCTAACAGCCAATAGATAAAGAGGGAGCCTCCTGGTCTATTGGCTGATGTTTATCTGGCCTCACTACATCCACAGTTGATAGATTTTTATTTATTTATTTTTTTTTTGGTCATCATAATTACAAGGCTGCTGCGTCTCTGTAATGATATTTTAAACTTTCAATAACAATTTGAAACTAAAAACAAAATCCTCCATACAGCCTTTAAAACCAAACATAGAGCATACTGCCGCTGTGTCCTCAAACAAGACACTTCACCCAACTTCTATGTAATAATGCTGCATGCGACTACAAAACCATACAGAGAACGTACTCCTGCTGTGCCCTCGAGGAAGACCCTTTACTTTGGAACTGGGGTGCGTGAGTTAACAACATCTTACCAAAAACGTAAAACAAAGCTCAGATTAAAGTCTAACTTGAGTAACAGAGCTTCAGACAGAGCAGTGCTTACAGTTAGCTTCAGGGAATATTCATGACATCAGCTGCAAAGTATATATTATATCCGTACGTTTAACTTACTGAAATCCGTTGCCCTTATCGTTGCATTTTTCGCTTTTTATATGGTTCCATGGTTATTTGAGGCTCTCGCAGTTGTGTTATGAGCATGTCTGATAATAAAGTTGATTTTAGGTGAAAACAGCAGGAGCCCAGGAGATAAATCCTCTCTTCAAAGCTAAAATTGAGAAATAAGTGAGTTTGAATTTAAGATAGTGATTCTTCCCCCACAAAGAGAAGTGCCCCCCCCCGTGGTGAGAGAATCAAAACAGGCCGTGATAATTACAAAGATCAAATAAAAACGTATCTTTACTTTCATTATTAGAGAGAGTTTGACGGATTATTGCATCATTTTAAAAAGCATAACAACCCTGTGTCACTTTTTGCCTGCAAATTATTTCTCAACGTACTTAAGTGAAAGGGCCACTTTAAAGGGCCCATATTACGTTATTTTCTGATCTATTTTCTAATGTAGTTTCTTCATCACAAACAGACCTGGAGTTGTGTTTTGTTTTGTTCACAACACATACCCTGCAGATTTAAGTTCTTTTCTCAAACAAACATTCCACCTGTTCCACCTTGTGATGTCATGGGGTAATACAGGAAGTGTTCCATGGTGTTTTTGAACTCCACACACCTTCACTAGATTCATTTGGATTATTTCAGCCCTGGAGTTGCCAATCCCTGAGCTAAACCACTACATGACATCACAAGGTGGAACAGAGCATTTGGAGCTTTGAAGATGTAGACAATGTAGTAATAATGGGTTACTCAGACATGTGTGACTGAAACAAAACACAACTCCAACATTCTAACATGATGTTGCGTAGAAACTGTCTGACCTCGCAGTGTTAGAATTCGTTCGCTTGACAGTAGGCGGGTGCTTTTTTTTTTATTTAACCAATCGCTGCTATTTGGTTGTGATGTATGTAATGCACCACTAACGGGGCTAACTGGTATATTAAGCTTTTCCCAAATCCCATAGGAAGAAGGACAATAACGTCTTACCCCTTGACAAAATTCTCCAAACATTCTCTTTGTTCCGGCTTTAAATACTCGATCTTGGGACTCGTTGCCAACACAGAGTATATGGCTCTTCACTGATTGGCTGGTGCCGGGTTCATACTTCCGAGATTTTTGCGAACTGTCTAGTGCAGGGGTGGGCAAACTTTTTGGCTCACGGGCCACATAGGGTCCTAAAATTTGACTGAAGGGCCGGACAGGAGACAGGACATGACGTGTTAAGAGCCCGGCTCCATTGCACTCATTTTTACGCTCATGTAGGACGTATTCTGCACTTCGCACTACAACTTTGACATGCAAGTTTCAGAATACATGAAAAGTGAATAGATCTGCTCCTCTGCACACCACAGAGAAGACATCACACTAGTGTGAGTCCTGAGCGGTTAGATCTTATTGAGGAACAGAGCCACGCCACAATGTGGAGTACAACATGTGCAGTAATACCAGACTTAAAATGTTCCATGCATTGAGATTTTTAACACAGCATCTATAAGTCTTTTGACTTTACTTTTAACCCACTCAAATTGGAAACAGTGCAGCCTTATGTCTTGAACACTTCTACCTCACTCGGCCAACATAATACGCCGCACCTCAATGTTTATATAGTGCGCCATCTACTGGGAAACGCTGGAAATGCAGGAAAAATAAAACATCAACAAGGTTTATTATTGTAATTTATTCAAGTTCGGCGGGCCGGATTAAAAGGTTTAAAGAGCCACATACGGCCCCCGGGCCATAGTTTGCCCACCCCTGGTCTAGTGTATTCTGATTCCTGACCTAGTCACACACACACACACACACACACACACAGTTTGTCTGAGTGAATCTCAGACTCCAGGCTCTGTGTGGTAATGCCTCCGTAATTGTACAGGTTTGCTCAGGCTTAATTTTACGACTGCTCAAGTTTAACCTTTGTCCAGGTCTTTCTCTGAGACCTATGACCAACGATTTTTAGCCATGACTCAAGATTTTCCTCACAATCAGAAATCTTTCATCGCAAACAAAATCACACAGTAGACTCCAGCTTTAGACTTGATTTCAATGTGATTTAATTTAGTCCCTGTTTTCTGGTTACAGCTGTTTTAATTAGATATTTTTTCATTGTACACTTCTCAACAATGCCACACATTGCAAAGCACATGAATGTATATTATGTGCATATGCATATTTAATTCCGTTTCTAATACAGATTCCAATTCTTGAAATCCCTCCACATAATCTATTCATATTTCTCTCTGGCTCTTTGTCTTAGCATTTGTACTTTGAAAGTTCATTGTTTCTTCAGTGGTTCTAGTCATGAGCTGCACCCATGTTTTGCCAAGTTAAGATTTAAGGTTTAGTCTGATATAGTCCAAGGTTAAAACCTGGTTAGACCTACTTTAGTCTGGGTTCATTTGGTCCTTGCTTTAGCTCATTGCAATTGAATTCTCTTTTATACTAGTTTCACTTCCAACATGAATCTTGATTTCTATTCATAAAGTCACATATCTCTATTACACACCATGGTGGTGTTAATAATTCAGATTTCACTGTCATATAATTTGCACTTTTATTTCCATTGTTCCATAGATTCTGTCCCAAGTTGACACCTGGTTTAGTCCCAAGTTTAGACCCAGTTTAGTCCCAAGTTTAGACCTGATTTAGTCCCAACTTCAGATCTGGTTTTGTCCCATGTTTAGACCTGGTTTTGTCCCAAATTTAGATACATTTTTCCTCAAATTTAGACCCGGTTTAGTCCCAAATTTAGACCTGGTATAATCCCAAATTTAGACCTGGTATAGTCCCAGATTTAGACCTGATTTTGTCCCATGTTTAGACCTGGTTTTGTCCCATGTTTAGACCTGGTTTTGTCCCATGTTTAGACCTGGTTTTGTCCCATGTTTAGACCTGGTTTTGTCCCATGTTTAGACCTGGTTTCGTCCCATGTTTAGACCTGGTTTCGTCCCATGTTTAGACCTGGTTTATTCCCATGTTTAGACCTGGTTTATTCCCATGTTTAGACCTGGTTTATTCCCATGTTTAGACCTGGTTTATTCCCATGTTTAGACCTGGTTTTGTCCCATGTTTAGACCTGGTTTTGTCCCATGTTTAGACCTGGTTTTGTCCCATGTTTAGACCTGGTTTTGTCCCATGTTTAGACCTGGTTTTGTCCCATGTTTAGACCTGGTTTTGTCCCATGTTTAGACCTGGTTTTGTCCCATGTTTAGACCTGGTTTATTCCCATGTTTAGACCTGGTTTAGTCCCATGTTTAGTCCAAAGTTCAAACCTGGTTTCGTCCTAAATTTAGACCTGATTTAGTCCAAAGTTCAAACCTGTATTTTCTCACGTTTAGATCTGGTTTAGTCCCAAATTTAGCCCTGGTTTAGTCCCATGTTTAGATCTGATTTAGTCCCATGATTAGACCTGGTTTAGTCTCAGGTTTTTGATCTGGCTGCCCACTGTAACTGAATTCTCTTGTGTAATATTTTTAATGGCGACATGAATATTTCTACCTCACATATCTCTATTTCCTACCATGGCGTTGTTAATAATTAAAACTTCATTGTCATAAAATCTGCTCTTAAAAAAAAACCAGAGCCAGCCTGACTGTGGAGTGTAATATTGGCTCTCAGCGCCAGAGCCTGGACTTTAGATTGGACATGTAGAGATTATGTAAATGGGATGGGGCTTCGCCACATGCATGTTTATGAGCCAAT